TGAATTTATTGCGCGATTCATTACGTTTTCGCCCCATGCTTGGGCTCTTTCTGTTTTTCGTTTATACTTGAAAACCATTATTCTGAAACAATATTCAATTTTGAAAAAAAGTACATATATCCAACGGAATAGCGGGCAAAAGGAGCCGGGCAAATAGAACCGGTTCTTTTTGCCTGGTTCTTCTTGCCCAGAAGGTATGCAACATATTAAAATATTATTTATAAATGCCAAACCCTTGAACAGCGCCACAATTAATGGAGGTTAGAATCTACACAAAACGTTATTCATCGCCACATGCTTCAACTTATAACAATACTAAAATAATTTCCATCCATTTAAACCATGATCAAGAATTCAAGATGGTTACATTTTCTAAATTGGCGGTAAAAACATCAAAAATAAGCTTACCGGGATGGGTATCAAAACAAACACTGGAGAACTACAGTATCTGCCAGAAGTAAATAGAAGATAGTGGCGGAAAGTTTGAAATAAACATTTTTTTAACTGATTAATTTTGCCCTTATGGTTCTTTTTGCCCCAGTCTCCCCTACACCAGCTTTGTTTTAAAATGTGTATAGTAACGTATGTTTTTCGAATATCGTAGCGCATTTGTTCAATTACTCACAAATACGAAAAGTTTGAATTTGTTTAGAAGAAAAAACGTAACCTTTGTTTTTCATATAAAAATAACATTTATCTTTCGGAATGGTTTATGATTCATATCGGCAAGGTAAACCCGTGTGTTTTGCTATTTAATGCTCTTTGAACGAACCCTGTGTATTGCTCAATAAGCTAGTAGTGATGGCCGGAAGACAGGTGTTTTGGGATAAACAATTAGATATTCTCAAAAAACTACTTGACCAATATAATCCAATTTTGTTGTTGTTACTTAGAAGTATGAATCCCACGGATTTGAAGAGTTTCAAGTAGTTACGTGAAATTATCGTCACATTACCAACAAGTACCAAAACCTGCATTTTGCCTCGTTTTTCGGCCATAACATTTTTGCTATTAGTCGGATCTTTTTACGTGTGGTCTCATTTTGTAGGTCTCATAAATACCTAAAAATATCATACAAAGAGTTTTTCCGTTCCGTGTTAACAACACTTTCGATTGAATCCCAAAAAACACATTATTTTTTGTCAAATAAAAAGTTTTCCCACAAAAATTGGTGTACCCATTTTATGCGTCCATGTTTTAAATACCCCCTTGAATAACTTGCACCAATAAAACCAGACTTTACAATTATTTCGGGGAAATTTGCTAAGATGATTACTCTAACAAATATGAAAAATATTAATAAAAATTATATTAAAAACATTTATTGATTAATCCTTTTTTATCCATACATCTTAAGTGGTGTATAATTTCAATACGCTTAAGAATTGTTATAGTTTGCCACGATATGTTTAAGAATGCAAATTCTTTATGTCATTGATACTGTTTAGCGCATTGCATTTAATTTAGGTAACTCACTTCTAAGATTAATGACTTTTAAGTTTTATTTTCTCTACCACTGAAGAGCTTTAAATCAAACGCTTATATCCGACATAGATTAAACAATAGCTGCTAGTATTTGTTTGCAATCAAAGCGTAACATCCCTGGGCTGTTCCGAATTAAGGCCTATTCATACTCAGCCGTGACGTGACAGTGCTGTGACCGGCACGTGATCCGCCCGGCGAAACTAAAAAGATTCTTCCTGGATGAACTGATTCACACTAGACTGGCACGTGGAAGTGGCCGTGTTCTCAGTGCCCTCGACGACGCAGTACCGTGATCATCGAATTGTTTTGGAACGATATTTTTCGATTTTCACGGCCGTGTTTTTATGTAATTTTGTGAATGTTTTGATATATTTGGTCAAAACTTGAATGATGAAAACTAATTGAATGTGTACGCGTACGAGTAGGTATATCCCGTGCTGTAGAACCAGTCAAATTCAAAATACAAGGACTTCCGTTTTCTTCTCGTTTCTTCGACTTTATCTTTCGTAGGTGGTAGACGGTGACCGGTGTGAATTGTAAACACTGTGATCTCACGTCAGCGAGAATCGCTGGCACGTCACAGCACTGTCACGTCACGGCTGACTGCGAATAGACCTTAAACATTTTCAGAAAAATGCTTTTGATTTTCATTATAAATAATGTCTTAGTGGTTCCTAAAACAAATTAGCTAATGTAAGGCTAAACCTGTGGCAAATAGGTAAAAGGGCAAGTCCATTTTTTCGGTTTATGACATGTTTAAGTAAAATTGTATAAGTAGATATCAAGGAAAGGACTTTGAAAACATAATTAAAATTGAGGCTGGGATCAAATTCGTTTCGTCTCCTTGGTAAAAAAAGCCTCAAGTTGATTTTATATAAATGAAAAAATGACTTATGCTGTATTTGCTACAGAACATATTCGAAACATCCAACATACGAGCCTCTTCATTCAAAAAATAATCCATCATTATAACTCATTTTCAAAGTGGGGAGGACTTGTTATTGAGTGCAGATGATGACCCGTTGTCAATCCTTCTGTGCCACACAGATTCTTTATCATCATTATTTTCTACTCGCCGCGTTAGACATTAAATAATATGTATGAGTGGTGGTTTGAGGTATGGCTGTTATTGTTTCCGATTCAACAACAACGTATTACAAATCTGTTTTAAGGTGGTCATTGGGCAAAGCAATAAAATACGCTATCAGATTTCATTAACATTTGCGAATACAGAGCTTTGTTCACTTGTTAAACGCTCTAGCTATTCATGAAAGGCCTTACAGGCATACATCGCCGGTGTCAAAGTACAACACGTAGACACATACACCACAACTGATTCGCATTAAGTTAGTCCAGGATTGGTTCATATAGTATGATATCTCACAATACTATGAATGGGTTCGATAGAACTGGTGATCGATCTATTTTATTGTAGCTTACAAAAAGTCCAGTGGTGGGTATAGGATCTCAGGGTCCCGATGCATAAAGTTTGTACGGAGTCCCCGCTGGTGATAGTTGAAGAGTACCTCCTCCTGCTCTGCTCTGCTGTTGCATGCTGGGGTCCCCATAAACGTGTTCCCAATTTTTTTTACCAAGTTATAGACGACAAGGACAGGGAGACAGACTGACGGAAATGAGTGACGTGGTTTTCAGTGATGCATTATGTCATATGACATCCAAAAAACATCATATCTGACCTTCTAAATTTTTCACTATTATAATACTTCCTCATCAATGGGACGTGGGAATTAAAATACAATTTGTAACTGGATTTTCGCCCGGATTTTCTAGACTTCTAGACTGAATGACAATTATATCAGTTATGGGTTATGGAGGACAACATGAATTGCAGAGGTGTTTAATATAAATCCATTCCACAGACCGCAGATAACGTAAACAGTAACGCGGTAACATTTTGTATAATCAAATTAGTGACCTAAGTACCATGTACATATACATTTCATGCACACCTGTGAAATATAAATTTTATAAACATGCCTAATACATCATAGCAGTCGATTGTTCATGTTTGTAAACATACATACCTATCAGTTGATTGTGCCACACCTACTTCCATAGAGACAAATGGAATTGAGACGTTATTACGGAAATGTTTGCGATTATTAGGATATAGATCCAGCTAATTAGTCAAATATTGACCGTGATGCAAAAAATTGTATTCGCCAACTTCACAACAAAGCTTGCAGAGTAACTTTTTTAAACTTCATAGTTGGGAAAATCATTTTTATACGTATTTCGAAAACATGTATAAACAGAATTCTGTCTGGATAAGAGTTTCACTATATACTCGAAGATTTCAAAAATGAAACCTATTTCCGTTCAGTTTGATGCAGCGTGCAGCGGTTATATCACTGGACATTTCGCCACAGTTGTCAACTTTTCATTGTAATTTTAGATTTACTGTTATGAACTTTTTTGCAGTAAATAATGAACATGGAAGGTGTTATCCCAATAGTAATTTTGCTTTTCTCCGGCTTTAGTCTATATCAAAACATCATATGTTTTTAACATACACAAAAAAGTGATTTGCCCTAAAGTATGTAATTCCTTTGTACAATACATCAATACGTTTCACTCAAATTCTAGATATGTGGTCTAATAACGCTACTGAAGCGGAATTTAAATATCAAATATAGTAACTAGATGAAATTAAAACCATCTGGTCACCCTGTATTTCCATTGGTCTACCTTTACGTAAACTGCATGTTCTTTAATTACTGATTATTTCCGAATATAATGAAAAAATTATTGGAAGGGTTCCATGTTATATAATTTTGTTCGTTTACCATTACAGAACATGACTATAACTAGTTCTGAAGATATTCTTAAAGAAATTCCAATAAAAAAATTACGATACTAATCAATATGAATATGTTCGATTTTATTAAAATCAAACCAATGACTGTATATTATATCGATCCACGTCAGATACAAAAAATCACAATCAATTTTCACTATAAATATTTTAATTGCATCTATCATTTAATTCACTTAATAAATATACTAAATAAGCTTAAATTGCATCAAGTTAAAAAATGACAGTTCTCCGGGTCTAATAAAGGTGTTTCACTATCAAAAAATGATGTCAGGTAGGTTGGCTCACACTCCTCAGTTCACGAAAGATTAGGTTTGGCACAAATTAGTCGCTCTCAAAATGGTATATGCAGAGAATATTCCTCTGTCATTCTAAGGTTCAGGGGCAAATATACGTGGAAATCTATGTATGAAATGTGAAATAGGTGCGTAGAATTACCGGGGCTGGAAACATATAAATATACTAACGCCACAAAATTAAGATTTTGAAAAACTACAAAGCTTTTTTGTACTTGACATAGTAACGCTGTGTGAAAATTTCATTAAAATCAGAGCGGTACTTTCCAAGTTATATAAACCTTTTTTAACGTCCTCATAGAAGTCGCGGTGCCCTGGTATTTAGGCTTCTGCCTAAGCGGGAGCTACGGTATAAAAAAAACTAAATTCATTTTTTGTTCCAGATTGGTATTAACCCACATCACACTACGAGTCCATCACTACAATGCCAGCTCGAGCCCCAGAACCATACATGAATGGCACCACGAATGGCACCGGTGCAGGAGAGGATATCGTCATTACAGGTATCTCAGGACGCCTGCCAGAAAGTAACTCCATCGAAGAGTTTAAGCAACAGCTGTTCGATGGAGTCGACCTGGTTACTGACGACGAGAGGCGGTGGCCCAGTGGATTGTACGGCCTGCCCACCAGGACGGGCAAGATCAAGGATCTGCAGTACTTTGACGCCACATTCTTTGGAGTACACGCCAAACAGGTACCTATACTTTCCTTGCTTCATAGGAAAAACTCCGCTATAGCTAAAGAATTCTTTCAATCTGCGCCTGGTTTCTGTTAAACACCCAAACTTCATCCACGATTACACGGAACTTCTTCATGGAACCAAGAACTAAGTTTTATTTGGCTGTACTCCTTTGAGGATGTTTAGAAAATGGAGGATGTATTTTGTAACCGAATATGTATCATCTCAGCATCCCTGGTCTCGGTAGCACATTCTGATCAGGATTATAAACAAATTTTGATCCAATTTCAGACTTTGTAAGTTTTTAATTCCCCTACTAGTCCGATCCCCAGGGGTTTTAAATACAGAAACATTATTAACAGGCTGAAATTTGGTGATGACTGTTAGTACAAGAAATAGAAACCATTCCTTTCTTTACCTGAACCAATTCACGGTTAAATGTAAAAATGTCCTTATTTTCTTTATATTCCGGTAACTATGCAAAATCTGAGAAGTCTGTATCTCTAGATCGAAGATTAGGGACATTTAGTCTAGTAATGCAATACCTATCTGAGCGCTTTTAAGCGAGTCACGACAGTACGCCGGAATGCACAGAGTTGGCATAGAATCGTTCAATTTGTACGAGCGTGGTTTTATTTATTCTAACGAATAATGAGAACAAAAAACACCTTTTAACCTAGCAAGGAAAATGAATTGTACAGATACAAACTGCTTCAAAATTAATTCGGGCTCTCGCTCTAACATTCGTATTTCTCTCTCTCTATTTTGCTCCTTCCTACACATGCAATACTGGACCGCAATGATGTATGGCCAGCATTGTATAAGATCTCATTTTAGAGATATTTCCTGTCAGTACTGTACGTGAAAATGTGATTTTTCGGCTTTGAGTTTCGCAGAAGAATTACTTAGCTAATATAATTTCCGTTATAAAATCCCGCTTAACGACATATTTCTATAATATCTTTATTCATAGTGTATTCGGAATAAGTGAGGTTGAATAAACTATAGTCAGATCTGATATACTTTGATTGTAGTTGAAAATATGTGATTGAAATAGCTGGTGATCAATCTACATTCAGCAGTAACGTTGAGTTTACCAACAAAATGATATTATATTCAAACCTATTCCCGGAAAGTCGAACAATACTTATTTGTTTACGTAATATTTTTGTTATTCAGGCGCATGTAATGGACCCACAGCTTCGAATGTTGCTCGAATTGACTCATGAAGCTTTAGTAGACGCTGGAGTGAATCCCTCGGATGCAAAGGGCTCCAAAACGGGAGTATTTATTGGAGTATCAGACAGTGAATCGTCAGAGTTCTGGACGCAAGATCCTGAACAGATCAACGGATATGGACTCACAGGTAAGCACTTTATAATTTGATTGCCACACAACTTCTTATAGAAAATGTCTTAGGACCTACCTACGGTGATTTAACCCCACATATACTTTTCCCAAATAACGTAAGTTGTTCAAAAACCTATTTCCAGTAGCGTCCTTTATGTCCTGTATAAGATTTTTTATAGGAACCTGTAGCATTATTTTTGGGTTTCATATTTATCCGTAAAAGTTCGACAATATTCTGATACTCCCTGTATAAAGACTTTTGCGTCGTTCAAGATCATAGTAAGGAGAGACTTACATTCGAACCGCTCGACTTGAACGAAAGTTGTGAACTTCCGACTTGTAAAAATATATAAAATAAAAGGGGGGAAAGTGGTGATTACCCCCCTTCAGACGATCCAAAAAATTATCAATGAAGATCAATTTCATAATTTAATTTACAAAAAGACCTAGGTCCATGCGACTTACAATTTCACTATATCCATTTGCTCCCGGAACACCCTATATACAGTGTATATCAATACTTAAATACAGTTCGTTGTAGTACTGAATGTACTTTCATACATAGAGGCTGTATCCGGATCTTGTATAATTCCAGAATCGGTTATCGCCTGTTGTTGTCAGAACGAGCAAAAAAAAAGGCATGATACCCTTGACTATTTACTTAATAAAAAGAAAAATTGTCCAATGTACCGACAGAAAAGAATCTGGAAAGAAACGAATGCATCAAAAACTTAAAACTTAAGATCACATGCTGGATATGCTGGACTAAGAGCTCATCAACCGACTGTAGTTGTATCCCATTGTGACAAACCTAAACATCAAGCACAGCCTTCCAGTTGCAATTTTGTTGATGATGAACGGTTTGCTGGACCAAGTGCTCAAAAATGGGCTGCAGGAAAAGCCCATTTACAGAGATTTAAAAATCTGCAAATCCAGTTATGTTGATGTAGCGCCAGCGGTAACGTCTTTCCAAGAAAAGTATAAAATATTGAGGTGGGCAATGATTCCTCATAACCCTTTGAAATGCCCTTATTGGGCACACAAAAATAATCTATAAGAGTAAAATGTAATTTATAGTAAATACATTTCCATAGATCTCATACTCATCTGATAAAATATTGCGGTTTTTTTTTCTTCAAAATTTGGCGGGAGTATCTTAAGAAGCTCACGTTACCACTCTACCCTCTCCTGTCTGAAATTCTGAAAGCGCGACTGCTTCGTTATATAGCTTATCTCGCCCTTTTATAATGATTTCTCCTATTTGTTCTAGGTTGTTGTCGTGCCATGTTCCCCAACAGAATCTCATATACATTCGACTTCAACGGCCCCAGTTACGCAATCGACACAGCCTGTTCCAGCAGTCTGTTCGCCTTCCAACAGGCGGTGACAGCCATCAAAACGGGCCAATGTGAAGCGGCTATCGTCGGCGGTGTCAATCTGCTGCTGAAGCCTACCTCCTCGTTGCAGTTTCACCGATTGAGCATGTTGAGTCCGCACGGAATGTGCAAGGCGTTCGACGTCTCAGGAAATGGATACGTAAGGTAGGAAGAATTGTTCATATGTTAATGATACACATATAATATATTCTGTGATCATCTCGATGATCTAAAACTGGAGCGTCGTAAGACCTTACAATATTATCTTAAAACCTCGGACGTGGAGAAACTTTTTCGATTGTACTGCTGAAAGCTTAAATAAAAAAAATAAGCCCATCAATATTGAACGCTGTCTATTTTAACAATGTCTAACTTGAGAAAATATTAAGAAATATTTATGAAGAGTAATGGGGTGATTCAGAAAACAAAGGGCAATATGTCTAACATAACATAAGATAGATCGAAAAATAAGACGAAAACTTTATATAAACATGGGCCCCAAAAAGCTCCCCTACCAAGATATAAAAAATATCTTTTTGTACATGTAGTATTGACATACAAAAATGTTCGTTCCAGAGACCTCACCAGCGCAGTAGCACAAAAAATGGAAAATTTTCGCCACTACAAAACGAATTGAAAATTAGTTTCTACGCCGTTGTCTTTTTTTAAAGCATCTAGTGCATTTTTGAATAAAGTATTCAAATTCACATGAGTCACCTTTATCGAGAATGTTTTGTCAAATAAACTTGGTGAAAAATTGGTTTGAATGTGATAAAACTTCCAACCCCTTCTATTGCTGAAATACGCTGAAATTAGAGAAGTTTAACATTAAAACTGTTTGTAGTGTGTTAGGAGAGTAATCCTTACCTCAGCTTGATTTGAAAAATATTCATGTTTTTCTCCTTATTCAGTCTCATTAATGCCGCAGAAATTACACGCATTCTGTATCCTGATAACGCAACATTTCCAGAGATATTTTTTGTTATTATTTGATGTATTACTTAGAAATATTGCCTACCGTCGGTTCACAGAGAAGTTAGAAATATCGGTATTCAGCATACCAGTAACCAGGCCGTAAAATACAAAGTTCATATGATCTTTTTTGTTTAATTTGCTGAGGTCTAACAGATGGTATATTATAAACCTAGATAACCGTATACAGTGGACCCCCAATAATCCGGAGCCTGTCTAATCCGGCACCCCCTGTAATCGGACATGTATTTGAATATGTATTACATACAAACGTATTTGACAATCTTCGCTAATGTAGATCACGCAGGTTTGAACAGGTTACAACTTGTACGCGCCACCGCTATCGTGCTCGACCCGTAAGCATTGTTTTACTTAGTTTGAATTTGACTACTGGTGATAGCGGTAAGGCCAAGCGTGCGTTCATTGATTACTATTTATTCATTGTTTATTAAGTATAGTACCTAGTAATGTCATCACAAACTCAGAAGCGAAAGCACAAAACATTGACAATTAAAGAAAAATGTGATATTTTAGACCGCTTAAATCGCAATGAAACTTTCAGTAGTTTAGCAAGTGAATACGGCGTAGGCCGATCTACAATTTATGACATTAAAAGAAACCACGAGAAGATCAAGAAGTTCGTGTCAACTACTGACTGCGGGCCAGGCAAGAGACAGACAATCAAGAAAGCTGAACATCCAGAAGTGGGAGAAGCTTTGTACATGTGGTTTCTTCAGGAAAGAAATAGGCATGCACCAATTTCAGGACCCATGTTGGCCATGAAAGCTAAGTTTTTTTATAAGGAAATAACAAAAAAAGATGATTTTGTGGCCAGCAAAGGATGGCTAGAACGTTTTAAAAGTCGTCATGGCATACGTTTAATGACTATTACAGGAGAGAAACTTTCTAACGATGCCACCTGCATAGAGCCCTTTAAATTAAGATTTTTGCAAAAGGTGAACGATTTAGATCTTGACCCATCACAGGTGTACAATGCAGACGAATCAGGGCTTTTTTGGCGTGTGATGCCTTACAAAACTTTCGTTTCTTGTAACGAAAAATCCGTACCTGGACGAAAAGTAAGTAAAGAGCGTGTAACCATACTACCATTTGCTAACGCTGCGGGCACACACGCGCTTAAGATAATGGTCATTGGGAACTCTAATAAACCACGGTCATTCAAAAACATTGATTTACCTGTAAACTATTACAGACAAAAAAGTGCATGGATGACAAAAGACCTTTTCAAAAAGTGGTTTGATGAATTCTTCGTACCTGAAGTTAGAAAATCGTTAAAAGATCATAATTTTCCTCAAAAATCGTTGTTGCTTCTGAAGAAGAACTAACAACTGAGGATAAATGCATCACTGCGATGTTTCTTCCGCCAAATTGCACTGCACTGATTCAACCAATGGACCAGAATATGATTCAGTTTGTCAAGCGAGACTATAAGAAAACCTACTTCTGAGAGCCGTTTCAAAAGACCAACCAATAGAAAAAACTTTAAAAGAATTTAATATGAAAGACTTGGTTTTTACTCTTTGTCAGTCGTGGATTGCGTTACCGTCATCAACTATTAAATCGTCTTGAAAAAAGTTATGACCAGATATAGTCACCACTCCTAGCAACGTTCCACAAATCAGTGTTACTTCGGAAGTTATAGAACAAGTCGCTACTGAAACACAGATAAGTCCGGAAGATTTGGAAATCTAAAATAATTTTTTTAAGAATAACTTGTTAGGGGAATAACAACTGGTGTCGTGGAATGGATAAAGAGGAAAATGTTTTTCATGAAATGTCTGACGAAGAGATTATAAAAGAGGTTTCTAATTATACAACAAACAATCAGGAAAATAACGACGACGTGATTGCAACTGCTCCGCAAGTCACAGCACAAGACGCAATTAACGCCTTTGAGCTAGGTTTACAATGGGCTGAAGAGAATGGTACATCCTACAACGAACTTTTACTTTTGAGAAGACTGAGGGACAAAGCTCTGATCTCGCGTTATAACAACCTTAAACAAAAAAAATTGATGAATATTTCCAAGCTTCATAATTTGATAAATTCATTAATGATTTTGATTAATAATTCTTGATTATTTTGGTACATAATATGTATGTGCATTTATGCTTAATTTTATAATAAAACGTAAGCTCTCTATTATTATTTAATTTACTAAATTCGACATACATAAACTATATATGATTTGTACTTTAAAGTACATACATATACATAACATATATAATTTTACCATTGGATATGTAATTTGTCGGATTACAAGGTACTCTTTTGTAAAAAATTCCAGACTATAGGGGGTCTTAGGCAGTGCTCTATAATCCGACAAATTCGATAGTCCGACACTGCCCTGCATAATGTTTGTCGGATTACCGGAGGTCCACTGTACATAAAAGACGATATTAGAATAAAATAAAAAATTGAAAATCAAAAGCGTTCAAAATTAGTTGGTAAACGTTTTGTAAACAGTATTTTAAATGAATTCCACTAAACATCGCAAATATCCATCCAGTGGAACCGGGCCGAGGTTTAAATCAGAGGTCAGTCCACTATATTTTCATGTTTTTTTTTAATGATTCACAACCAGGAACACATAAAATCTTCGCAGCATTTTCTATCGTCGTCTTGACAATACAAGAACCCTACGCTAATATTTTTTAACAAAAGCAACTAAAAAACGTGGTATTTACACATATGTTAACGCTATTCAACCGTTTCAGGTGAGATGCCATGTGGTTCATTCTTAGCTCTAACAATTACAACTGTATACAAACTGAAAAAGATGTTTTTTCTAATAAGTCTCTCAGAATCTCTCTGATTTCCGACTGATTTTATAAAAATTGGATGGTTTCTATATATCAAAACATAAAGTAAATTTGTCCTAAAGGTTTTACGCGGATAGTTTATGATATATATGGCAAAGTTGACACTTCATAGTACTTTAAAATATGCAAATTTTTTCTATGATGTTGAAATTTTTCTCAGCAAAACTAAAAATCCGTACTCTATTTTTTTTTAGGTCAGAAGCAGCCGTGGTTGTCTATCTGCAGAAAGCGAAAAACGCAAAACGTGTCTACGCTTCAGTCTTGGGAGCAAAAACGAACACTGACGGTAACAAGGAACAGGGAATCACCTTCCCATCAGGAGGCATGCAGAACAAACTCATCAGAGAAGTATACGAAGAAATTGGACTTAAACCGCAAGAAGTATCCTATGTTGAGGCTCACGGTACTGGTACCAAGGTTGGAGATCCTCAGGAGGTCAACTCTATCGCAGATTTCTTCTGTAAGGACAGGAAGGATCCTCTACTTATTGGTTCGGTATGCACCAATTTCCATGTTATTGCTATGAGCACATTTGATATATACAGAGTGGGGTATCCTAAAAAGCCTTGATAAAGTACGTTTTCATAGAAACAAGTTGCAGTCACATGTGCTGGGCGCATCCTGCTGCCTGTTTAAATAGCAACGCATTTATCTGAATGCAAGTTCCGCAATATGTTGCAAACTGCTAGAAATGACCGCGGCACATGTTTCCTACACATATTTGCTGCGCATCTCGCCGCACATGTAGGTGCCGTGACCGAGAAGCCAAACTTATGTCATGTGACGTCACGACCAAGCCTCGACGCGAGAGAGCGGTCGGCTACAGCACCCAACACAGAAAATGTCATAATATTCTAAAATAAGTTATCGGAATAATTATTAATAAAGATACCAAATATATTATTATATGCAAGTGAAACTAGCAGTATTTTCGACTATAGGAAATTCCCTAATTGAAGCGTACCTTACCGAGAGCTAGGGTGTTTAAGTTGTATTCACGGAATTGAGAAAAAATTATATCGCTGGAATACGTGAAGATATGCTATTACTCTCACAACGTGTTAACTATTCTCATTTTTTTTTTTCAGGTGAAAAGTAACATGGGTCACTCGGAACCGGCATCCGGTCTGTGCTCAGTCGCGAAGCTGGTGATTGCAATGGAGGCTGGCATGATCCCGCAAAACCTGCATTTCAAATCGCCAAACAAAGACATTCCAGCGCTGAACGATGGAAGACTAAAAGTTGTGGCTAAGAATGAACCCTGGAACGGCGGCATTGTGGCGATTAACTCTTTCGGTTTTGGTGGAGCCAACGCACATATAGTAAGTAGCTATATTTTTTAATTTCTTCATACGTATTCAAGAATTTTGTCATTTTGCTTGAGCAGGACTATCCTCACTCAAAGAGGGTAATCCAAACTTTTTGGGGGTACTGGAATAGAACTCAATCGGTGATTGCATAAGATCTGTGTCATTGGCCAGTTTTAAAGTACTTTTTTGGGCTTAATATAGTATTTGAGTTCTGAAAGATTGAAATTTCAAATAACCTTCACATTTTTTGATGATACTAATGGAAACAGCCCGTTATGGACTTAACGTTGTTTTGGCAGAAAATATATGGTTAGTCAAATTGGTTAAGGCTTTCGCGGCTATATACAACTAACCAAATAAACTGCTGTCTTGATTTGGGTCTAAAGGCCGTCGTTGGTTGGAATTTCTTCCTAACGTTTCGCTAGCACGAGTGGCAAGCTACTTCAGAGGTCCTTCCATTTCCGATGCTGGATGTAGACTGTAGTCTACAGTCTACAGGTCTAAGGACCTCTAAAGAAGCTTGACACTCATGCTAGCAAAACGTTAGGAAGAAATTCCAACCGAGGACGGCCTTTAGACCCGAATCAAGACAGCAGTTTATATGGTTAGTTGTATATAGCCATTATATAGATTAACCAAAGAATCATATTAATCATATTTTTCATTGCTCATTCTTGACAAATGACCTAAATATTGACTTAATAGCATTAATATTTTTAAGTTACATAAGGGAAACCCGGACAAAGTGTCTAACTGAGAAAATCGAATTTACCGGTTAACATCCAAACCATTAATTATGGCCATCGTAAGAAAGTACATCGACTTATTCATTCAACTTCCATCATAATCGGCAATCGTTTGTAGATCTTGCGTGCTTATTCGACAACCGGGTAACAAAATGTTTTTTTTTCAACAAAAAAATTGCATTGCAAGATAGATGTTGTGCGTGTCTTTATACTATCTATACAAACAGCTTTTTCAACTACTTAGCATATATTTAAAGAACTTGCTGAGTCTTAAACGAGGTGGATTGAGTTAATAATAATAATAATAACAATAATTAACGTCTTTTATTTGTAATATTCTTACAGGAGGCGAGATTTAGATTATATATCTATTCTACCATCTAACCCCCCTTAACAATACGAGATGTAAAAAAAAAAGAATTTGTTGAAAATTAATAGGCACCTGTATACAATAATAAAATAATCCAAGTAACTACATAAGGAAAATATGATGAGGACACTTATGGGTTACAACCGATTTCGCTGCTGATCAAGAAGAACTTCTTTCACTTTTTTCTTGAATTTGGATAATGGATTGGTTTCTTTTAAACTGCGGTCTAAAGAATTATATGATTTGATCGCATTGTAAATGTATGAATTCTGAAATAGAGAAGTGCTGTGGCGTGGAATTGAAAAAGTCTCTCTATATCTAATATTAATACGATGCATATTCCCTCTACGTATGAATTTGTTTACTAAATATGACGGTGTTTTTGAATAAAGAACCTTATGAGTCAGATTTAGGAGCTGGTACTTATACATTTTATCAATGTTCATCCATTTGAGTTCATTAATGGCATTCGATATATGATCATATTTTCTGAGATCATTTACAAGCCTGCAACATGTATTCATAATACTTTGAATACGATTTCTTGTTATAATATCTAAATAGGGATAGTAAACCACTAAGCAATACGATATCTTCGAAAATACGAAATATTCACACAATTGCTTTCTCGCAGATTTATGTTTTATTTGCAAATAAAACTCTGAGAATAGCGTAGCACTGAGTAATTAGATAGTTCACGTGTGCAATGGTCTTGGTAGGAAACAAATAACTTTTAAACAAGCAATTCATTGGGGCAAACTGGCCGTAACATTATTTTTGTAGTTAGTGAATTTAAAATTGGTATTATGGTGCATATGTATATGAAAATACAACAAATCAATCATCCTGCTACTGTTTTTGAAATGAACCGTTCAAGTACCTATGCATGCAAAAGCCACGAACGCCCCGGACGTTGTTCTTGCACTGAAGTATATTCCGTGGTAATTTGAAGGGGAAGGAATGCAGTAACTAGAGGTGTATACCCAGGACACGGCATCTACATTTAATTAAGCGTTTTCATTAGATAATGCATGTGGGGAAAAATAGGGACTTGAGTAGTTTTCGAAATGACCGATTCAACTAAGATGCACAAAAGCAGTCCAGCTGAGTAGCAGATATTGGGAACATGTATTACGGGCACTAAAAGCGCGACGTTACAAGCATGCTGTTGCAGCAGTTGCTATGGACACGACCTTTGGATAACGAATTCGATACTACTGTAGCTGTGGACTCAACCTCGTTGTGTTAAGCTCTTTGAATCATGCCAAAATTGAGAAAATTATAATCAAAAAAATGTTTACGAATGTAGAAACTTGAACCATTCGGATCAATGTATAATGTCATTCCAAAATTGGACGCAGTATGAATGGTATAAACGTGACGTGAGATGAAGCTATTTGTACAAAACCGCGTACAGACGTTACACGAAAATCCAACGCCGAGCAAACGAATGCAAGCACATGTGACGTTGGCGTGTGTTGTTGATAGGTATTGGAATGCGCTCTACACCTAAATTTAGTTTCGAGTTGGACCGCGTTGGGTTAAGTTCGGTGCTAATGTCGAGCGACGATTCTCCTGTCATCGAATGCAGTCAAATGACTAAATACTCGAAGCGCTACAAATCCTCTCCACACCAAATCAAACCTCCCTTTGATGTACCGATCAAGGAGCGAACGCCAACGCTACCTTGGAAACCGTTGGTTTATGTTACTTTACGCACCGATTCGAACACCTCCAAATATGTAACATGTGCCTTGGCTTGCGTTGGAATCTCGGTCTGTACGCGGCTTTAACAGCTCGCTCAACATTTGGCCGTCTAGAAGACATTGTAGCGATTATCGAAATTGGGACCATAGGAATGTAATGTACCTGGTGGACCGACATGTAATGCAATTCTAATTCAACTCAACTCAAATGTTTTAACGGTTCAATAATATGTCACATGCCATTAAAGCCTTAAAATAATTCTACCAGTAAATCAGGAGGACGGTGTGCAATTTGACGACAACCTTAAAACAACTGTTAACAATCTTTTGTTTTTCAGGTACTAAAGTCAAACCCTAAACCAAAGACAACGTGGCCGGCTGGATCAACTCCAAGAGTTGTAGGAGTATCCGGGCGAACTGAAGAGGCTGTGAATAATTTCTTGGACAAGGTTGCAAAACATAAGGACGATGAAGAATTCTTAGCTTTAGTGGACGAGGTTCATAGCAGGAACATTCCTGGACATGCCTTCAGAGGATATACTGTCTTGAAAGATCAACCAGTCAAGGAAGTTTCACAGGTATGTTTTACTTACAAAGTCAAATACAATAATTTTAAATCTCTGTGTTATTAGAGAAAATCTCAGAGAAAGTCATGACTGAAGAAATTCAGAAAGGATTATTTTGATAACATCGGTAGACTTGAACGATTTTTATTAAATACTTTTACGTATATTTTTACAATATTTTGTTCTTGTTGAAGGTACCTGGTGACAAACGACCAATAGCCTTCATCTTCTCTGGTATGGGTTCCCAATGGCCTGGAATGGCCAAAGATCTCATGAAGGTAGAGGCTTTCAAGACTTCCTTGAACAGGTGCTCAAATGCACTTAAACCACATGGAATCAACTTGGAAGATATTCTCATCAATGGCACAGAAACGACCTTCGACAACGTATTGAACTCTTTCGTTTCCATCGCCGCCATGCAGGTGTGTCTGACTGACATCTTGAGCACGCTTGCTATTGAACCTGATTACATTGTTGGACATTCAGTAGGAGAAGTCGGTAAGCATTAAATATGTAGGTTTTAGATAGATATTGCTCACTGGAATCACTACTCATATCTCTAAGTATAAAGAACAATAATACTGTTCAAAAATTACCTTGCTCTTTTTCAAACATTCATGAAGACATTATTATTGTGAAGCCCGTATTAGTTAGCAATTTATCATTTTTTAACAAAAAAGAACTTAATCAAACATTCTCAAACTGGGTTTTTCAGTTTCGGAGTCCCAGGAAAAACTTAGTTTAAGATAGAATAAGCGAACTCCATTTTTATTTTCCATTCTTATATATTTTAAGTGAAACAATTTTCTTCCTTTAGGCTGTGCGTATGCAGACGGTACATTGACTGCCGAACAAGCTGTCTTGGCGGCTTACTCCAGAGGTCGAGCCATATTGGAAAGCAAACTTGCACCTGGTGCTATGGCTGCTGTAGGTCTATCATGGGAAGAAGTTAAAAAAAGGTAGGTTAACATAGCTAGGAAGCTGGAACACATCAGGGTTTATTATTTGCAAATCAAATATATGCCTCTTTTTTTCACCAAAAGTAGGATACCAAAATCTAAGCAAAGATACGGGTAATTTTGTTTCTAAGTGACAGTACGCGATTATTTAATGCAATAAACCTTTTTACTGCGTAGATTTTCATTTACATCAATTATTTGTATTCAGATGCCCTCCAGAAATAGTTGCCGCCTGCCACAACAGTGAAGACAGTGTGACAATCTCAGGACCACCAGCTGCGATCGAAAAATTCGTTGCTCAGCTTCAAGCTGAGAACATCTTCGCCAAAGGAGTAAAGAGTTCTGGCACCGCCTTCCACAGCAAATACATTGCTGATGCTGGACCGAAACTGAGAAAATCACTGGATGATATCATCCCTAACCCTAAACCAAGGTCTCCTAGGTGGATTTCATCTTCCATCCCCGAGTCAGGTGAGGAATTAAGTCCAATATTAAATGCTAATTTTAGTCATTTCAATAATCGGTATACTTTTTTATACGGGAAATATTAATCATACTAGAACCGTAAAAAGCCATTCGAATTTAAAGTAACTAATTGGGATCTAATTTTGACGCCTATTTTATTCCCTGTAGTCAACTCTCTCTTAAAAAAAAAACGGTTTTATACATGTCTGATAGTATTAAAACTCATTAATATTGTCTATCTTTCAGGTTGGGGTACCCCATTGGCCCAACAGAGCTCACCTGCTTACCACGTGAACAACTTACTTTCCCCTGTACTGTTCCACGAAGCCTTGCAACATGTTCCTGATAACGCAATTGCTATTGAAATCGCCCCAACTGGTCTCCTGCAGGCTATCCTTAAGAGGGCTCTGGGACCCAAAGCTACTAACATCAGTTTGGTCAAGAGGGGACACGCTGACAATGTGGAGTTCTTGCTATCAGCTATTGGAAAGTAAGTCATCTTCCGAGCATAATAGTTCAAAAACTTCAATTTTTTCAAATAAGGTTTTAAGTTTCCAAACATGTCTGATTTCTTATGAAAAGTGAAATAATATGAGAAATACAACTTGTCATTGAAGCAAATTCCATAAGAATTATCTCTAAAACAAACCGATCATTTTCATTGAAACTAAAAAAACACATTCCATTGCACAATCACTATGACATATAATTATTGCTGGCTTTACTGTAAATTGTAACCTAACGCTATTACTACCAACTCTCGGTTCCAAGCCATAAGGTACATTGTTTCAGTGGTTTCGTATCTTTTGCAGGATCTACAATGCTGGTGCCCAGCCAAAATTCGGTGCTCTATATCACCCTGTCAGCTTCCCAGTAGGAAAAGGTACTCCCATGTTGAACTCCATGATTGAATGGGACCACTCCATCGAATGGTCTGTCGCCAATTTCTCCGGAAAAGGTTCCAGGTCTGGCGAACTTGTTGTGGAAGTGGATCTTAGCAAAGAAGGAGACAAATACCTCTCAGGTACAGTATTTGATGATTTTGCACCATCTACTAGATGCTAATTTTCTGTCGGACATAAATCTAATATGCTTCAAATACAGTCTTGCTAGTATGAGACATGTCCTGCTTTCGTCCGACAAAATACAGCCAACCATGTGCAGCTGTTTCGTGCTTTTTGGATACTCCTCAGTATGGTCCAGTCTTCATGAACAAAAATTCTTTTCCAGGTCACGCCATTGATGGCCGTGTTCTATTCCCCGCTACTGGGTACCTAACTCTTGTTTGGAAGTCCTTCGCCAAACTAAGAAATGAAGACTTTGAACAATTGCCTGTCATTCTCGAAGATGTGCAATTCCATCGTGCTACTATAATGCCCAAAGAGGGTACAGTGAAGTTCCTGATCAACATCTTCGAAGGGTCTGGAGAATTTGAACTATGTGAAGGTAATAGAACTCATTTTACTATCATATTAAAAGTTTACTTATATACAGGGTGTCCGCAAAGTTGGGATTTTCCTTTACACGACGTGTAGATCTTGAAAACATAAGCAATTTTTCTTAGTACCATATACACCAATGTCTTAAGGGAACCGAGATAAAGGGCTCTGCAACATCAAAAATATCTGAATACCGTCCTGTAGCCTCGACCCGCGACATCACCGAGTGGTACAAGGTCACTGGCTCAACCCGACGACAGAACTGGGTCTGGGTCAGTGTGTCAGGTCAGTATGCAACCTTCAACCGACGGTTACGGTCACGCGTGTAGAGGTAAACGAACCCGTATAATCGATTGCGTTTCAAAAAAACGCTGCGTGAAGAGGGGCTGTATCCGTTGCACGTCCAACGTGTACAAGCCCTTCAACCTGACGATTTTCCAGCAAGAGTGCGGTTTTGTGAGTGGTTGTTGCATCAACATGACAATAATCCGGACTTTTTGAAGTGCATATTGGTGACAGACGAATCTACGTTCACGCGTAACGGGGTGAATAACTTTCGCAACACTCATGTTTGGTCAGTAGAAAATCCGCACGCTGCCCGTCGGGCACATTTTCAACAAAAATTTTCGGTGAATGTTTGGGCTCGCATGGTGAACGTTATGCTCATTGGACCATTTATTCTCCCAAATCTATTGGACAGGATGCAATACCTAGACTTTTTACGCAACATTTTGCCTTCCTTGTTAGAAGATGTGCCATTAAGTGTAAGACAATCAATGTGGTTTCTGCACGATGGTGCACCGCCCCATTTTAGACGCGAAGTGCGTGAGTTTTTGAATGAATTATTTCCGAATAGGTGGATCGGACGTAATGGACCCGTAGCGTGGCCTCCGCGATCTCCAGACTTAACACCATGTGATTTTTTTCTTTGGGGAGAAATGAAACGCTTAGTGTACAAAACTGAAGTGCATACGGTTGACGAACTTCGTCTCAGAATTGAACAAGCTGGTGCTTTCATTCGGGGGAGGGACTCCATTCTCAAAGCCTGCACCGATGCTTGGTTACGTCGTGCACGCACCTGTGTTTTTGAATCAAACGGCGATAACTTCGAACAATACCTATAAAGTACGTTTACCTAAAAACTGAAAACGCGGCAACGCCGTCATATTTGTTAGCTCTGTTCGTGGTCTGCACCACCGCCTGCGTCTGCTCGGTAGCGCATCAGCTGATTTCATTTTCTGTTGGAGCGGTATGATTTCGGGCAGAGACGTACTTAGCCCTTCTCGTCATCTGGAGAGTGAGTACTTTTTCCTTTATTTTTTTTTACTTGGTCGCCCTCGTTTCACTGCACATTACCTTTGTTATTTCAAGGGTAGTTGTTTCTGAAAGGACAACCCCAACTTTGCGGACACCCTGTATGTGTAATGTGTGTAGCAATATAAATCCAATGTGATTATTAGCTATGAGAGATTTATTGGTTTTATTATTTCTGTATTTTAGGTGGATCAGTTGCCGTAACTGGTAAAATCCGTGTCCCAGAAGATGTCACCAAGGAATCCCTTACTCTCGATAAACCTCAAGTGCCTACTGAGAAAGATGTACTATCTCTCACGGCACCTGACATATACAAAGAACTAAGACTTCGTGGATATGACTATGAAGGTATGAAATTTATTTAATTCTTTCATTTGTATATTATAGCTATTATTAAAATTTAATTTGTTTTACAAATATGCTATAATAATCGGTGGCAGATTTAAAGGATCGAGGAGGTCGTCACCCCCTAGACGCCCAACTATACCATTTTTTTCAATAAAATGGTACATATTGCTATATCTTGGTGTAAAAATTACTTGGATTGTGAGACGTGCGCTCCCCTAGACGTATCCCAACCCCACTCTTCAATTGTCATAAGAACGTTTGCTTCCAGAAGCGCTGCTTAAATGGTGAAGCATGCAACGATACAGCTACGATTAAATCCGATAACTGCAAAAGCTAATTTAAATTGGCTCTCCACAATATAAGTAATGTCGTTCTTAAAAACCTTAGCAGAGCCGCAGACTACTCTATTGAATTGTATGTTGTAGATTCATATCGTTGAAATCTCAGGTTTGGATAGTTTTCCAGCGCCGGTAATAGAAACTGGACTTTTCTTGTGAACTCTCACGTAAACATTCGATAGTTCCATCCGTCAGTAGTATGTATCGTCTTCCAGCACTACGAAGCTTCAACAGTATTCTTTGTTGTCGAAAATTTGGAATACCTTATCCTTAGTACTGACGATTTCTAAGCCTTAAATTAAAATAGCGACGATATTCACGCTGAATTAGAACAACTGACACCATACTTCAAAAACATAATACGACCATTTTGATTTGTTGCTCCAAGCGAAATATACGATTACTTTTTTTTATTGTTATCTGAAACTAAATACAAGTGTATAAATCAAGTTTTTAAGTTTTAATCTTTGGATGCAGGTATCTTCAGAGGTATCTCAGAGTCAGACAACAAAGGAATAGCTGGTAAGCTGAAATGGGACAACAACTGGATCAGCTTTATCGATACCATGCTGCAGTTCTCTATTTTGGGTCAGAACACCAGAGAGCTCTACCTGCCTACTAGACTTCAAAGAGCGTTTATCAATCCTAAGGGGCACTTGCAGACTATCAAGGGATTGGCTGAAGGAGACAGTGAGTATTTTATTTTACACGATTATTCTACCGTACAGCTACAGTGGCAATACAAGGCAATGCGATAATGGAAAGTTGAACCTCATTTTTGATAATAACGAATACCACTGGCAGGTTATTAATTTATATATTTTTTCAAGGCGTACCAGTATACATGTACCGCAAGATCGGCGTGATCAAATCAGCAGGCATCGAACTGCGCGGTATGAAAGCCAGCTTGGCTCCTCGAAGACAGCAAGCTCAATCTCCCCCAAAACTGGAGAAGTACCAATTCGTCCCATACGACAACACACAACCTCTTACTGAAGATCCTGATAAGGCTAAAACTCAGGCACTGACTGCTATTTTGCAAACTGTCATCGAAAATAGTGGAGGTGCTCTGAAGATCAAAGTCGCTGAAGTTGGCACCGATAAGCCTATCGAGTCTGTCTTGGCGCCCACAATCAAGGACATTTTAGAATCTGAGCCCATGCTTTCTGCTGAGGTAACATAAAATTTTCTGATCTCAACAAGAAATTTACAGTTTTTTACGCAAATACATCATTGAAAAGGCGGATTCAAGGCCCAATCTGCTTTAGATCTCAGACGAAACATAATTTCAAAAAATCCCAAATCGTGCTATAACATTTTTAGCATTCGCTCAAAAGTGCTGAAATTTAAGACCTACAGCAACAGGCTGTTTGAATATTGTATGACAAGTACATCACTCGTACTATTATTGGTAATCTAAGGACAAAAAAGCTTTGTAATAGCATCAAAGTTCTGACAGAAAGAATCTATAACGTACCAAAACTTCGTTCATGCATATTTTATGAATTTCTGATGCCCTCTTGTCGAACTTTTGGACTAGTCGCAATTTAAAAAAAAAGTAAAACTTGGAAAAACAACATTCAAAGTATCTGTAACTATGCGACTCGCTTTAGAAGTTGCAGATATCATTCTTTAAAATTTCTACTGTTAAAATTATTGAAAAGTCTTGTTTCCATCGTCATTTTAGTGATGCTAACTTTTATTCATGTGAATGTGTGGTGAGGTTCTGTGTCAATCTACGTAAGGTCAATTTTCATTGCAGGTGACTGTAGTAACTGGAGGCCAAACAGACAGCAGTGCACTGGAAGCCAACGAAATCAAACATGTAGTACGTGACGTGAACATTAGTCCAGTAGCCCAAGACACCCACTTAGTAGTTGCCAGTGACTTGTTACAGTACAATAAACTTAACGTTCTAAGCAACTGTGTAGCCTCTTTAAAACAAGGAGGCTTCGTTCTCCTTGAAGAACTTAAAGGGCCGGTCGATATGAAAAAACTTGGTGACTTGGAACTTATTTCCAGGCAGACCACTAGTTTGAAAGTCTACCTCCTTCTGCGTAAACCTATCGTTGTCCCAACAGACGCAACTGTCATCCAAATAACCGAGAAGAACTTCACGTGGGTGGAACCCCTGAAAGATGCCATGAAGAAGGCTGAAACGGACAACGGCAAAATATATGTGTACGTTCAAGGAGAAGAGCTGACTGGCCTTATTGGCATGGTGAACTGTCTCAAACAGGAACCTGGTGGTGGAAACATCAGGTCCGTCTTCCTTCAGGACAAAACCGCGCCCACGTTTACTATCAAGGCATACGAAAGTCAATTGAAGAAGGATCTGGTACACAATGTGTTGAAGAACAAGGTGTGGGGATGCTATAGGCATTTGCAGTTGGACCACTATAACGACTCTGGAAAGTTGCAAGTGGAACACGCGTACATCAATACTTTGACTAGAGGAGATTTGGCCAGTTTGAGATGGATTGAAGGACCTTTGGGACATTACAAGTGAGTTGACATTTTATTGTTTTGTCTTCTGTTTACTCGGTGTGCCAATCAAGTTCGTAAATTTATCAATAAAAGAACAAGCAAACTGCATTTCGCGCAAAAAAAATTATCTCACTGTAACTCCACGCAGTGATTCCCAGATGAATTCCCCTGAGGTGAGATCTCATCTTGAATAATAAATAAAATCGCATGGGCAATATCGGGGCTTTAGAGATGGGTGCGCCAGAGTTAAAATTCAGTTTTTCACCGAAACCTTTTCATAATGAAGAAGGAATGGGTAGTAACTTTTGGCATGTTTCTTCGGAAATATTTCCCGTGTTTAAATTATTCTGTAACAGCTTGCGAATAGTCTCTTCATTGTTGTTCAAGGGAGGGGTCTAAGGCTAACTCCGTGAAAAGTTTATTGTCGATACAAGTAATGCTTATTTACTTACTTAAGCAACATACAATAATAAAACATTTGAACTGTATTCCGTTAAGTTTTCATAGTAAAATCACCATAAATAAGCCGTTGGCAGCAAATACCCGGAGACACCTCGTAAAAAAAGTAGTTTTGGGGTAATTGTCGCTTGTCACTGGATCATCGGAATCAAACAAATCAAAGTGGTAGTAAAAAATCGAGAATTTGTAAAAACAAAAATAATTTAAAAAATAAATTGATTTTGAAATACAGGGTACCCCGACTAAAAAATCACAGAATACTTTTAAACTGATCTGTATACTATCACCAAAGAGTAGTTCTACCAAGGAAAGACAAACAAGGCAAATAAATTAGAGAGTGATAGAAAGGACACCACAAACATAGCGTTCGCGAAACTGCTGATGATGGCATCTAAACATGTATTTTTTTGCTCAAGTACGTAGGTAGACAAAATAAGGTTGGACCATCGAACAGTTAAATACCAGCAACTTCGTCAATCTTGCTCCGATCGATTTGAAATGTTGAATAATAGTCTTGAGATGCTATACATTCATAAAAAAACGATTGAAAAAAATTAAATACCCTAACCCCCTTAATTCGAAAGACAAAGCACGAATGCTTAGGTATCTGTTAGACGTGATCAATTCGTGCAAACGGGTCAATACTAGAATTGACTGGAGCTCCTTCTTGTAGATAAACTTCTACGGAGACATGTTTCTCTTTATAGCGTTGTGCTCATTCAAAGTTCTCGAAATACCAGAAAATTCCTGGAAATTAGTTGCGACCCCACGTATATATTTTTAATTATCAGGAAGCCGGCAAATATTATTTTACTGTTGTATGGAACAACAAAACAAAGGGAATTTAAAAAAAAAACATAAAATCCTTACGATTTTTGTTTCCATTTTTTTAGGGGTGACGATCCAAAAACTGAACTGTGCCACGTATACTACGCCCCACTGAACTTCCGTGACATCATGTTGGCCACAGGAAAACTTCCTCCAGATGCGCTGCCTGGTGATCTTGCTGGTCAAGACTGTATCCTGGGTCTGGAGTTCTCAGGAAGAGACTCCAGTGGTAAGAGGGTCATGGGTATGGTAGCCGCCAAGAGTTTGGCTACTACAGTACTGGCAGATCCTGGATTCCTTTGGGAAGTACCTGAGAAGTGGAGCTTGGAAGAGGCTGCTACTATTCCTGTCGTATACGGAACGGTAAGATACATCTGTCGAGTACAGGGTTTTTTAATAAGTGTCCAATACTTCACGGGACGATTCCGTGTTTTTAAGATAATAATATCATGAAAACATGTTCCATTCCCAAGATATAGAGATTGAGGGGGTATATGTAGTTAACCTGGAACTGAAATAACCGCCTCCGAAATTTTGAGTTCTGAATTCCATTTACCAAATGACCAGAAACGATTATTTCATATTCACAGACTTCGTAACTATTTCCTTTACATATCGTTTTATTTCGCAAATTAAAAATAATAACTGATGTTAAAATGTTAAGCATAATAGCCGTATGTACAATGTAATAAACCGATTGAGTGGTATCTGCAACACCGGCGGCTAACTTGCTTTTGAGGTTGAATATTACTAGCCAACATACTAGAGCAAAAAAGTGGCAACTGATACATGACTAAACGCATAAAAGTTGTATGTACACGTTACTAGGCGAAACAGTCGCATCTACAGCTACAACTCCTTGTTACACTAAAGCAAACAAGTGAGATTATGAGAAAACTATTTTTTTTTGCTTACAAGCTTTACCAATGACTAGAGGAAGTGCCACTAATTTACTAGGTACCAAAAACCAAATATACCCTAAAACTGCAGACACCTCCTTTGTGCTCAGCACGGCAGAATTAGTCGAGTTTTTTTCTTGAAACACATACGGTTAGATTTTTCTCTTTCAAGTTAGCATGCCAAAACATTATTAAAACAATCTATTCTTCCAGAGCTACTACGCCTTGGTAGTCCGTGGAGGTTTGAAACAAGGCGAATCTCTATTGGTGCACGCCGGTACAGGAGGTGTAGGTCAAGCCTCAATTGCCATCGCTCTGCACATGGGATGCACAGTATTCACCACAGTCAGTAGCCAACAAAAGAGGGACTTCCTCAAGAAGACCTTCCCTCAACTGAAGGATGAAAATATCGGTAACTCTAGGGACACAAGTTTCGAACAAATGGTCATGACACAAACTAACGGTAGAGGCGTGGATGTTGTATTGAATTCTTTGGCTGCTCACCAACTGCAGGCTTCTGTCAGGTAGGTTAAATATTCAACCATATAATAGTATGGCAATAAAAAAACAAGCAACTGCGTCTGACACACTTCGATCCTCACTATAGTCCTCCTTTAACTCTACGCAATAAAACCAACGTTACTTTTTGCGGCAATAAACTTTTACAAAATCAACGAGGGGGGGCCTTAAAACTCATTCGTTCAAATTTCCGCCCAATCTCTTGGAAACGGTTTCTTTGTTAATTTTAAGGTAGTGGGACAAAGCACAAATGTTTACACATATTCACGCTCCATCACTTTGCCCATTCATACGCCCGCGTTTCCGGCATGCATTCGTATCCATCCACCGTATGGAATTTTTGGAAGACTTCCAAATATTACTAAAAATCACACGTTGCGATTATTGTTAATCCTTTTCAGAACGCCATTAAAAGTGTCTGAAAAATACTCACGAAGCATAACTTCTGCCTTGAACTAAAACTAAAAGAAAATATTCCCATCTCTAGACAGATGTGGAAGAACGATACATTGTTGCTAGTTCCCTGATAAAAAGACGACTGGGTAACGACTTCCTTTCTGACGGAATACTCAGAACTGCAACTCAACTAAGCGATGTCCGTGTGTACGTACTTAACTTGAGAATCTTTCCAGGTGTCTGGCAATCGGTGGTAGATTCTGTGAAATCGGTAAAGTAGATCTGTCGAACAACTCGCCACTTGGTATGAGCATCTTCTTGAAGAACACCACCTTCCACGGCATTCTACTTGACGCACTTTTCGACTCTGACACACCCGAGAAGAAACTCGTCATGAGATTGGTCAGCGAAGGTATCGAAAGCGGAGCTGTTAGGCCTTTGCCTAAGACTGTCTTCAATGAACACCAGGTAAATACGATTACGAAGATTTTAGTTCAATATTGCATTGAGTATATCTCTTGTTACTTTATCAGAGCAACACTACACAACATAATATGTGATAATAATCTTGCCGCGAGTTCACTTTTCAAGGCATTACTATTGATTAACGTATTCTAAAGATAGCCAACCTAATACTATATTCTCGCGTCCAAAAAATTGCCCGAGATAAAATGAGAACCCTTAACGTCATCTATAAGTATCTGTCTCTATTTAGTATATATACTTTGAAAAGGTATGCTCATCAAAGGGTACTACTAAAGATTTGTAATACAGCTTTACTTGTTGATTTTGTTCAAAGTAATTTACGCCACATTCAATACACTTCTACATCCGCCAAAACCAGTCCTTAAACCAGCTCTGCCAAGTTTCACCCGGGAGTGTGGCACACTCGTTGTCCCAAGCCCTCAGAAGATGCTCATCGCCACTAAAAGAATTCCTTTTAGCTTCATTTTTACATACCAAGTGTCCATTCTTGACTTTGGCCGCAGGTTTTTCATAAACAGATCGGGATTTTCTGACAGTTACGTGGTGTGTCCTCCTCATAAAAGATCCAAACTTTGTTTTGAGCCTTGGTCGGCACATCGTAATAATAGTGCGAAGTCTCGTCACCTGTCACGATGCTGCTCACATACCGAGATTGCACCTGATCAAATGTGTTCAGCATCTTTCTGCTCTTCCGTCAGACTATGCCGTACCCAGAGAGAACAAAGTTTCCTTACGTGTAAATGATCCTGCACAATTGAATGAATTGCTATTGCGAAGGTGTAATGTATGCTGTATATGTTGGTAAGTCACTCTCCGGTCTTCGTCGAGTATTTTCCTCACAGCAGTAATGTTTTCCTCTGTTACTGACGTTCGCGGCCTTCCTTCCCTCTCAGCGTCCTCTTGAATATAGTCGTACGATGAGGACAATTATTCTTTAATGCAAGCGTCATTTCTTCTAAGCACTGATCTATGCTTAAACCACGAGTAAAGTTATACCCTAAAACTGCCCTTATCTCGCTACATGACCATGATGCCATAGTCCGCACTTGACACTGTCAATAGGAATGAACAGCTAAATCAACAGACGTGCTGCTGGCGGCTACTATGCCCTCATGGACATGTCTCAACATTCAGTAAGATGCAGCCTCCTGCATCCGTTTGTTAACTCATATTGCAAAACTTTTATAGTACCCTGTAATTGACTACTGCGCCAACTATGAGACATGATGCTACGGTTTTCATTTTATCTCGGATAATTTTTTGACGGGGTTTTAACAGTTTTTATGTTATATATTTCATAAACTCATTAGAAGATTACATTCCAATGCTACAGCAATGTTTTAACACCGCTCAAATCTGATACGGTCAGTTTTTCAAACATTCCAATAATCGATTTCCTTTACGAAATGAAGTAACGGAGAATATCAATATGACAGTTACCACGTATTTATTAACTTACGAGCCAACTTTTCCAATTTTAAAAAGGACGGTGGGTCTTCCTCAAGTTTCGAGATAACGTTTAATTGTCCTTTAGGTTTCATATGAACAATTTTTTGAACATTCCTATTTTGTTTCTGTCTAACATTGAAACAGTACGTTTCCCATAAAGGCGCATGTAAATCTTATAGTAATAATCATAGGAAGTAAACTAAACTTTTGTACAAGCTTTGCAAATATGCACTACTACAATAACTCGAGCCTTAAAAAATTACAGACATTTCTATAAATTATGACGCAAGTACTACCTTAAAAATGATGGCCAGAAATACAAGATGGCATAAAATATCACAATTTTCACCAAACTAATACTTCTACATATCGCTTGTCAGTTGTTAACAGTTTCTACTACAAGGTTTCCTTAAGGTTGCTTTGAGGGTTCCTTTTCATTGAGGCTAGACTTTGAATACAGTTCCAAATCAATCTGCTTTAACTCGAAAATTCGTTTGGATTGATGAATCTAATAAACCTAACATCAAAATCATCAATATTCATCCTGTATAGTTTTCAATCTAATAATAAAATACTCTTAACAGGTCGAACAAGCTTTCCGTTACATGGCCTCTGGCAAGCACATTGGTAAAGTCCTGTTGAAGATTCGTGATGAAGAAAGTCGTAAGACTCAGAGGCCTGTCGTAAAGACAGTCAATGCTATTCCCAAGACTTACATGGACCCAGACAAGAGCTACGTCTTAGTCGGAGGTCTTGGTGGATTCGGTTTGGAATTGGCCAACTGGCTAACCACCAGAGGAGCCCAGAAATTGGTATTGACTTCTAGGAGCGGGATTAAGACTGGTTATCAGTCACTTTGCATTAGGAGGTAATTTAATATATTTTTACACATGTACCTTTCATCGGAATATCAATATTTTATCATCAAATAGTATATCCTGAGTTTTTCACATTTTTTGTTGCAAAACTTGCCATATCAGGTTGAAATGTACAATTCGCACCAAAGCCGTTATTCATTACCTTCTCTTAGAATGTTGAGTATATGATCACGTTCTATCTGTATGTATAATGAAGTCAGATGGGCTGCCTGGTTCATTTGGCGGAAAATATAGAAAAATCCAGAGAGTACAAATTGAATGTACGAATTTCACATATGTTTTTCTCAACATACGGGGCATAAAACGAGGATATGTAATTTGTAACATATCTTAAAAATGTATTTTATATGCAAAGAATAATACCTCAGTCCATATCATCCTTTATATAGAATTTGTAAATAAGGAAATATTTTTGACAAACTTTGATTTTGAAAACAGATGGAGAGAACAAGGCGTGAAAGTGCTGGTCTCCACGGCCGATGCAACTACTGATAAGGGGGCTAAAAGACTGTTAGAAGAAGCCAACGAACTGGGACCTGTTGGCGGTATATTCAACTTGGCTGTGGTATTACGTGACGCTATGATGGAAAACCAATCAGAAGCTGACTTCAAAACTGTATGCAAACCAAAGGTAAGATATGACCAACATCACTTTAAAGCAACGTTTTCCAGTCTTCATAAAAAATACCGACTTACAAAGTCAATGGTCCTAAAACTTCACATCTATTTAAGACGCATTTATTAAGGTATTTGCTCACCATAAACCCCATCATACTAGGATTTTGTGCCTGAACGAAGCGTAATTTTAGAGACGCCGCTCTGTGCATGATAAATGAACTAGGCACAGTGCCGTACATACGCGTATGATTTGATGAATGAACCATCATTTTTTAGATGAGTAAGGTGGAGTTAAGGTAGTTTTTGTTAATTTTCATCCAACTTATGATAGCAATTTCTCTCTGTTAACTAAGTGCAGGATAAAAACTATGTCCTGGGTGTCCTGGAAGTTTTACTTGAAAATGCTGTTGAAGTTGTCGTTGTTTGATTCAGAAACACACGTTTATTTCTTTTTATGGATGTCTATATCCTATTTCACGAGTATACATCACGCTTTGATGTCTACTGAGATGAACAGCTGATGAGCACGTAATATTTCTGTGTTAGTCTGCAACGTTGGCTATAATGAATCGGGTGTAAATCTAACAAACATTTGTTTGTAGCGTTTAGTTTTTTGTATGCAAATGAACTTTTCTAAATAAAACAGCTTTTAGCAAGTACAAAATGAATCTTTTGCGTACAAGAAACCAAATCAAAATATGGCTCTGTCTACCTGGCGTTGACGGATCCGTTAGAATTATGTGTCCTTTGCCGATACGAAGAATTTTGAAATATTACTAGATAACCAGCTGTCATTCTACCTTGATGGATACTCGTGAAATAGAGTATAGGTCTTTTACTGCTGTTTTTTTTTTTCAGAACCCTTTGTAAATAAACTGCTAGGTTAACCTACACACCGCGCGGCGCTTGATTTAGATACGTCGTATTTTTGTATGCTGGATGATATGCCGAGCTGCCCAATCAATTTTTTCTAAACCTAATAGCTCGATTATCTTAAAGCTTTGGTATATCTGCTACTATGAAAATTTATTTATTAAATTCCCAATTTGAAGGACACCTTGGATACGTCAACGGAGATTCTGGAACGGTTCGCTTACCTAACGGGTAGTCTGCGAACCATGCTAGCATACGTAGAACAGTGTTAATGGGCTGCTACAATTCATGCTGGATATGGTCCTAGTACGAGATGATATAATGGGCAAATACTTTTTGATCGTGATTCTACAAAAAGTTTTTTTTTATCACTTGAAACCGTTCAGAAACATAATATAACAAAATTATCACTTATATCCAGTTTTTCTAAGTAGTTTAACCCAAGATGAGACAGAATGATGTGAAACAATTTCCATTGATGAGTGACACAATTTCGTTTTTCCGAAAGTCTTCAACGACGTATTTATTATTTTTGCATTTAGGTTGACGGTAGCAAACAACTAGACGTCGCCTCAAGAGCTCTGGCTCCAAATTTGGACTACTTCGTGAACTTCTCGTCTGTGTCATGTGGCCGTGGTAACGCTGGACAGGCCAATTATGGTCTCGCCAACTCTGCTATGGAAAGGATCGCTGAAGCTCGTCAAGCAGTTGGTTTACCTGGTATGGCCATCCAATGGGGTGCTATTGGTGATGTGGGTCTCATCTTAGAAACCATGGGAGGTAAGTCTATCTACCGTCGTAATCATAGGCAAAGTCCGGCGCGTCGTCAAACAATCCGAAGCCCGTATGGCCAGTTTTTTCAGTTGGTCTTTGGTCATTAGTTGGTCTGTCAATACGACGTCAATAACTCTCAACGTGATGTCAGTGTTACTATTCTTTAATGATGGTTCTTCTGCAAGCCAAACGTTCGTTGAGGTTTGTAGTTTGCGGCGTAAGGTCACTCGTACGTAGTAAAAGTTCCATCTGAATAAAGTTTGTTTAAGTTTATCTAGGACATTCTGACCATAGCGTTTTTATACATTATTCCTTACTATTTACAGGTAACGACACAGAAGTTGGTGGCACTCTGCCACAAAGGATGTCATCTTGCTTGAACACAATGGACATATTCCTACAACAACCCCATGCCGTTGTGGCCAGTATGGTACTTGCGGAGAAGAAAAAGGGAACTGGAGCAGGAAATCAAGTCAGTCTCACAGATGCTGTTGCTAACATTTTAGGTGAGAGTTTGTACTTTTATGTTAGAATCCATATTATCAGTCCCCATAGAAAAATACTACTTTTTTATTTTATATGACATGTATGTATATCTATCTGTATGTCTGTTGTCGCTCACGTCTGACCGAGAATCCTTACCCCATCAATAACGTATCATTGATATTCTGATGTATACTAGGTTACTACTATGGCAAGGAAATATTTTTTCTAAACGTGACCAAATCTTGTTTTTTGGGTATCTTAATTTCTGGGCGCAGTAAAAAAACTTCAGAAACCAATCTTCATTTCCGAAGTTTTGCACCTTCTCGTCTTAAAACGTCTTCATAAAAAAGTGTGTTGGTTCAAAAAAATTTTAGAGCATGCATATTTCACTTACCTAATCTCATGGTCAAAACTGTACATATTTTTGCTAAACACTACCGAGTCTGAAAAGTCCATTGTCCATAAATCCACCGTTTTTATGCTCGAGTAGTTCGCGATATGTAGGAACCTCAAAGTTGATCCCTGGTTGATAGGCGAATCTGTGAAAATTATAGAGGAAATTGTTGGCACTAATATGTTGCGAAATATTAGGAAAATATCGCCGAGCAATGTGAGCAAACAATTTTGAAAATTCCTTTTCTTTGGAAAGTTTTTATCATCCTGATACTGTTCAGCAGATGTTCTAAGCAGACAAAATAAGTACCTGTATGTCTTTTTGGACTTGGTATTTTCTATTTTTTTCCGTGCCGCTATGCCTATTTAACAGCGACCTATAACAATATTGCTATATTCTTTTCCAGGTATCAAGGATGCCTCGACAGTAGCAGGCAGCGCCTCGTTAGCAGACCTTGGTATGGACTCTTTGATGGGTGCTGAAATCAAACAAACACTAGAAAGGAACTACGATTTAGTGCTGAGCGCGCAGGAAATCAGAGCTCTAACCTTCGGCAAGCTGGTGGAACTTGGAAGCGGTGGTGGAAGTGCAGCTTCTGTAACAGCTAGCGGTGCTAAAGATAAGAATGTACAATTTGACATGAACACCGAAATCATGCCGTCTAAGACCTTAATCGAGATGCCAAGCAAGGGCAAAGAGAACAGCAAAACGCCCGTATTCTTATTGCATCCTATTGAAGGTGTTGTTAAGGTAAGATATATTTTCCTCTGGAAACACAATGTTTTGAATCACTCATTATTTTTTAATGTTCTAAAATTGAACTTCTTTAACCAGACTGTAGCTTGATAATAACTTATGGCGTCTTGTAACCCAGTCAATATCTCCGTGTCTTCTGGTGTCTCGGCAACCAGATAGATGACTCACCGACAAAACCTTTACCAAATGCAGATGTTTTAGTGACGGCTCTTGACAGATGTGATGAAGTTATTTAAATATTTCCTCATACTATTTTATTATTGGCAAAGATGTAACGTATACCTCCGTGTCGCAGGTCCTGGAAACCCTTGCTAAGAACATCGACGCTCCAGTATACGGTCTCCAATGCACAGCTAACGCGCCTTTAAACAGCATCGTAGACCTAGCCAAACACTACATCACAGAAATCAAGAAAGTTCAGCCTAAAGGGCCTTATACACTCATAGGATACTCTTTCGGAGCCTGTGTAGCCTTCGAAATAGGCATTTTGCTGGAGAAGGCCGGAGAAAAAGTCAAGCTGTTACTGTTAGATGGATCTCCATCTTATGTAGCGATGCACACGGGTAAGGCCAAGACGAAGATCAACAATGAAGCAACTGAACAAGCTGAAGTGCTCAGTTATTTTGCTATGCAATTCAAAGACATCGATCTAGCAAAGGTACGTAGTTTTGAAAATTCTGTTCCTTTTTTTTGTTTAAATGTTTTTTTTTGTAGCCTACTATATTGAAAGTTCATCCTAAACCAAGGAATTCGAATACCTAATCCGAATTCGTTGATCCAAAGTTTACTCTTCGTTCTACGAATGTGCTGCTTTGGACAGTGAGTGGCCTAAATGTTTTCTGAAAAATTACAATAAAAAATCGCTCGGACCAAACCATTTTCCTTGGAAGTGGATGGCCTATAAGAGACAGAAAAGGTTCCAAAGCTCAACATGCTTCCGTGTAGGAAATCCTTCTGGTGGGGAATATGACAAAACCGTTTGACTTCCATGTTTTAATATTCGCCCGCATTTGTAGAAAAACTTAAATCTTGTTGATCTCCTTTCAAATACGAGTATATATATATATAACTTGAGACGTGGTCATTGTCGTCTAGACCAGTTAGGTGGTTAGGCGATTTTTATATATATATATATATATATATATATATATATATTACTCTGTTCTCATATTGTCTAAGAACTAACTGTGACTCTATTTATTTGCAGATGACATCAGAATTAATCGCACTGAAGACATGGGATGAGAGGTTGAAGAAGGTAGTTGACATCCTAACTGGAACACCTTTCAAGCCAGAACAAATCGCGGCAGCTGCAACCAGTTTCTACGGTAAACTCAAGGCTGCCGACAAATACAAAACATCAGGGAAGTTTAACGGAAATGTCACCTTAGTCAAAGCTAGCGATAACTTCGTACAGATGGGCGAAGACTACGGATTATCAGAGGTAACAGACTTTTTAATTAGATACTATAACGTTCTGAAATTAATCTAAATCATATAAAGGATGTACCAGTAGTCACTTCGAGATTTAAATTTAGCGAAACTTTTCAATTCCGTGACGTAAAATTTTATATTGCGCATGTCATGTCATTTAGAGACACGACAATTTAATTATACAGGGTGGCCAATATATAACTGACGGATTTAAATTGCGGGCCATTTTTGATACACGCATTTCAATATGTGGCGCCCTAGTAATTGTTTAAAGCACATGTGTCCAATTCATCATGGAGCGCTACACGATCCCACAACGCGTCCGTATTGTTAAAACGTTTTACTTAAATAATGAGTCGATTGTTGCAACGATTCGGAAACTACGACAAGACTTCGCTCGAAATAACGTGCCCAGTACCATTCGTCAGTTGGTACGGATATTTGAACAAACATGTAAAGTTAAAGACTTGCCAAGGTCTTTTATTACGTGTTCGAACTGTTCGTACTCCGGAAAATATCGAGAGAGTTCGTGAAACTCGGTATTCGTCGCACGTCATTATGCACTATTTAAAAAACAAGAAGAAAAAGTAAATATCGATTTTTACCGACAACTGATAATGAGCCTTTGAAGCCCACTTCGATATGATCGGGTTTGTTAATAAACAGAATTGTCGTATCTGGGCATTAGAAAACCATCGTGTCATCCATCAACGACCACTACATGCTCGTCGAGTCACAGTTTGATGCGGTATTTGGTATGGAGGAGTCATTGGACCTTACTTCTTTGAAGACGCTGCAGATAATTCTCTTACTGGCACTGGCGAGCCCTACCGTGATGTGGTGCAAAACTTTCTGGCTCCTCAAATCCAACAATTTAACCTGCAAAACATGTGGTTCTAACGGGACCATCAAATCAATCATTCTTTGAAAATTCTCATCGTTAGTTTTAGTATAAAATAGCATTGCAAATCTCTTGGTAGGATTGAACTTCGAACAGTTAACCTTGCAATAGTTACGTTCACCAGTTCTAAATTAATTTATGAGACATAACTACCATAATCTTTGTTAGTTTTAATAAAAACGCGAAGTACATATTGGGACAATGTTTACAAACACTACTAGTCTGATCTCATGAATATTTACCACAAAAGCTCAGAAAAAAGCAGAAAAATGTCGGTCCAACGCCCAAATGTATTTGGCATTTGAAGGTTTAAAGGTTGATTTTCACTATACATTCCGTTTCCATTCCGTAACCGTTCCGTAAATTATTGAAATTAAATATTCGCCTTGGCTTAAAGCAGGCTATTGCGTGTGTATGCACATTATCCGTAAGGTATACTGTGTATAAAATCACATTGTACGGAACGTTTACGAAACTGATATGGAATGGAAATGGAATGTATAGTGAGAATCAACCTTAAAACTCCCTGCATAGCAACACTGTCTCGTGCCAAAATCACGTAACCTTTTTTTACTATTTTGATCACTATTTTATGAGGAAATTTCTGAGATAGTCGTTAAAATATTATAACATTGGTGACCAAAAGGTTTCAACACAGTACTGAATCGATGAGAAAGAAAGATATAATACGCGTGAAATTATACAATCAATAAACTATGAAATTTTCCAAAAGAAAATCATTAAAAATGGTTTGTCCCAGGAATCGGCACTCTACCATTAATAAGGATAAATTCAAATTACTAGTAAGTAATCAAAATAGAAGAAAAAAGGTTACTTGATTTTGGCACGTGGCAACACGTAAAGTGAAGATGTGAATCAAAAATAATGTTTGCTGCCACACTTTACAAGTCATGCCTACTCAAGTCTAACTTATATTTTTCTTTTATTCTAGGTGTGCAAACAGAAAGTACAAATAGAGTCTTTGAAGGGTGATCACAGGACGATTCTCAGCGGAGAAACCGTAGAAAAGATTGCAGATATCGTGCACAAACTCCTCAAAGCTTAGATATCGATTTTCTCTAGCGGTCCAGCACATACACATTCCGATAAATTTTATAGACTAAATGGGATATACCTAGTCGAAAAAGTGCTATATAATGTGTGTAGAGGTCGCTACATTGGAAATAGATAGCTAGATAAATAATTAAGGAGAAACAAGAAACATTGCAAAACTATGTTTCTGTTATTCTTCTACTCAAAATTGTATATTCAGTTTTAAAATCGAATGTTTTCATGTGGGTATGATCAGAGCACCTTCACATTGATAACATGTGCAGTTATTTTCATTCACGAAATAAATATTTTTTATATTCATGGTTCAAATTATATTTAATTTAATTTTCGTATCACTGCACACATAATGAGAGGTAGTTATTTTGACTATAGTGTATGTATAGTGGTATTTAAGCAAAAAGACATGGATTTTTAACAGTTTGTTTCCAATGCAGCTTGGTGACTGTATATATGTAGATGAAGTTTATCTCCTATATATTTTATAAGTAATTTATTTTTTTAAGAACATTTCTTAAGTTATTGAATGTCAAACGAATTTATTTTTGTAAGTGTAAACCAAAGATCAATAATAAATTTCTGTTACTCTGGTGATCGTGCAGGGTTTGTTGCTTGACCACTGCATCATCGTCACAGCTTTTTGTGTGTAAAAAGTTGGTTGTATATATACCTACTTAATAAAGAACATATATTATTTGAAAACAGTTTGTTTAAATTTTATGATATATTTGTCAGGTGATATGGTATCAAAGTCACATAGGCATTATTAGAGATTTTTGGGGGTGACACGCACCCGGTGACTCAACTTTAATAACAATGTACAAACATAAAAAATTGCACAGATTGCATTGCAAAGTAAAGGCTTAACTGTTGACAAAACTGCTACAAAAATAGGGGCACTTCGTCTTTATATCGAAGAAAAACGGGGTTACATTGTGGAAGAGGCAATAGATATTTTTACAAAAAAATCAGAAGACTACAATATTCCAACAGAAAGGCGACTTCTTAGTATAAAACGGCTGGTTGGTGAGATAGCCAATGATGCAGGAGTCGCACTGAAAGAAGAACTTCAAAAATATATGTTGGAATGTCTTAACCGATTTAGAGTTCAACTCCAGACGAGACCGAAGTCTCTTCACGACCTAGCTTCATTGTTCGAGATCGTACAAAGAAATACTTTACTTTTGGTGAATACTGAAGCACTGTAATTAGCTACGTCTAAGTTTACTGATTTTTATGATGAGGTCTCAGGACTCGCCGGGCGCACGCCTGAGAAGCGTGATGTTTTCTCACGACGTCCGTTGCCTGTTAAAAAATGAACTCAAGGTCATGATTTACAAGTTTCAAAAGGCGCACGATCTTACACCGAAGCATCAGCAAGTGAGACTTGAGAGAGCTAAGGAGCTGCTTCGCTTGGCCGAACGTTGTCAATTTCCGAAGATCGTTTTCCCAAACGAGAAAATTTTTCTAATTGAGCAATTTGTAAACTCTCAAAACGATACGGTTTACTTGAACTAACGTTCTTACCAGAATTTGAGCCACCGGTTGGTCACCCGGAAGCAACACGCACCACAAATAATGGTTTGGGCCGCTGTCACCGCGGATGGGCGCTATCTAATTCATTGAGCCTAGCGTCAAAGTAAATTCGACATACTATCGGGAAAGTGTTCTGGAGGGTGCTTTGAAGCCGTGGGCAGACAAACATTTCGGCCGCAGGCTATGGATATTTCAACTAGACAAAGAGAAAAAATTAAAAATGAAGAAACAACATGAATTCCCTGCAAAAGGGACTAGTAAACAGACGAGCAGATCAAAGTACTAGCCCAACAAACAAAATTACAACAAAGGAGTTCTTAACCAAATTATATAAGATAATATTAATAAGTAATAAATAATAATTACAAACGTCAAAAAATATATGTGTATAAAGAAATTATATAAAAATATAATTTAACGAAAAAGGTCAAATCATTTTGATTTAACAAAAAAAACATTTTAAATATAAAAAGTAAAGGAACAATATAAACACTACAATTCATCTAATAGAAATTTTCTGTCACTTCTTTTGAAAGCTGACACAGACATAGACTTAAGGTTTGTGAGTGTACAAGCGGTAGATAAAATGAGAAAAACATCTGTTAAACATAGATGTACGATGACGTGGTTGGGAAATCAGCTTCCGGTACCGAACATTGATATTGTGAACATCACTTCGAAAATGTAATCTTATTATATAAATAAGGCGGAGTTTTATAGAGAATAATTTTATGAAACAAAACTGCAGAGTGCAGATTTCTCCTAGCTTCCATATTTAGCCATCCTATTACAGGTAACTTATAAGAAATATGATCAAATTTTTTCTACCCCAAAAATACACCTAAGACAAGAGAGTTGGACACGCTGTATACGATCAACATCATACCTTGTCATACAAGGCCCATAAACTGAGTCGCAGTAATTGAATAATGACAGAACAAGCATGTCACAAAGCAAAGCCTCAAGTTCGATAGAAAAGATATGACGTTGTGGAAATGACATTTTAAGCCGACCATAAGCACGGCCAATGCACTTATCAACATGCTCTGAAAACCTCAGGTCACTATCCATAATCAAGCCTAAATTCCTAGTAGCGGATGTATGAGGAATAACATTATTATTAATTGAAATATGTAATGAATCTGCCACGCTCTTTTTGTGTTTCCCGAACAATAAAACATTTGACTTGGTTGGATTTACAGAAAACTGATGTGCTATGCTTTCATTTGTCAAATTACTAAGATCTTCTTTAATAATGTAACCGCAGTTGTTGTATCTGTATGAGAGAACGAAAATTTTATCTGGGTATCATCAGCATATAAATAAGGCTTTGAATATATCAAACTACTAGTAACATTTGCAGAGTATACTGAAAAAAGTAATGGACCCAAGATAGAGCCTTGAGGTACCCCTCACAGAACAGGCTTGGAAACAGACACCCCGGAAGAGGTTATGACAAACTGCGTTCTCTTCGAGAAATAACTTTTGAATAGTTTAATAGCATTAACGGAACATCCCATGTATTTTAAAATAGAAAAAAATTAACTGGTGATTAATTGTATCAAATGCCTTTGTGTAATCAAGCAATGCAAGAGCCGCTGTATTGCCGTTATTAATATCCCTGATAATTTCGTCCATAACATGTAGAAGCGCAAGCGCTGTCGTGCAACTAAAACCCTTTCGAAACCCTGACTGAAATGAAGGCAGCAAATTATGATTATCTATATGAAGCATTAACTGAAATTTCATAATTTTTTTCCAGAACTTTAGACAGCACCGGTAATATAGAAATTCGAGGAAGATCTGACAAGCTAGATATAGTGCCTTTCTTTGGCAGAGGATGATCAAGTTCCTCAAGAGCCCTTGTGGATGTCATAAGAATCAATTATTTCATGATCCCATCGGTTTATTTTATTCAAATTTTGCAGAAATATATGTCAATATAACACCTTGAACATTCAATATAAACATTTTTGTGAATTGTGTCCAAACACTAGCACGTTGGCTCCCATATGAATCACTGGTGATACACGATATATTATAGTTTGCACACCATCATAAATGAGTGTAGAATTCTGTTCTGCGCCAAGCATCTTTCCGCTCAAGAGGTGCCACTGTTCTGCTCACATATGCTCCTCAAATTACTAGCAGCCTGTTTTATCGGTTTGATCACGGGTGATGCATACGTTACATAATGTAATCTCTAATATGTTTCCACGTATTGGAAGGTGGTGGTTTGTTCAGTTGTTTTGAGTTGTTTAGAAGTGAAAGCAAGCCTATTCAGTTTTTTTGTGAAATATGGATGCTAAAGAAGAAGAGAAATCGCTTCGGTGGTACGCTGAGCTGGAATTGGAAGGTAATTCATTTTGAGGATATAGACATTACAAACATGTCAGTAATACATGTTTTCCATATTTAGAAGAGAACGTAGACCACGAGCTTGGAGAGGGCAGTGGAGGGTATGGCAGTCAAAATGATAATCTGAAGTCAGGAAATTCTGACAGTGACGAGACAGAAACAGAATCCGAAATTGGTAACTATAATCCTGATTTAGCAGATGGCATTAACCAGTCAACCACAATTTCATGGAATGAAGTAGATGGGTCATCTTTAAAGCAATTTGTTTTTGATGACAATGCATCCAAAATAAATATTCCTGGCAATTTAAGATCTATGGATATTTTCAGACTTATTGTAGACCCAACTATTCTAGAAATTATTGTGTTGGAAACTAACAAAAATGCTAAAAGGTACAAGCATAAGTGGATTGATGTTTCAGCCCAAGAAATATGAAAGTTTTTCGCAATAATGCTGTATACGGGACTAGCTAAATTCCAAAAATATCAGATTACTGGTCACGTAAAGTTCTATATCGGCATTGTTATGTTCGACATATTATGTCAAGAAATAGATTTCAAGACATTCTGAGATTTATTCACTTTGCTGACAAGAAGACAGCAAACAAGGAAGATCGGCTTTACAAAATCAAACCTCTCACGGATCCATTGACCCAGAAATTCAAACAGCTAAAAGTCCCTGCAGAAGTGGTGTCCATAGATGAATCTATGGTACCATTTAGGGGCAGGCTATTATTTCGGCAGTACATTCCAGGAAAAGCATCAAAATATGGGGTGAAAATTTTCAAGCTATGTGACGAAAGTGGATATACCTACGACACCGAAGTTTATAAAGGAAAGAGTAACACTGTAACTGCGGGACGGAAAAGCAATGTAGTGGTTTTGAATCTAATGAAAGATTTTACCTCGATAGTGGCCGTACTTTAGTAGCAGATAACTATTATAATAATCTTGAATTAGCAGATAATTTACTGGAAAGAAAAACCCACACCGTTGGTACGTTACGAAAATTTGTAAAAGGTGTACCAAGAGAAATTTTGGATGAGAAGAAAATGAAAAAGAGAAGTATCAAAGGAAAAGAAAGTAACGGGAAGGTTATAGCAAACTGGACAGACACGAGATTTGTTAGATTTATCAGCACCAGGCATACATTAAACATCGTAGATACCAACAAAAAAATCGTGAATCCATAAACCAGAAGCTATTGTGTTTTACAACAAGTTCAAGATGGGCATTGTTTTATCAGATCAATTGACTTCTTATTTTACGGTTCTCCGTCGATCTCTAAGATGTTACCACAAGGTTGCATTTGAATATCTTTTTGGTACTTCAGTTATCAATGCTCTCATCTTATATCAACTAACAAACAAAAAGAAAATTCAAGTCGCAGAGTTCAGAGAGGCACTTGTGATGGGGTTGCTTGGGGATATTTTAGACAAAGAAAAAAATAATGTCAAACACCTACTGATTACGATTAGTGAAAGAACGAAAGACAATCGCAAGAAGAGAAAACGATGTGTCGGATGCTATGACAAAGAGTATGCCGTTCACAAGGAATCAAAAATAGCAGCAAAAAAGGCCAAACTGGTTTCCACTTTTTGTAAGGAGTGTCCGAATATGCCTGCGTTATGTTTGGAATGTTTCCAAAAAAAAACATTAAAATGTAAGGTTTTCTGTTAAAATATCTCTTAGAATTTGTTTTATACATATCTTATTTGTAATAAACGTAAATGACATTAGTGGGAGATATTGATTTGTTTTCATCAATTAAAATGGATAGTTCTTAGTAGCGTATGAGGCTTATATTCCACTAAGAATTATTCATTATAAAAATATTTCTTGTTTAGTTTAAGTACCCTCGCATTCCAATTCGCTTAACTTTACAAACTTGAATTGCTGGTGATACCCACTTATTCTACAATGTATTTCGTTCACCTGTGACCCATTGTCATAATTTATTTGTCTTCCTGTATATCCCATTACCTCTAACAATCCATTAAATACATTAATGCACGATATCACCGGTGATATGGTCCGCAAATGAACCAAGAAATTATCGCACCGGTGATACATACGGTATATCAAGGAAGAAAAATCAAAACATGATTTTTAGCCAATTTGCTAGAGTTATAGTACCATTGACCACCCACTGATCGTCGATCTGTTGGGATGTTGGGAACTTAATGACTGAATGCCACTGAAAAATGCATAGGTACTAGAGCCACAAAACACATAAGACGACTAGAGCTGCAACCATGCAACCAGTTATACAAAGATGTACATTGTGGATTGCATATATCCTATTTCACGATTATCCATCACGGTAAAATGACAGCTGATTAGCTAGTAATATTTCAAAATTCCCCACATCGACAAAGAGCACATAATTCTGACGGATCCGTCAATGCCAGGTAGACAGAGCTAAATTGTTTTGGTTTTTTGTACGCTACATATTCATTTTGTATTTGCTAACAGTTCTTTTATTTAGAAAAGTTCATTTGCATACAAAAATCAAAACGCTACAAGCAAGTTTTAATGTTCCAGCGCGTATCGGTAAACTAGCGAATCATCAAAGGATGTTCGCGCTCAATGTAAACGACGTTTCTTGTACTTGCGAACCCACGCGAATAAATTCGGCCTACTAAACGTGTACTGTTTAACTACTTTGTGTGTGGTTACGTCTTGCAAAACATGGAATGGACAATTGATGAAACTTTACAACTCATTGAGTTATATAGAACCAAAGAATGTTTGTGGAATCCAAAATCATCATTTTACAAACTTCTAAATAAGAAAAATGATGCATGGCAAGGAATAGCAAAAGAAATGAATTGCAACACCATAGAAGTGAAAAAGAAAATAAACTCTCTGCTTGCCTCATTTCGAAGAGAGAGACAAAAGGAAAGTACAACCAAAACATCAGGAAGTGGAGCTGGAGAACAGTACTACTCAACATGGTTTGCATTTAAGTCTCTGGATTTTTTGAGAGACAAATTTACACCAAAATCTACATTAAATACCGAGGAGGTGAGTGAAATAATACGGATATTCAGATTTTAGTAACGTTTTTATGCTTAAATACATATTTATGAGTAATTTGTTTGCCATGAAGATTGTCCGGATGTTACAAAATACTCCATAAACTCATGCCTAACTTTTTCCGCATTTGCTGAAGATTTTCGAGGTATATTTTTTAATGGAATTAATGATGTTGCTTTTTCGTTTCTCTGCAGTTGCCGTTATTTACCCGCGTATTAGGTTCGATATCAAAACTTCCTGGTGGAGCGTATATATTTCACGATGTTTGGCTCCTTCTCAAAAAATTGTGTAGTACATATACACAACTTAAAACCACCAATATTGCCTTTTTGAATGTAGTGTCCGTTTTTAAATGATTGGACCAATCAAATTTAGCAAATATTCCAAATCAGTTGAAGACATTCTGCAAAAGTTATTCAATTGTCCCAGATTATCGCTTGTAAGGTCTGTAAACATTGTTATTCCTCCTGCAGTGTCTCTTTTTTTCAGTAAATTTGAAGACCATTCCCTCTTTTCTTTTTTTCTTCGTCAAACCTGCCATAACAATAAAACTAGCACTAATAATTATATCGTCAACAGAGTCCGACATGGAGTTCGAAAACAGAACAACGGAACATCCGCGAATGCAAATATTCGTACATATAAAAATGCCTCAAAAGGTAGCGAGCTAACGAACGAACGAACAAGACCAAATTCGTTCCTTCGTTCGTTCGCCCGTGTTCGCTCTAATTTAAATCCACCTTATAGATTTACACCCGATTCGTTATTGCCAACATCGCAGACTAAAATCAAATTCAAGCGGATAACCAAATGGAAATGGTTTGGTTTGGTATTTACCAATCCGTTCAAGCGAGTGTAGTTATCAGTTTGGTTATAAGATCCGTGACGTCACGAATCAGCTGTTATATGTCATAGTTATCAAAATTGTGGTATTTACCCAACTCAGGAGTAGTTTTATATTTCTGGTTATTATTTGAAATGTGACAAGTTAGAATTTTGCCGGGTATTGGATATTGTTATTGTACTTCAGCTTCATTTTTGAGAAAAATGATACAGGCTGACTTCAGTTTTACCATATTTACCTTATTAGTTATACTCATTACGGTTGTTGGGGACACTTTAAATGTAGTTCCTATGCTTAACAAAGTATCCTGTGTAGCCATATACCACAAGAATATTAAAATATGGCCATATAAACTCACTAGATGATATCCACCTGTATACGGTTTTGCTAATTTCTTTTTTCATCATTTCTGCTGAATCAATAAATGTTTTCTTTGACATGCGGAAAAATTTAGAGAATTGAAAGTTATCATGGCTACAAAGCCATGGTTCCATCATTAAAAAAAATCTGAAAAAAACATTTCTCCCATGAATATTATGAAAGGTTTCTTATTTAAACTTTCCATATACAGTTGTAGACGAAAAAGCACCGATTATTAAGTGATAATAAAAATAATCAGAGATTATATACGCGCTTTTCTAAAATAAACAACTTGCAACAAAACCGCGGTTAAAACCAACGCGTTCAAGCGATTCGTGTAACTGACGTCATCAACCCGTGTGTCATCTTGAACCATATTATAACCGCGGTACATAACACAGAAATTTTGGTTATTCGCTTGGATTTGATTTAACACTACAATAATCAAATCCAAGCGAATAACCAAAATTTCTGTGTTATGTGCCGCGGTTATAATATGGTTCAAGATGACACACGGGTTGATGACGTCAGTTACACGAATCGCTTGAACGCGTTGGTTTTAACCGCGGTTTTGTTGCAAGTTGTTTATTTTAGTAAAGCGCGTATATAATCTCTGATTATTTTTATTATCACTTAATAATCGGTGCTTTTTCGTCTACAACTGTATATGGAAAGTTTAAATAAGAAACCTTTCATAATATTCATGGGAGAAATGTTTTTTTCAGATTTTTTTTAATGATGGAACCATGGCTTTGTAGCTATGATAACTTTCAATTCTCTAAATTTTTCCGCATGTCGGCTTTATGAAAAAATGATGAAGAATTGCAAAATACAAGGTATTAGAGCACAAAAATTCTTGGGAGGACTAGGAATGTTAAGCAACCATTTAAAGTGTACAACGTATGATATAACTAATAGGTGTTCCATTATGGTAAAATGAAGCTGAAAGTAAATAAAATCCAATACGGCAAAATTCTAACGGTCCGCAAATGTAGACATATAAACTCTTTGGTTTGTGCATTTTGATGTACTATAACAGCTGATTTGCCTACACAAATCAAACGCTACAAGCAAGTTTAATAATTTACCAAAATGGTATACCATATCCAGGCTACCGGACAATGTCTCTTGCTGATCAGCTGTTCACTTCAGTAGACGTCACAGCGTGATGGATAATCATGAAATAGGGCTATATACAGAAAACAGTCACTGTCTGTTTTAAGGTTATATAGTTGTGATTTTATACCATCGACTTTAAAGTCGATGTTTTATACTGTTTTGCGAAAAATATACAGGAAAATCTTTTTTTTATATATAACTCAGTATCACAGTTTTATTAATTAAACTAGCATTATGACAACAAGTCTGAAGAAGCGAAGAGAACAAAAAAATAAAGATGAAAAGAAACCTTCAGAGGGCGAGCATAAATCTGAGGAGAAACCAACTCTGTAGGCATTTATAAATTTCATTTCACATATTTAAAATTCAACATTAGCGTATGCCTTTTTCTGTAGTAAATATGGCCCAATGCCCACATTCCAAGGACAGCACATCTGGGCCAGAGGTGTCTTCATAGTAGGAGCACTTGTGTATGTTTGGTTTAACTACAACAAGCCTACCGAAACTGTAATGGCCAAACACAAAGAGATATATGATAGGAAAGGATACATACTTGAATGTGATGATGAGTACAAGAAAGATGTGTACCAATATCCTGGATGCATTCCCAAGTTTTGTGGAAGGTTTGTTAGTGATAAAATTGTTACAGCTGTGGAGAGTGATGCTTTGTATAACCTTGCGAAAAAAGGTAAATTTTTAATTTAGCTTTGAGAGAGGACTAAGGTGACAGTCGAGGATATAATTTTTTGCAAATCTTAGCTTATGCTAGATTCATGCAACTGTGATCCAAAACAGAAGTTATTTAAAAAACCTATAAATCTTCCACTAGCTGATTTGCTTTTAGGGACCTATATCAGGGATTACATTATTAAGTTAACTATCAAAAGAAAGTGCTCATTTTAAAATTAAAATTTTCCTTGAACTAAAATGCCTGGCAGAATCAATAAGCTATGCTCTACACCTAAACACCCTTATTAGCTCTACCTTATGCAATACATAATACAAGTCATATCCTTTTGGGTCTGCCTGCATGAATCCATCATTAGCTACAACCAAGTTAGACTAGTACTTTGTTTCTAAAACATTAAGTGGCCAAATACAATTGTACTACTTCCCAGACAAATATTTCAGTAACTAAATTACAATAAAATTGTAATGCTTTTTAAGTTTCATATAAAAAGTTTTCAAGTCATTCCTATAATTAGTTTGTTTTATAATAGGAAATAAGATTAGAACACAACAATATAACACACCAGGTTCATCATGATTCTAGCCAAATATCTTTAGAATTACAAAGTGACTTTTATTTATTGAAGCAAGATTTTAAAGGTCAGTTTTGTGGATCTGTACAATTTTTTTTTTTTTATACTGCAACTACCACGAAGGCCTAAGGCCTAAGCACCCATTGGGTACCGTGGGGCTATAGGGGGATACATGGCAAAATGGGGGGACGCCACACGGACTCTGGCGAGGGAACACGTGTGCATGCAACATGCACACATTCTGGCTCCGCCTACGAGAATCGCCAGGTGGTACCTCCGCGTTCGACAGTCAGAGACCATCTACCACCTACGGACAATCACAACATCCATAGCCAAGAGAAAAATTTCTCCTGGGACGGGACTCGAACCCGCACAGCACACGGCAACTGATCAGGAGATCGAACAGTCTACTACTGCGGCCACCGCTGCTGCCTTATTTTGTGGTATAACAAAAATTGTTACGGATCAGACTTCTACACACTCATCCTGCTTTACAGTCATTCAGATTCTATTCCTATGTGATCTATATCCTTTTTCAAAGGTTCTTTTTTGATCTTGTATAGGAGTTTGTCTATGAATTCATTTGAAAAATAAATGAAGCTTTTCTGTTGGCAGATGAGTGTACAGTTAGAGGCATATATAGTTTAATTATTGTAGCTTCTTTTGTTTGAATGGAAGAGGGTCTTGCTATACATTACGAGGGATGTCTTTTAAGTTTCGTATATGGAAATAAAACGACATAGTAGGTAGTTTTAAATGACTTTATTGTTTTTCGAAGTATTCTCCACGAAGATTAATACACACCTGCAGGTGCTCGAATCAATTTTCGAAGCACTTATTCCACTCCTTTGCTGGCAGATCCAAAACGATATTTTTGTGTGGGTCAACTGCTTCTTCTGGTGACTGGAACCTTTGACTGAGCAGTCTGTTTTTAATTTTCGGGAAAGTAAAGAAATCGTTAGGACTTAGGTCAGGACTATATGGAGGATGGTCCAATAATTCCACGTTTTCTTCCGATAAATACTGCCTTGTTTTTTGGGCTGTGTGCGAGCTTGCATCGTCTTGGTGGATGACGATTCCTCATTCGGGGTTGATTTTTCGAAGCTCGCTGATGACTTTTGGCAAACAAATGGTGGTATACCAATCCGCAGTAACAGTTCTTTGCTCATTAAGAGGAAATGTTGCAATATGACCCGCTTTTGACACAAATGTCGCGACCATCTTTCGAGAACGGATGACTTTTGTTGGCTTTTCTTCACCTTGGAGCACCCAAACAGCCGACTGTCATTTATTTTCTGGTTCATAACAGTAAATCCACGATTCATCACCACTAACAATGCTGTTCACATTTTTTGAGTTTCCGGAATTGAAACAGTCAAGCATTTTTTGACACCAATTAACCCTGGCTGCTTTCTGCTCTAATTTTCTTACTCCTAATTCTTCATGTAAAATTTTTTGAATTGAGGTCTTTGAGATCTTCAAGGACGCCTCAATCTCTCGACGTTTTCCTGGGTGACTGCCGTTTTTGGTGCACCCACCCTGGGATCGTCGCTAAGACTCACCCGTCCACGTCTGAATTCTCCATACCAACGGGAAATTGTCGACTGATGTGGCGCTTCGTTGCGGAAAACAGAGAGTAACTCAGCAAGGCATTCTTGTTGCGATAATTGTCTCTGAAAGTTGTAATAAATTATAGCGCGAAAATGTTCTCGGTTGAGTTCCATTTTTCTAATGACTTCGTGACACTTAAACATTCACTATAGTGAGAACACTGCACGTATTGTTGTGAAACTTTGAATATAGGTTTACTAAAGAGTGAGGTTAAGATTCAGTATTGACTTTCGATCCGCGCGGCCTACTATGTTTCTATATGCAAAACTTAAAAGACATCACTCGTAGTAAGATCCGAATTTTGTCCTTTGCCAGGAAATTCTTTGGAATTTATTGAATGATTTGAGATTTGTTTGTGTACTAATCTTGACAATAATCATCATTATTTTATTATTAGTAATAATAATATGAGAACATATGAAGTTTCGTTAAAGGCCCAAGTAAATGTTACAGGGATTGTTTCAGAAACAAAGGGATGATTAAATCATTACTACACCCATATCTCATAAGATTATTCCAAACATTTCTCTGAATTATAATCAAAGACAGGTACTACCTTGGCTCTCTTTATTTGGCAATGTGAATAAATGTAATAAAATAATATTTTTAATATTATCAGTAATGGCAATGGGTGGCTCAGCAGGAGGTGCAACTGTGATGGACCTTAACTCAGGGGCATTGTCTTATAATGACAAGTTCATCAATGCTTACATGAGTGATGAGAAATTTTTGTCCCCTTCAGATAAGGCAATTTTCAAACTGGTCAAATCTAAGATACAGAATGCTATTGCTGATTCTTTTCAACTGGATTTAAGGAGCATCCATATCACACGACCTCTTTTCTTCTCAAGGTTGACAGCTAAAGATGCTAAGATTCCTAATGATGAATACTGGCACCCTCATGTAGATAAGGTGAGAAAAAAAACATAAGTGCAGATCTAGATTATTGATGGGATTTTTGGGAAGGTATCTGGACAAACTACATAAGATGATTCCTCCACTAATTTTAATACCAAATCTTCACATAGACATAGGTCTAGGTAATGATTCTTCTTCAAAATAGAGACCATGATCTTTTGTGGCTTAACAAATGTCACAATTTTTTTCTTTTTGATGTTTTTGTATAAAATAGTTAATGTTGTCATAGATTGCCCAGAAGTGCTTACACAAATAAATATTGATGCTAATGAAAGGCGAACTCAATACATCACATCATTCTATCAATTATGGTATAAATGAACGTATACATGAACGCCGCTACAATATAGATATTTTCAGTAGCAATATTGAGCACCTTCTTACAAAACCCCACTGTAGAGAACAGAAAAGCCTACGTCGAGTCCAGAAACAAATATAATGAAGCAGTCGGCAATGCCAAAAACCAGCACAATGTAAAATCATGCACAGGTAGCAGGTCTTACTTGACGCTGGCCCAGCAGATTGAAAGAAACTTCTCACAGACTCGCCTTCCACCACTTACGTGCTACCAAATAACGATTGTAACTGACTAAACGGGTAAGGCAGAAGTGTTTTCTAAGATCTTTGCCAATTCCACCATGGATGTCCGCCACAACGCCCGAGTGCAGAGGGTTCCCTGCACTATGCGGGAAGTAACATTCAGACATAAGACCATAAGACAGGTGCTCTTGTTGCTTGCCATCAACTAAGCTTCTGGTCCGGACTTGTTGTATTGAAGAGGTGTACAGCCGAGCTTACTCCTGTTCTTTCACGTCTCTCGCAGATATCTTACGAATCCGACACCTTCCCAGAAAACTGGAAATTCGCTCATATTCAACCCATCCTAGAAAAAGGATCAAGACCGATCCTTACAGCTACAAGCCTATATCTCTGCTTTCAGATTTAAGCAAGGTGATGGTGTGGTGCATAAACCGGGAGATTCTGGAGAATCTCAAACGTCACGGCTTGATTAGCGACAGGCAGTATGGTTTCCGGCACCAGCGATCCCCAGGGGATCTCCTAGCTTACGTCAAGCAATTGTGGAGTAAATTCATCCAGTCTAATGGCTCATGTTGTTACTTTTGATATTACGAAAACGTTCGATCAGCTATGACATGCTGCTCTCTTATGCAAACTTCCATCCTATGGCCTCCCAGAGAAGCTTTGCATATGGGTGGCTGACTCTCTCTGGTCGCAAGATATCCGTCGTCAATGCGGATGTTCTGAATGTATCTGTTTTGGCTCCAACATATCAACGACCTCTTACATATCAACGCCCTCTTTTTCTGTACGATCAATCCAATCTACGGCTTTGCTAATGACAGCACTCTACTCGTACTTGTAGGAATTCAGTGACATGCCGATCTCGGTGAGCTGGAGAAAAGAAGACTACCAGCGACTCCCTCTCTGACGACAGACCTGGAGGTTTTCACTGCTTGGAGACGCAACAATTTTGTACACAGTACAATAACTTTTCCTCCTAGCGCTCATCCAGTTTCGATGGATGGCCGAGTTCTATCAAAGAGCCGTTCATTCCGACTGGTCGTAGTCCTTATCACCGATGACTTGATCTGGCACGAACACCTCTCGTCAATAACGACAGCTGCCGGGAAAAAGCTAGTCTATTTGTTTAGGGCTAAGAAGTACTTTTCTACGGCCTAGCCTCGAGTATTCTCCTTACTTATGTCTCCCATCCTAACCATGTCGAACTTCATTCATCCAGAACTGGCCTATACGACCGCTCCTTTGAATCGAAATTGTGGAACAATCTGCATTAGGAGGCTTTTCCCGGTTCTACTGGTTAGTAGAACGGCAGTTTAAAAATTGGATTAACAGCTTCTTCAAGCTCGTCATAACAGCCGCGGTGCCCTAGCACTTAGGCTTCTACCTGCGCGGCTGTTTCGGTGTAAAAAATACAAGAAAAACGTTTCCATTCAACTTTAGTTTGTTAGCTTTTAAATTTAAGGAGACTGAGTATCACATGGATCTTTAGTTCATCTTTAGTTTAATAGTTTATATAAAGATAAAGTGTTCTTCCTATAACCTTCCTCAGGTATCAATTAGTGAGTGTACAAAGTTGTACGCCTCTCCGTATTGTGGTTCAGACGTGATGCTGACAGACTGCGAAGACATCCATATTCATATACAAGGTGTTCAGAACTATGGTATCAAACTTGTAGTGGTTATTCAGTGTAACAGTAGAAAACATTTGAGTATAGGCACCCATATCCGGAAAAGTGTCACTACGGCCCTAAGATGCGTTAAAATTAGAAAGACGATGAATTGCCTAAATAGGATTTAATGCATTTAATTTTTGCCTTGTGTACACGATATAATCACAACAATTGTTCAAAATGTCTTCCTCCAACCTTAATACACCATTCCTGTGGGTACATGTAAAGTTTTTGCTTTACGAAACTCTAGTAGAAACAGAGCAAGACTTAATTGGACGAATTACAGCAGCATTTGAAATCATTCAAAACGAGTATCAAATTTTTAGTCAAGTCCGCCGAAATCATGTGCGACGTTTAAATTGGTGTATTCAGGTTGGAGGAAGACATGTTGAACAATTGTTGTGATATCATGAACAAAAGGCAAAAATTAAATGCATTAAATCCTATTTACGCAATTCATCGTCTTATGGCACTTTTCCGGATATGGGTCCCTCTACTCAAATGTTTTCTACTGTTACACTGAATAACCCCTAGAAGTTTGATCCATTAGTTCTGAAACAACCTGTATAGAGATTAAAATTCGATTACTGTACCTTGTATTCTAGGATACCTATGAATCCTTTCACTATACATCCCTAATCTACTTGAACGACTTTGGCGTGGATTTCAACGGTGGCAGATTTGTCTTCATGGATAAAATAGAAAAGTCATCGAAGAACATTACAGTGGAACCCAGGAAAGGCAGAGTATTGATATTCACATCAGGTGCTGAGAACTGTCATCATGTAGAAAGAGTAACTAATGGAGAGAGGTATGCAATGACTGTGCCTTTCACATGTGACAGCTCCAAGGCAATCAACAATTCCCAGCTGCTCGGATGAGAAATTTCTAAGATAGTAGGTAAGTCAAGTTCTGTTGGGAGTTGTAATGTTATAATACATTATTGATATTCTATTTCACGGGTTAAATAGCTTGGTGGATATTCACATATGAAGTGTTGATGGATTCATCTTATGCTGAGAATATTAAAATCTTATAATATCAAAAAAGCAAATTTTGACACGCGATGTGTCTCTAGCTTTGTATTGATAATGTTAGTGAAACTTGGTATATTAAAATTGTATACAGTCAAAATAAGAATTTTCAAAATTGGTGCTATTTTTTTAATCTACTGTTACTAATTATGGGGGTGCTGATATGTCTACACCTGCCAAGCATCAAAATCAATTTTCAACTTCCCCTAAACAACAATTGTCTGTTTCAGGACTAATTAGGAAGCTTGAGAATTTTGTATCTTCAGTCTGCTTTAGCTTACACACTTTTAGTACCTACTGAGATGTCACATCACAGTTTTTCTCACAATATTTTTGAATTATTTTGTGATATTAATGTAATGTATTTAATAAAAAAAATGATTTGTATAAAACTGTTTCATTTTCAAGCTTTTGATGTAAGAGAAACATTCCAGAATAAATTTTCACTGCTAGTTATATTCTGTCAAAAAATCACAGTTTTAGTAATGAAGGAATGGCAGAGAGACATTTACTATATTATGAAAAGGAAGAAATATATTTCAGCTTAGGTAAGTTTATCAACTAGGCAAAGTAGCAAATGTCTATACGTAAGGATATTGATAAGCACAAGTAAACATTCAACGTGAAATACTGCTGAAATTTGCCATCTGGCTCCTACGATAGTGATGCACATTATTTTTAATTTATGGTGCTGGTTGCACGGATTGCACCATCTCTGGAATAGTAGTAACGTTAGCTAATTTGCCATCTGCCCAGCGCTAGTATTAATTAAGAACGCTGCTATCTGTTGAGCAGATATTATAACTAAGAAGTTGCGCCACATTTTCAACGTATTGGTTAACTATACGGTCAATAGATGCCACTTGCTTTGTCATGCGATGTTGCCACTTTGCCTAATGTCATTTTTAAGCTTTTTCTTTATCATCTGTATCCTTTCATTCGTTTTTATTTTTGTTTACAAAATTGTAGGGGATGGTATTAGGTATGAAGCCCAAAATGACTAAGGGCATACGAGACGAACAGATGATAAATTCGTGTTGGTGCCTTTGTGCTTCGTAGTAAATCGTAAATATAACCCGCATAAACATGCCCGATAGCTGAAGGTAAATAAATGAATGAATAATCGCGTATGATGAGTCATTCGCCCGCTTGCACATTGTTGAACAACCGTTGGAGGCAGACCGTAAGATAAATGCAACACCATCAGTTATTCCTATACTTTGCGTAGGCATATTTACATTACAACGGCTTTTTCATTGTATTTTCTATTCGCGTAGAACAATACCACTTATCTGTGATAGATTTTATCTATACGCAATGTTAGTATATAGATTAAGTGCGAAAAAGTGAGTTTAATATGCAATTGAAAAAGCAGCCTTTTGTTTATTGAGAATGGATAACGCTTTGCCTGCCCCTAAAAAACCCGTTCCCACACCTAGAAGAAGTGTGCAAACATCACCAGTGATTCCTAAGCCTGTGGAGCCAGTTACTGTTCAAGATGAATCTTCCAACACAAATACAAACACCCTTACGAAAAGGGTAAGCACAGCCTCAAAGCAATTAGCTGAGGACATTGGCAATCTAGTGAGTGATAGAAAAAGAGCTGTTATAGAAGGTACAAGGCAGAGTGTCCGGAAGCTTACTAGGAAGTTCAGCTCAGCTTCTAGGGAAGATAATAATAACTTGGCTGAATCACCCCCCAAAAATGATGAAGATACCATCAATATCTTCAGTACTATCAGGTATTTGAAATAAGCTCTATTGTATATGTAAACATCAAGCATTAAACATAATAAAATTCTTATGTAGGCACAGCATTTAGGTTTCCAGCATCAACTAAGAAAAATAGCTTATTTTGTGTTCATAATCATTATATCACAGGGCTATATGATAACCATTCATCATTGTTTGTCAGAGCAATCTGATGGACCTTTGCTCTTAGTTAAAAGTCTCGTTAGTCTGTCAGATCTAGGTATCCAGATACCATACATGTTTAAGGGGAAAGAAAGGAAGGATAAAATAGAGCAAAGAAAAGAAGTAAATCTTTTGAATTAGCTTAAGCATTATTGGTTTGACTACTTGAATAATTTTGTAACTCCAAAAAATAATTTTGATAGGTTTTGTATACTGAAATAATTTTGGTTGGTCTGAAATTAATAATTTAATTGTGATCACAGTGCAAGGAGGGCCTAGACTTTTTTCGAACTTGTTCGACTTTGGTCTACTGAATCTTGCAACAGAGGGTGGCTGTTCATTCCAGCTTGATTATAATACCGCCTGTGCCTATTGTTTTACATAATTCCTTAGATATGGGATATCAAGATTTCTATGAATGATCCCATATGACATACCACAGGGTGTTAGTGATTGTGCATAGGGTTCTGTTTTGCAGTATCTGCATGTGCATCTTGGCAAGAAAGCTGCGCATGTGTAGGTTGGAATTTTGTTTTCAAAATATCAGTATGTTTCTGCCAGGTCAACCCCTTGCTAATGCTGACTCTAAGGTACCTGACAGATTGTTCCCATGGTATACAAGCTCCATTCTCTGATATCTCTGATAGGGCACTGCAACGTTTTTTAATACAGTAGAGTACCTGCATTTTCAAAGTACTAATTTTGATCAGCCACCGATCCTCCCACTCCAATACTTCCTCCAGCGCATTCTGCAGCTTGTTCTGAACCAGGTTACCAGAACACAACTGGACTACCAGTGCAGTGTTGTCAGTATAGAGATATACTTTACAGTTGCTGGGGCAAGGGACATCATGTATCTAAAGTAAATGAAGGATTGGCCCTAAGACCCAATCCTGAGAACACTGGCTCTCACTGGCCATGTTGTTGACAAAAGATTGTTAATTTCGATCCAAAACTTGGTTACTTACTAGAAAAAATTTCAACAGTTTTAGTAGCCAAAATGAAAAGCTTTTTTGGGCGAGCTTATACAAAAGGCCCATATGCCACACCATGCCTTTGATATAACTAAAATCGAGATACCAGTACTTTTGTTGATGGTGAGCTTCCTGATTACATGCTCCACCAGAAAGCTGAATATAACATCCAGTGCCTGAAGGTGATTTCAAGGATGGTGTGTTGGCTCTTGAGTGCTGTGAATAAGATACCCGTTTCGCATCACATGGTTGTAAAACCGAATCCCACAAGTAGAGTTAAGCTTTGAGTGCCATGGTCAGTGTTTGCAGTTATAGTCCCCTGCCACAATAAGAGGGCATGAACAGCCCATAACGGCTTCCAAATCCTCCTTTTGCAACCTGGCACCGCACCTTACATACACTAAGGTGATCTTCAACAGAACCCATTTCGCCATGGGCACCCATTGAGGGGGTGCAAGGAGGGGGCATGACTTCTGCTTCAAAGTAAATATTTTTAATAAGATACCTAATCCTTGGGTAAGAAGTAGCGTGTGAGTTTTTTTTTGCTCTTCAAAACATCCCAACATAGAAGATATTATTTCTGCTACCATTTTTTAATAGTTGCTAGTTGGCTAGTTCTCATTATTTTTTATGAGAAAACATGCCGCCCCCCAATATTTGGCTCAATATTGTTTGATGAAGGAATCAGGAAATGTTTATTTATTTCATTCAGATCATTAAACACGGTAGCAATATTTGTTTTCATTGACTTGCAGATAATGTCCAGATTCTACAATTTTTTCCAGATGGCCCTATATTAAAAATCTTTTATAAAAATAAAGCACTTTCTCATGTATCTTCTATGATAAATAGATCATGGAACGGAGAAATTTGTAATAATTCTACTAAGATACTCTTATCTACACTCTTCAAATTCCTAAAACATTTAGTTTTATTGGCAGCAACAGACTTCAGATTTAAAGTGCAAAATACACCAAGACACATTGCCAATGTCTAAGGTTCCTTTATCAGATATATTTAAATTATTAGAAACTATGATGACATCAATGATAGAAGCAGTAGTATTAGTGATACGTGTGGGTGAATTTACTAATTGAGACAAATTAAAAACTTCAATGCTGTTATGGAAGGTATATTTGTTATAAGAATCCAAGCAGTCAAGATTTATATCACTGCTAAAAATGATATTATCTGAATTTAAATAGAACTCTGTCAAATTTTCCTCAAGATTAATCAGGAAATCACATATAGTACATTTTCCTGGTGGCCTATAAACTGTGCCAAACTTTAAATGCTTTTTATTTATACAGAAAGTTAACCAAATTTGTTCCACTGCATCACTATGTAGAAAAATAAGTGTCTTACATGTTATATATTCAGCTACATAAATTCCATCACCACCACCTCTACCTGCTCTATCCAGCCTGAAAAATATGTAACCATTAATATGAATATTAGAATTGGGAATACCATCATGCAACCACGTCTCACACACACCAACCAGATCAAACTTTTTCTTTAAAATAAACTGTAGTAAGTCAAAGAAGTTACTTGTCAGCGACCTTACGGTAATAAAACAAATTCTTTTATGAAAAGATATTAATGTACTTAATATGACCCATTTTATTTTTTTTACATTATGAATAAAGTTTAGCACACACACGATTCTTATTTCACTTTTAAAGCATCCACATCAGCCTTTGAAACAATCTTCATTACCGCGCCACCATCTTCTTTCCTCACATAGACATGGTCATTTTTACACCACATACTTGAATCCTCCTCTCTTCAAATCCCCGGGGTACTTAAAAACATCGCTCACTGCCCTTGGCAAATCTTCATTAGTATAAATCCTACTGTTTGAGTCATTTTTTTTACCATCCAACCTCATTCTCCTTCCTTTGTCAAGAACATCTTTTCGTCGATCTTCTGTCTTGAATTGAACTACCACAACTGCTCTGTTACTGTTACCAGTTGGCAACACAGACACTTTATAATCATCACCATCTACCTCCATTTTGACAAAAACTTTTTTTTACATTCGTTTCGGCATCCCTGTCACCACTGAGACCTGTGATAATTACATTTTTCTTTCTACTAGCATTTTCTTCTTTCAACAATTGGCTCTCCACATGAGTGACCTCCTTTTCAAGATCACCAACTCTGGTTTTTAAATGATCTTAATCCTTCCTTAGCTTTTTGTTTTCCTCAGCCAATGATTTTATAGCCTCTTGCTTCATTATATTTCCATTAAAAGATATGGCTTTTTCAAGCTCATAAAAATTTAGAGTGGAGAGTCTTCATAATATCCTTATCGCTAGGATTCTTTATTTGTTCAAAATCAAATGTATCCGAATCATCTCAATCTGAAGATCGATTGTTACATTTACTGTATAACCATTTTTGATCAGATTTGCGTTTTTCAAATGCTAAGACGTGATCATCAGTCAAGCCTGTGCAGGTTTTGTGATACCATTTTCCACACGAGCCAGTTCATTCAGACTATAACTCCAGCTCCTTATTATCTTGTAACAGTCACTTTTTATACATGCAAACTTTTTGTTGCCTGGTACACTTTTTGTGAAATGAAATAAATGTATTTCTATTTGCTACGCTTATACACGCATGAAAAATATGTGCACTACCAATATTCCACCGGAAATCAACTTCTTGCACCACTATCAATAACCCGTGCAAAGATCAGATATTTTGCCGAAGTTAAACCATCGATTTTCAACAAAATAAGGAGAGCACTTTTACCCACGTATGTCACTGTCTCAGATAACATTCGATATATGGAATATGGCGTATAAAGGAGTAGTTTTCGCCACTTGGACCCATCATGCAAAAAATAATGAGTGTGATTTGCCCCTAGTGGGGTCTGTTGTGCTGGTCGTCACCAGCAAGGCGAGATTGTTGAGTTAATGTACCGTCAGTCGATGCAATGGCCAAAGATTGAGAAGATGTGTTCGCTGCATTGACTGTCATAGGGTAACTGGCAGAAGAAGTTAACACATTTAATGAAGCAGGCGGTTTCGAGGGGACTGTCAACTTGATCTTGAATTTTGCTTTTGAAAGAGGTGGAAAGTCTTGTCGGTTTTGTGGCTGCATTTTTTTCTAGACTTGGCCTGATTGAATCCACCATTCTGTATTTCATCGTCGGCGGTGTCATATTATCAGTCAAATTTTCAAAAGGTCTTTTTAAATTGACAGCCTTGACAGATTTGGAATTAAAATTTTGATTACCAATCAACTGTGTTACCTGGGTGGTCAGACAATATATTTTGGTCCCTAAAGATAGTGAAAGATGCTTACTGTGATTCTTTCTTCGCTACCTCGATGAGCGCTTCCTCGCGATTTTCTACATGGATGGAGGGTGTTCATACGGAATTCACGTTCGATGTTTTCTCTTCTCTCCTCGAAAGCGGTTCTTAATGTTTCATTTTTTGACGAGCGATAATCAGGCAGGATGTTGTCAAGCGCCAGTGATAGTGAGAGGGATTTGTCTCTAGTAACCAAGTGGTGGATGTTTAGTTCTCTGTCACATCGAAAATACATTACTAACGTCCCCTGGTACGTGTCAAATGAGACCATTCACAGAGATCTTGATATAATATCTAAGGGATTATGTAAAACAACAGGCGCAGCGCCATTATAACCAAGCGGAATCGCACAGAAACCCTCTGTTGCGTGATTCAGTAGACTACACAGTCGAGTAAGTTCGCAAACATTCCAGGCCGCGCCTCGTACTGTGATCAAAATTAAATTGTAAATTCAGTAGTCAAAGCAATAATGCTTAAGCTATTTCAAATGATTTACTTCTTTTCTTTGCTTTATTTCTTCCGTCCTTTCTTTCCTTCTTTCCCTTTTCCCCTTAACCATGTTTGGTATCTGGGTAGACCTGACAGACTAACAGACCGACGAGACTTTTAACTAAGAGCAAAGGTCCACTGGACCGCTCTGACGAATAAAGACGAATAGTAGTATCGAAAATACAGTACACATCCAGTAAACACAGCGAGACAGGAACTTTGAGAGTACCACCATCTCTTCCTCGAATTGAAAAGATGCAAGGAAAGATTCCACTCTTACATGAGAATCTTGACAGATACATTTGGTTACATACTCGACAAAGTTTACTTTTTCATTTCATTACAATAAATAATGAAGGCAACAGCTGTGAAACTCTGTCAAAGAAATGTCTAGCTTCCAAACACAACGATTACTATGAGGGACTGTGGACTCTAAATGTATACGATTCTCTTGTTTCAAGGCCGATGGAACTGAAGACTTGTTAATTTTAATAAAAAACTATTGAAGCAATTTAGTTAAATGTATTCATATTACGTTTACAATATCTTTTTCATAGTTTAAATGTCACTCCTCTTGCCGCACATATCACATAGTGTTGTGACAAAATGGATCCGAAAACAAAATAAGCTATTCTTAGTTGATACTGTAAACCCAAATACCGTATATTCACACAAGTAATAAAAAGCGTATTATGCCCTAAGGGCCATTTAAAATACTTTTTTTCTTTGCTGTATGGTCTGCTATATTATTATTCAGTCAATCAATATTTGTATGTCAATACTAAGGTAAGAAAATCTGACATCATTAGATCTCATCTCTTTTATATACTCCAAGCACAACTCCACAATGATTTCAATAACTGCATAACACATTTAGCTTGAACTTTGTTTTTCAAATTAGTTTTATTGACATCAGTCATCAGTGACAGACAACTTAGATTTTAGTTATATCATGAATCTTATGATTTGATTCCAGATTCAACTCCCCTATGAAAAATGGAGAGAGTTTGTACTCTAACGTTGACGGAGAAGAAACAGAGACAGACTACTCTTCTGGGAGTGATATTGTAGGCCTTCCCCCTCCAAATCACCCACCCCCTCCCCCACCTGATGAGTCATATTATGATGCTCCTCTTTCATCTGCATCTGCAAGCTCTACCCTTTCTACAAAAGAATCATCTCCAGAAAAATCAAAACCAGAGCCATATGAAAGCATTTTTCCTCTAATGTTGAAAAAGGATTCAGGTATATAAATGTCAAACATATTTATCATTTAATACTAGTTAGTTAATTTTCTTCAGATCATCAAACCACATCACTATCATATTACAGCTACACATTTCTAGTTATACACGAAAATGAGATAATTGATAAAATATGAAATCCCAAATCGTTGAGATAAGTTTTCCGTCACTGGCCAATTTTAAAAAACGACAAAGCTTGTCCTTACCATAGTTGTAACCTTATTCCAGAATTTAATCACAGTCCCAATAGTACTTTCAAAGTTATAGAGGTAGACAATATCTCAAATTTAAACATTTTTGCAACTATAATACTTCCTCTCTACATGAGCCATATGTTTACATGTGAGTGAAGTGTTTTGTGCTATTTCATCTTTCCAATTGATGGTGACTGACGGTGACACTTTACCAATTATTTTCTGCAATAATGCATTATTTTTTTCTTTTTGTGAAGTTTATAAAACTTTGCTTAAGATGTCTTTAAAATGTTGAGTAATCAAGTGTTTGAATTATATATTGTTATTAAGACTTGATTTTATAGTGTTATGGTAACTCTATATTTTTCCTCAAAATTCAGGTAGCTCCAGTGATCAGAATGAAAGCTTATCTAGATCAGGTTCCTGGAAATTTTATGATACTGTTACAAAAAGTAGCAATGAAGAAGTAAATATATACAACATAGAAGAAAAAGCTGAAGAGGAAGAGGAAAGCATTTATGCCAATAGTAGTGTTGAACAAAACTCGTGTAGTACAGATTCTGGTAGTTCAAAAGGCGGCCTGAGAAGAAGCTACTATGAAAATCATGATATAGTTGTTCCAAAAATGCCAGCACCTAGACCATCAAAAAGTGTCATTATGCAGTTTGATCCACTACAAAAACCACAAGGTGAGACCTATAATGAATTATTCTAATTGGTTTTAGGAATTAGTCTTTCCTGAAGCAAACCTTTTGACTGGCATACTACACACTGTAGGCACAACATACATAATATCTTATATTTTAATTAAGAAAAATTCACATGGGATTTTAATGCGTCAAGAGAGATCATTGCGGTTTTGACCTTTCAACATGCCAAGATATGATTAAATACGTATTTCATCTAACAAACTTCAAGTAAAATAAACATATCACACCAAAACGAGCAATTTATTTGCATAGTTTTATTTTGAGATCGATTGGAGAAATTAACACATATACGTCTTCATTTGAGATTTAGGTAAATTATTTAGAATATTAGTTAACAATATCATTCTAGAACATTGCAGTTATTAAGAAATTCAATACCATGTAACATAATGAGGCCTGCTTTCGACTTCTGATAGTGCATGATGGATGCAAGTAGTTCATTGATGATTCATTCAAAATCCAAATCCAAAAATATCTCACTATATCGACGCGCTACTTGTTATTTTTTTATACAGGGTGGCCAAACACGTGACGTCATAAAAAAAAATTAGATTCCCCACATCGAGAGGAACCCAAATCACCCCCATATATATGGTCCGATTTTGTTTAGTTTAGGAGTTATGATTTTTTTCGGATTTTTCGAGAATTTTTGAGTTCTGTGTTTATTTTTACCATAACTTCGTTAATAATTGTGATAAATGCCTGCTTTTTTCACGATTATGTAGCTAAGACCTAAGGCTTAACTACCATATAATCATTCAAGTCATGTAACTAATACTACTTTTTAATTTTTTTCAAAATCTTCGAACATAACAAAAAAGTAAAAAAGTGCAACAACTTTGAACGTTTATAAAAAATTGAAAAAACATGTTCTTACTATTCGTAAGTATCTTAAAAACTTCCTTACGGTATCAGCTATTTACCGTAAAAATTTCATCAACCTAGCTTTACTACATGCTACCGTAATTGTGGCTCAAATAGAACCGAACCCAAAATTGGATAACCCTCTGCTCAATAGAAATTGTTAGTTTCGGAAAAAAAATTGCAAAAACCACAAAAACACGTTTGATTTTTACTGAACAGCAGATTATTATTCATTTATGTTATTTACAAGAGGTTTTCAAAATGTCTGCCTCTAACAGAAATGCACAGTGTACACCTACGTATGAAATTTTGTTTTAAATCTCTAAATGCTTGTGTGTTGTTTTTCAACACATGTGTCGCTTCTTGAATTTTGTTCCTCAATGAATTTTCATTTGCACATTCTTGGGCGAATGTTGTGTCTTTAAAATATCCCCAAACAAAAAAATCAATGGGGTTGAGGTCAGGGGAGCGTGGAGGCCATCGTATCGGTCCGTTTCGTCCGATCCATCTGTCTGGGAACCTTTCGTTTAAGTAGTTTCGCACGATCGTTGCGTTGTGGCATGGTGCACCATCATTCTGGAACACCATGTTCCGTCTGGCTTCCAGGCTTGAATCTTCCAGCAATAATGGTAGGCTATTTTCAAGGAAGCTTTTGTAGGCTACCGAATCCAACCTTGACGGCAGTTCAAATGGACCGATAAATTCCATATTGAATATTCCTGACCACATGTTCACACTAAAACGGTGTTGAAATGTCGACGGCCTTGACTGATGGGGGTTTTCAACAGCCCAAGTATGTAAATTATGGATATTGAATATCCCTGTTCTTTCAAAACGTGACTCGTCAGTCCATAAAATTTTATCAAAAAAATCGGGATCCTCTCGTTGTCTTCGCAGCATTGTCTCGCAGAAATCCACTCTTAACTGGTAATCTGAAGGCATCAACGCTTGAACTCTTTGAACATGATAGGCATGATAACCTTCTTCATGAAGAATATTTTGTATCGATGTTCGTGGTATTGTAAGGTTTTGTGCCATAGATCTCGTACTCGTTGAGGGATTCCGGCTAATTTCTTCAAGTACTACTTCTCTGCGATCCGGATCAGCTGTAAGATATCCTTCATTGCTTCCTCGTCCTGGAATGCGGCCTGCCATGAAAGTGTTATGTGTGTTAATAAAAACACGGTGGTCTGGGTAATGCTCAGGTTGTGGTCCGCCTCGGCGTATAAGTTGTTCCCGGTACAGCTGAGCATTACCCAGACCACCGTGTTTTTATTAACACACATAACACTTTCATGGCAGGCCGCATTCCAGGACGAGGAAGCAATGAAGGATATCCTACAGCTGATCCGGATCGCAGAGAAGTAGTACTTGAAGAAATTAGCCGGAATCCCTCAACGAGTACGAGATCTATGGCACAAAACCTTAGAATACCACGAACATCGATACAAAATATTCTTCATGAAGAAGGTTATCATGCCTATCATGTTCAAAGAGTTCAAGCGTTGATGCCTTCAGATTACCAGTTAAGAGTGGATTTCTGCGAGACAATGCTGCGAAGACAACGAGAGGATCCCAATTTTTTGATAAAATTTTATGGACTGACGAGTCACGTTTTGAAAGAACAGGGATATTCAATATCCATAATTTACATACTTGGGCTGTTGAAAACCCCCACCAGTCAAGGCCGTCGACATTTCAACACCGTTTTAGTGTGAACATGTGGTCAGGAATATTCAATATGGAATTTATCGGTCCATTTGAACTGCCGTCAAGGTTGGATTCGGTAGCCTACAAAAGCTTCCTTGAAAATAGCCTACCATTATTGCTGGAAGATTCAAGCCTGGAAGCCAGACGGAACATGGTGTTCCAGAATGATGGTGCACCATGCCACAACGCAACGATCGTGCGAAACTACTTAAACGAAAGGTTCCCAGACAGATGGATCGGACGAAACGGACCGATACGATGGCCTCCACGCTCCCCTGACCTCAACCCCATTGATTTTTTTGTTTGGGGATATTTTAAAGACATAACATTCGCCCAAGAATGTGCAAATGAAAATTCATTGAGGAACAAAATTCAAGAAGCGACACATGTGTTGAAAAACAACACACAAGCATTTAGAGATTTAAAACAAAATTTCATACATAGGTGTACACTGTGCATTTCTGTTAGAGGCAGACATTTTGAAAACCTCTTGTAAATAACATAAATGAATAATAATCTGCTGTTCAGTAAAAATCAAACGTGTTTTTGTGGTTTTTGCAAATTTTTTTTCCGAAACTAACAATTTCTATTGAGCAGAGGGTTATCCAATTTTGGGTTCGGTTCTATTTGAGCCACAATTACGGTAGCATGTAGTAAAGCTAGGTTGATGAAATTTTTACGGTAAATAGCTGATACCGTAAGGAAGTTTTTAAGATACTTACGAATAGTAAGAACATGTTTTTTCAATTTTTTATAAACGTTCAAAGTTGTTGCACTTTTTTACTTTTTTGTTATGTTCGAAGATTTTGAAAAAAATTAAAAAGTAGTATTAGTTATATGACTTGAATGATTATATGATAGTTAAGCCTTAGGTCTTAGCTACATAATCGTGAAAAAAGCAGGCATTTATCACAATTATTAACGAAGTTATGGTAAAAATAAACACAGAACTCAAAAATTCTCGAAAAATCCGAAAAAAAATCATAACTCCTAAACTAAACAAAATCGGACCATATATATGGGGGTGATTTGGGTTCCTCTCGATGTGGGGAATCTAATTTTTTTTTATGACGTCACGTGTTTGGCCACCTATAATAACTTTTATTTTACTAAGTGCAATTTGCTGGTGAGGTAAACAAGGATATCAATGTACAATAAACGTAAAAGAAAACATAACACGTGACTTTCACATAGTCCATTTCAGTTGTTTTAGATAACATGCTTTATAAGCCAATGAACATTTTTATACTACAATGTAAATCCCGTTGAAACCAAAATAGTTGCTTGTGCACGTGTAGTACATGAATTTATGAACTGGTGAATTACGGAATACATGTAGCGGGCTTTACTTCTGAATTATAGAACATTTAATGCTGATTCCACTTGAACCGTTCATGTCGACTGATCAGAGTCCAGATCACCGAGGACTTGATCTGGCACACATAGCGGCAGCTGCTGAGAAAAAGCTACTTTTCCCCCACATGACCTCCGCACTCTGTACAAGGCCCAGATAAGACCTAGCCTCAAGGACTGCTCACATGTAAGGGGGTGTTGTTGCAGTGACTACATTATCCATGCTCGATGCTGTTCAGAGGAGGGCTATCCCACTGATCAATGACTCTTCGCTAACGGACAGTCTCGGGACAGGTGGCCGTTGGCAATATAGCTCTCTTTTACCGCGACGCCAACAGATTTTGCTCCTCAGAGCTCTCCTCCATGATTTCGCCGTGGGATGTGCCTGCCAGACAGACCCACCTGACTTCGGCCTCCCATCCTAACCGTGTCCGAACTTCGTACAACCGGAACTGGCCGATAGGACCGCTGCTTTGTCTCTAGGGTATCGAGATTGTGGAACAATCTACATGAGGAGGGTTTTCCCAGTTCAACTAACCTTAGGTTGTTCAAAAATCGGAATATAAAGTTTATTCAAGCTCCCCATTTAGGCTTCTGCCTGCGCGACCGCTCCGGCTAAAAAAAGATGGTTTGAAGGGTGGCCAGCAACAACCAAGAGGACTCGAGCCAAATTATTAGTATGCTACTGAAAATACCTGAAATGATTTGACGAGTTCTGTTTACGAGATGGTATTTTTAGTACTGATGCTATACAGTTCTACCACATTTTTATTTGGAACCAATTTCACCACAAATTTCATATTTCTTCAGCAACATTCTAATGTATTTTTGATTCCTGTTGATTGGTGCTCGCCACCCTAAGAGTGAAACATTTACTAATTGTTATGAAATTGCTCGTTATGTTATTGTTTCATGAAGGATATTATCCTCGCGTGATCAGTTTTCAAGTTCATCTCAATATTACCAATTCGCAGTAGAAATTTGAAACACTAACAATAAGAAACTGTGTGATTAGTTAATTATTAGGCACTTAAATTACAAACATTACTGGAAGGATTTTGACGCAACACAAAAATGTATGTTAAATATCTTCTTGTTTGGGACTCTCACAAATTTTCAGGAGCTTAAACTTTAAGTTTTCAAAACTTATAAGACTTTTTTGTCCTTGTTACAATAGTAACTTTGTATCAAAATTTTCATCAAAATCCGAGCGGTATTTTCCGAGTTACAAAGGGGTCAAGCATTCCCGGACTGATCACGGCAGTCAGAAAGACAGTCATAGTCATATTTTTTATAATATATGTGTTTTATGTCATTTAAGATCAGAATATATTTTTAAAATACCTTGCTCGCCCTGTTGCCAGCTTATTTATGTGAGAAGTAGTAATTTTTTTATCTTTGCAGAATTTACTTGATATTATTTTTTAATAAGATGTAAGTGAATGATAGTTGGGTGCTATGAGCATATCTTTTTCTTACACTACCTTATATGAATTATCCTTAAAACACGATCAGTATTTGCTGTGGTCTGTACTGTCAGTATTCACTTATCATTCCGTCAGAGTCGGTGAATTTCTACGTAACTTTATATACCAATAATTACTGACTTTCTGGATACACGATCAATATCACATTCCTTGATAAATACTGACGGGCCACGGCAAATACTGATCGCTCGAGATTCACCCTAGGGGTACTCAATTGCTGGGCAAAAATGTATGAGATATAGTACAACTAACTGCAGTACTAAGTTAACCATATTTTTTGGTACAATTATCATGCTTTGATGTGCAAATGAAAGTGGAGAGTACAGAATATTATCTCTTTCATTGACTAATACCACATACATATTTCCCGGTTCGCATACATTATACATGATAACATATTGCTTAATACGCACAAGAGCTTAATGCAAGCTCGTAATAAAATCCTTGAATGTTTATGTAAATCGTAAATCGGAATATGCAACTACGTCAAGGTCGCGCATTTCTTTGACGATAAATATGAGTTCAACAAAAAATATATGTTTACAGTACTTCACATTTTTCTTGGAATTTGATAAATAGACTGAATCAATTGGTGAATTGTTCCCGATGAGTCACACAGGGGATGCTTCAACCAATCTAAATCAAGTCTGCTTTTGTGAAAGAGATGTCATCTATGCATCTCCCAGAGTTAATGAACTTAAGTGACAGTAATTAAATGGTTTGTCCTTTGTCTGGTATACGGTAGATTTCTCGTATGTTTAATTTGTGTTATATCATTATTACCAAGCCCAGACGATGCTAAAAATATGCTTTGTATACGCTTGAATGTGTTCAATGAATACTTTGTTATTACAGTCGAGCGGTTATTGTAATTGTTTTACTTTCTCGGTACAAATTTTTAACACCGGTTATCCAGAAAATGCGTCAGATATTTGATTATCCGTGATTTGGTTTATCCATATGTCCATTTATATGCAATATTTACTAAGATGTAAAGACTTCGTGAAATTTTTTACTCGATCTTGACTCGCTATGCCAATTGGCGTATTGTAACCACGAAAAATTTCTATATGAGGGTATTATGTTTTTGGATGGAGACCATTTCCGACAGTATCTGAAGGATAAAACTTGGCAATTACTTGTGTAGAGTTTCGATCAAACTTTGACACAATGACGCAAAAAAAGCTTTGAAGGTTAAAAATCGAACCAGAGCCAACGGCGGCAAAGGTATGAGCATAAAATAAAATTTCAAATCCAGACCAAACCAGTTTTTCATCTTTTTTAAGTGACTGATAATTTTATGGCGTGATCAAAAGCATTTTTTCAAGTGGTCGAAATTTTGAAAAAATTCCATATTTCCTTTTCGGACCATTTTCAACTTTTTAGTTAGGGCATAGTCAAAGTAATTTTAGGAGGTCTCAAAAATAAAATAAAAACGTTTATGATGTCACTTAGAATACCCGTGTATCTAAAATAGATGTACACATATCAGTGCATGGGAGGTTCTGGGTCATTCTACCTCATTATTTCCGTCAAAAATCAGCACATGAATATATAAGATAATAAATAAATTTTGGCTCTTGTTTACATTTTCCAGCGAAATTTCGTTGTTTCTGAACTACATTATGCATCGTGCATCTTACGTTGAGTTATAAGCGAATGAGTAAACTTGATTGATTATAATACAAAACATCAAAATTTACTTCTCACGCCAGTAGGCGAAACGAAGTTTTCGCGAAACATTTCGATTTAGAAATGTATTTCGGATATTATACAGCAGCGCCAAAAAATGTATCAGTTATTCCTGTCGATATGTCTAGCCTGTAACCACTGACCTTTCTTTTGACTCGGAAAGTAATAGTCGAATTTTGATGAAAAAATGTTTATGGACTAATTGTATGGGCCTGTTTGACAGAATCTGTTTAATGTCTCTGTTGTACATACTCGTAACTGACTTTTTTCTCAGAGGATTTTTAAACTGATTTCAATTCATACCTCTCGTAATTTATTGCATGTTTTCCTTCGCTCATTTCTTTTCTCAATCGTCCTACCACATGAAATCCGAAATATGTGCTTTTGTTTTCAGATTCGTCCTTGCCTCCAAATGACAGCCACATTAAAATGTTAGAAGAGATGTTACAAGGTGACTTATATGGTACTATTTCTGATGTCAGAATATTGGAAGAATGGAGCCTTTCTGACTCTCAGTCAGAATCAGATGCGGTTGGTGTTTTGACTTTCAAAACGAAAATAACATATTTTCGTTTTTTGCTTTTTATTTCACAAATAAATTTAATTGAAATACATTACCAAGTATTCGTATCCCAACTCTCCAAGACATAATTGATGATTGAGAAGGGTTAGGATCTTAATGATTCCTCAAAAAATAATTCAATTTTCGAATACAATTGATTGTTCTAGGAATTCATTAGCCCTCCGACACCCCCATTAAGGTCAGATTCACTACCAGAAGAAAATGCAGAAGACTGCGAAGCTGTCGCGCCCAGAGAACCAACCACTCCTGAGGCAAAATCCAGAACCAACTGGTTCACAGTAGAGACTGAGTCCAAACAGACTGCTGCGACCGAAAATAAGAAGCAGAGCTGGTTAAAGCGACATGTAAGTATCTGGTCTAACAGACAAAAATAACCTTTGATAAAAACCAAAAGGTTAAACTTTGTCAAATATTGTGTGTGTGTGAAAATCGGACCAGTGATGCTGCTTTTGAGGTGTACATGTCGCCATACTTGATATTTTAGAAATTGCACTGAAATTTTCCATATTATCCTTTATTTTCACAATCGCCGATTCTTCATAATTATTCGTAAACCTTTATCTTTTAACAAAATGTGGTGAAATATAATTGTCTCATAATTCTAGGCATCAATAAAATTATTTGGGTTTACATTGCCTATAAGGCTAAAACGGTGTACTTTAGAGGAACATTGTAAGTCAAAATGTTCTATAGTTTTGTGCGCCCTGAGGCAAAGAATGAAATCATCCCAACTGCAGTATCCTATGAATAAATTTTAAATTGTACTATCAAGACGAATCTAAGGACATCTCAAATTTTGATTTTGTAAAATTTTAGTATACCCAGTGTCAGTCGCGCTGCTACGACAATTTGTCAACACCTCATGTGTCAAAATCCATCAAACCGTTTTGCGGTACCCGTTAAACTAAACCTCTTAACAGCGAGGCGCAAATACGTTCTATTTTAGTTCGAAATAAGAGTATTTTGATATAATTTTGGATGAGATATCTACCAAAAAGTACCTGTCGAAAGTATTAGAGTGTATTGTTCACTGGCTCTACACGATGATAGTGCGTCCTTCTCTGTTGTACGGCTCCTTGGTTTGGTGGCCTTGCATTGGAACTGAGACAACTAAGACTAAACTCAATAAAATTCAGCATTTGGCCTGTATCAGCATTACAAGCGCAGTTCGGACTACGCCATTTAGTGCAATGGAAGCTCTGCTGGATCTCCCACCGTTGGATCTAGTGATCCGCGGAGAAGCGAGAGTAGTCGCACACCAACTGTGGCGTCAGGGCAGCTGGGACTTCTTGAATCCTGCCAAGAGGTATACTGCCATCTTAGTCGAACTGCGAAGGGGGATCCCGTCCTTCTGAGCAGGGGTGATCTAATTACCCCTAAATATCGCTTCAACCGCAAGTTTAATGTGGAGTATCCAACTAGGGAGGAGTGGCACGCCGGTTGCCGGAGGCTCTCCGGATGAGTGGCCAAGTCTGGTACACGGACGGCTCGATCACCGAAGAGAGCTCTGGCGCCAGGCTATCTGGGCCTAGAACTAGGCTATCTCTGCCTCTTGGTGGATACACCACTATTTTTCAGGCGGAAATCTTTGCGATTTGGGCTTGTGCATCCCTCATTTTGGAGAGGGGGGGGGGGGTAGGAGAAGAATAACAAACTTCTGCGACAGCCAGGCTGCAATGAGGGCACTAAGTGCCTGTAAGATTATCCCGAGCCTTGTATTGCAATGCAGGGAGGCTCTGGATTGTCTAGCAGCAAGGCTTCCAGTATCGTTAGTGTGGGTACCGATACACACTGGGATAAAGGGCAATGAGACGGCGGACGCTCTGGCGAAGACAGGATCAGCCAGCAAGCTCGTTGGTCCTGAGCCACCTTTAGGGGTGACCGCGCTAAGAGTTAGGAGGAAAATGGAGAAGTGGATTGCAAGACAACACTCTCAGAAATGGAGAAGCATCTCCAGACAAGGGAGCTCATTGTAGGGCCAGGGCTAAGGATGGACGTTTTTGCTTATCTTTGGATAGAGCCAACCTAAGGTTGGCGGTTGGTCTGTTGTCTGGCCATAACACGTTAAGATGCCACCTGCACGTGATGGGGGTGGCTGAGGATCCCTTGTGTGTTAAGGTCATACTCAACTTCGCTAGAATGACGGGGCTTGAGGCTAAGGAATGTAGAGGTGCAGAAGGGCCCGTCTAAGAGACTTATGCGCTGGTTCCTTATGGTGGCCGGTATGCCTCTAATTTCATATTTGATTCATTCATTCATATCAGTGGCGACGCGTGACTTTTCCTAAGCTGTTACCAAAACCATCTTATTAAAAAAAGTTTATTTTGAACCTCCCAAATAAAAGTTTTTGCTTATTTTAGGTATTTTATTTAAACTATTTCTAAATTAAGGTAAACATTCCTGGACTGAGCGTCTGGGGCACTTGATATACACATCGTTTTATACTATGACTAATCCAAGCCGTCCGAAAAAACAGTCGACGTTTCTAGATGTTCGGAAAATGTTTGATCTTTTTTGGCAATGAATCTGTAATTTCCTCTATTGTTAGAGTCATCCCCTTCAAAATGAACGGTAAGTCCTGTTTTGCCGAAAAACATACGGTATCGAGAAGTGTGCTGCCTAAAAGCTTGGTTAAGACAACTTTAGATTCTTGTTTTGCCAAGCTGTAACGGAGAAATTTCCTGTCTTCTCTTTAGAGCCCTAAAACTATTTAAATCGTTGACTCCGCTGCATTTTATTCTGTATAAAACAGAAGACATCGCCAACAGCACAATCTGTTTTTTTACAACCACATAAACAAGAGTTTCCATATATCAACTTAATTCAAAATATCAAACTACGTTTTTTTATTCCGTTTTAAAATTATCTAAAATAGGCGTTGATCTTCCATTTTCGTGGGGCTAATTTGCTATTTACTGAATTACTATTACATATCGCTGTTGGTAAACAAATAAATGAAATTATTTCACAGTACTTAGTCATAAAATATTTATTTTTAAGATTTTTAACTGTTACCAATGGTTACATGGACGCTTCGCCACTGATTCATATGGAGACGTCTTGACAGTCACGAAGGCAAAGTTCTATTACCATGTGTATATGTCACCTAAGTTACTAACTCAACACATATATGGGAAATGCTTATAGACTTTTTCATGAGTGTCCATTACGGTTCAATGACAACTGGTTATCTAGTAATATTTCAAAATTCCCCATATCAGAAAAGGGCACATAATTCTGACGGATCCGTCCATGCCAGATAGACAGGACCATATCTTGTTTTTTTTTGTACTCTACCGATTCATTTTGTACTTGCTAAAAGCTCTTTTATTTAGAAAAGGTCATTTACATACAAAAAAACAAAACGCTACAAACATGTTTTACTAGACTTACACCCGATTCATTTTTGCCAACATTGCAGACTAACACAAAAATGTCACTTGCTGATCAGTTGTTCACCTCTGTAGACGTCAAAGGGTGATGGATACTCGTGAAATAGGGTATACCCTCCATCACGCTTTGACGTCTACTGCGGTGAACAGCTGATCAGCAATGACATTTTTGTGTTAAGTTGCAACGTTGGCAATAATGAATTGGGTATAAGTCTAGTGAAACTTGTTTGTGGCGTTTTGTTTTTGTATCCAAATGGACTAAATAAAAGAGCTGTTAGCAGGTACAAAATAAATCTGTGATGGATACTCGTGAAATAGGGTATATATACATCCTTAGGATATCTTAAATTAGGTTAAGTGACTACAAATCCGACTACGAAGTACGTTGGACCTCCTTGGTAATGCAACTTATGCTGATAACTACGCTTTAATAGGTATTTTTGGTTGAGATGTCAGTCAAAAGTGTGCGACAAACCAGGCAATTTAACGTATTTGTCTGTTTGTTTGTTTGTTGGAGATTAAACTTCAACATAATCGTATCATGGGTTTGCGACATTAGATAAAGTGTTACAGGATCTGATGAGCAACCATTTTTTGGTTCAAAATGATCTACACAACCAAAATATTTTGGTGAGAAAAACAAATAATTTCAACAGTTAAAATATTCTAGACCGCGGTAGCTCCTAGCATTAATAGGACTTTTTGTAAGAAGGTAACTCAAGCAATTAGTTGAAAAAAAACAATAGATTAGTTCTGCTAATAGCAAATGACATGCGACCAGCTAAGAAATTATTAAATTACGTTGAGCCGCGATAGTGCTTGCCATGAATAGGGTTTTTTGGCTAATTCAAGCAATTTAATGAAAAGAAAACAGTTCAGAATAGTTCTGCTGATAGCAAATGAGATGCAGCTTGTTGATGAAAACCTTATAGTTTGTAGATCTCGTTCAAATTCCAGGTGAAGGACGTGCTGGACAAGGCGCCTGAGGTGGTGAAGAGCCTGCGCAGCAAAGACAGCAGCATAGTAGAGCGACCTGCAATAGGGGGCAAACACCTGGTACAAAAGAAGGGTATGTTGTATAAGGTGCAAAGTGGACCAGTGGAAGACCTCTTCGGAGAATACAGTGGGAGATGGTGTATTATTGAACATGCGAAGTTCCTTTGTTATTCAGACAATACTTGCCAACACCTCAGAGAACACTTTACTGCCCAGAATATACTCAGCATACAGTTGTTACAGGATAAGAAGTACAACTACAGGTAACTGAAAGATGAAGAGAAGTCATCTACATTTTAATAGCATTAATATAAAAACGCGGTGTCGCAAATTGTATAATTACATCTTTTGAAGCTCAGCATAACAATACCGGACAATGAATATAATGTAGTAGATTGGCTCGGTAATTCTCTTAAATTATTTTGAATTAGGCGCATATTCAAATTCTGAGACTTCAGAGTTTTTGAAACTGAATCTGGTGAATAAAAAACATTAAAATAGAATTGTTCATGATTCACTATATTTCACTGCCCGCCGCAGGAGTTTTAAGTGTTAGAGTAACCAGAATTTTGTATCTTGCTATCAGGTGGGGCGTTGTTTAAATCATGAAATATTCAGAAAACATTCTTTAATGACGAAATTATCTGACTTTTTGTGAATTGGAATGAACATGAAATTAATGTACCACCTGAAACTTATCCTGTAGTTTTCATGCCAATAGGATTCCATGATTGTCTGCTAAAAGAAACCACATATGCGAATTACTTTTTACTGACAATGTTTCAGCCTCTACGGTAGCCTTTTTAGAGTACAATTGACAATGATGATGGTTGATTTCTATATGCACTTTGTAAAACATTAAAAAGCATTATTCAGCACTGCCAAATATTTCCCGCAGGCCATAGCTTCTGCCAGATGCTTCCAACAAGGTGCCCTGTTGTAAGTTGTCTTTCCTCCATCTTTTTGTATAAGCGTTTAGAAAAACATCCCGTATACAAAATACAAAAAAAACTAAAACGAAAACGTTTATTAGACGCTATAATTTTTATATGAAACTTTGCTTATGAACTCTCAAACAAGCAACTTATATTTCTTTCCAATAATGTTTTACAAAGTATAAATAAGAATCAGTCATCACCATTAAAGTTAGTATTATTTTTACTTAACCTCTATCACCTGCTACCAGCAAACCGGATTATTATCCAACTTAGTGGGTATGTACGCGGTGGAAGTACAAAAAGGTACACTGATCTAACCATATCCTGCCCACTTTTGCAATTCTTGCTTGCTCCAGCTCTCTCTGGTTCTGCTTTAATCCCATCCAATGTATAGCTTTCTGAAAGGGGAACAAAAACACAATGAAGTTGTTCAGCATAAAAAAGGCCTTTAGAATATTGCATATAAGAAGTACCTTCAGGACTATTCTATATTTTACAGAGTTTTTATGTAACAATAAAACAGCAAATTGGACTATTCAACATGTGACAAAATATCACATCATTTTGCGAACATTCCCACGATTCCCAATTTCTCTCTTTTTCACGAGTATCCATTACGGTAAATTAACGGTGATTATCTAGTAATATTTCAGAATTCCACATACAATTCTGATGGATACGTCAACACCAGGTAGACAGACTTGTATTTTGTACTTGCTAACAACTCTGTTATTCAGAAAAGATCCTTCGCATGCAAAACAAATTGCTGCACATAAGCAACTATTCTTCATATTTTTCGGCAAGCATGTTGGAGACAACTTCTAGAAAGTCATAAAATATATTTTCAAATCTCTTGTGTGTTTGTTCCTGCTTTTCTTTCACAATATTCTTCTGTTCATTATACTTTCTAACGCTATCGGCTATTTTATGAATTTTTTCAAATTTCCTATTGGAATTAACTATCTTATCCGTTACAATCCTTACATTTTCTAATACTTTCGTTAGTTTATCATATTCCTCTTGATTGTTGATGACCTTTTAACATTTTCTAGTTTCACATTATCTGACATCCTTTAAATATTTCCAAAATGTCTCAAAGTAAAGTTTCTATCCATTAATGATAGTCTTACATTCTGTAGCATATTTCTCTAAGGATGTCAAAATTTCACCAACATTGTTTTGTATTTCGAGCAATTCTATTTCATTGTGTAATGAATGTACCTGCTGGTTCTTTTTTCTCAGGTCTTTTTTCCTGTAGAGAAGCTACCTGTTCAAAACTGTTTGGTGCTTGTCTATAGTTTCCTTCACAATTAATTTTTTCATATCTGCTACAAGGTACTCGATGTACTCTCTTGTACCGTCACTTCTTGCTCGTTTGAGTATCGTAACATTTGAAGGTGCTAAAAGTGTGGGATCTCCAACTGATGCAGTTGTGAAGTTCAGTACACGTCTATTAGTATTTCTACTAGGTGAAGGTATACAAAACGTTGAGTCTACAGTTTTGTGTCTTGATTTTCTGTTATCCATATTTCCCTGTGAATTCTATAGAAAATCCTATCAATCTCTGCTAACGTAGTCAGGTAGGAATGAAAAAGAAAACAGTTTTTAACTTTGTCAATCATCTCTACTTTTTGGAACTTGAAGCACCATATGATTTTAAAGGGCAATGAATCAGCCATATTTGAATTATGTTACACTGATGATGGAAAATTTACTAGAATCATGTGTCTGGTATACTATTTTTACATGTAAAATTACAGTTTCTGGAAAGGACAACACAATATGTTCTAATGACTTACCTCGGAATCGATAAACCCCAGACGTACAGCTCTGAACACGGTCCAATGTTTTACCAGATTTACACCCGATTCACGATTGCTAACGATACAGATTAATACAAAGATGTCACTTGCTGATCAGCTGATCACCTCAATAGACGTCAAAACGTGATGGATACTCGTGAAATAGGATTTGATCAATGTGATAAGCCAGCTAATAACCTATAAAGTTCTTCAGTTGGCTAAATTTTAAATATCATAAACATTTGCAGGTACGACAATGATGATCTTTATTGTTTTGAGCTGAATGTGACGGGGAAAAGTCGAGGTGGACATGTGTATGGTTCAAGGAATATCAGTGAGAGAAGAGTGTGGATGCAGTTATTAGTCGAATCACTCACCAATAGATTTGCCACCAAAATCACGACTAATTTCACTAGAATGGGATGGGCATATGTCAGAGAAGGTGCATTATATAATTTCTAAGTTTAAGACGGTTGATCTAGATGAAACTTCAAAGATAGATTTTAATTAATAGTTTTGATCATCAAATGTTACAGTTATAATTTCTCATCATTTTCCAGGAGTAAGTAGTAAATGGGTAGGGGCATGGGTAATTCTAAGTGAAAGAGAAGTATATTATGCAATTGATAATCAGCAAGTGAAGGTGATTGATTTGAGAAAGGCCAGGTGTATTATATTGCAACCTTATCAGGAGACTGATAACAACCCAAAGACTAACGATAAAGGTCCGAATATGCTTATCGACTGTCCTGATTTGGTGCTGTATTTGAGAATGTGGACCTCCAGGGAAACAAAGGTTCGCATATTATGAAAATTAAACACAGACATGTAAACAGTTATGTACAAGATACCCTATACAAACTATCTAGAATGCAAAATACAAGATACTTGTAAAATGAGTGTGTCAAATACCAGATACAGAATCCTTTCCGGAATAGTATCTGAAATACTAGATACAAAATACGTATACTTTGAATACCTTTCAAAAATAAAATACTTTTGTAAGAAAACATTTCATTGAATTTATTTTATTACATGAATTATATATGCGTGTATCGCTCAAATGTGAGAAAATATCATACGTTTAAAGTTTTGATTGAGAAAAGCAGATCCAGATCTTCAAACATCTTATCACTCATTTTTCTTCTATGAGGCCTTATTATCATACCCCCAAAAAAGAAATTTGCCCACAGGGGCAGAAAGTCAAACAGGTGTTATACAGTCCAGTGGGAAAGTGCACTTTTTGATTTAAGAAAAAAAATACAAACTTAATGAAAATAAAATATTTATTACTATCAACATATTCGTAAATTCGGCCGGTTTTATTTCTTGAATATCATTCCGTCCAAATGTTTGCCATCTCTTCGGACACTCTTCTAATCGCGCGCGCAAATTCTGGAACACTCTCTTGCAGGGTTCCGAAGTGATGTTGTTTATTTCTCATCGAATGTTGTCTTCAAGCTCCTCCAGTGTTCGTGGATTATTGGAATACACTTTTCACTTTAGATAACCCCACAAAAAATAATCGCATCGCGTTAGGTCGGGTGACTTAGGAGGTCAGTGAATGTCTCCAAGCTTTGATATAACTTTTTGAGGAAAAAGTGCCTACACCGTGTCCATCGATTCTCTGGAAGTATGGGCAGTGGCCTCATCCTGTTGAAACCAAATGTTTCTGTTGAATCGACATTCTGCTCTTACAATAGGAGCAAAAAAGTGTCAATCATGTCCTTGTATCGCTCGGAATTAGTTGTCAATGCACGACCGTTTTCATCTTCAAAGAATACCGCTAGAGAATATGGGGCACCAAACAGTCACCTTTGGACCATGTAGCTGTTGTTGATATTTTTCTTTTGGGTTCGTTGGTGCCCAATATCTGCAATTTTGCTTGTTCACATAACCGTCTAAGTGAATATGGGCCTTGTCACTGAAAACAGCGTTCTCGAGTCTGCGCTGCGTAGGAAAATAGATTCAACATCGGTTCAGCACAAGATTTCCGTAATACGTAATCACTTTCCTTTAAAGCATGGACTGATTGGAGTTTATACGGATGAAGACCCATTTTTTTCTTTATTATGCCATGCAGTGTTGACCTAGGGATTCCCAAAGCAGCGGAATGCTTCTGTACAGAACGCCGAGGATTTGCAATGGCCCAAACACTTATTCGACGCACATTTTCTTCGGTTGATACAATAGGTGTGGGGCCAGGAATGGGTTGACTAAGAGTAGAGCCTGTTTCACGGAACCCTTCAATCCACTTTTTCAATAGGTTTTTATTTGGGGCATCTCTTGGTCGGCAAATGTTGTATCGTGTACAAAATTTCCGAAGGGCAGCTACGTATGAATCATCACTTTTAAAGTAAGCCTCGATATCAAAAGCAGGTTGCGTTCCGTTCCATTGTGACTGTTTAACCCGCACGCCGAAAGCGTCGATTAAATACCTCTCCCCAGTTCCTTGCGGTTGCCGCGTAATTCAAATTTGGAATGTGAACTTTCCCAGTAGACACCCAGTATATATAAAAATATTTTTTTAGTGTAGGATAAGCATTCAAGTTCTTTAAGCTAGTATCTTGATTATTTAGATATTGCAGTCTTCCTAAGTCAGCAGTGCTGCCTCTAGACCCTGAGTTTTCACTTTTCGCCACTTGTAGCAGAGGGTTTTGTGTTTATCAGCTAGATTATTCTTTCGTGTTTCAGTCAGTACAAGCTCTTTTACAAAATTCTGGGTCCCAGACAAGTTTCATAGGCGTGTTATTTGAAGAAATGCATAGGAAATTATTGCTAAAAGTATTTTAGCACACGTTGTATTTACCAGATACTAAGACACCAAACGAAAGGTATCTAAATATGAGATACAAATACAGTTTTCAAAAATTATCTTAGATACAAGATGAAAATACGTATTTTGTATCTTGTATCTATATTCCAGATGCTTGTATCTTGAATAAGTCATATCTTTGCATGTATAATATTTAAAACTTGTTTTTATTAGGTGTGGTGTCACATCATAAAACTGGAAGCTCACAATAATGGAGCTAACTTAGAGCAACAACAGCTTACGAAAAACGATGTTCCTGTGATTGTAGAAAAATGTGTCAACTTCATATATGCGCATGGTATGAAATTTTTTCAACATAACGTTGATGACAATGCATTTTTGTCAATATGTTATCTAGAAGCAATATGCACAATTCGATGGAATATCAGCCTTATACAGGTTGTACAAGAAACTATTCTAGAACTGTTTCGGGATGATTGATATTGTATGGTCATCCAAAACTTTAGCAGCTATTCGAAAAAAATTATTTCAATAATTATGCAATTTTTATTTCTTTTTCAGGGAGTATGACTGAGGGCATATACAGGCGGCCTGGAACTGGGTCTGTAATATCAGAGTTATTAGCGAAATTTAGAAAAGATGCGTTTGCAGTGCAGTTGACCAACGATCAATACACAGAACATGAAGTTGCAACTGCACTAAAAAGATTCTTCAGGGACCTACCAGAACCGCTGCTGGGCAGCAATCAAAGACAATACTTCTATGAAGTATCTAGTAAGTATTTATGCTCTATTTTATGAAAAAGCAAGCCTTTAAAATAACTTCTAGTATAACTTTCCATGTAGGGCAATAGTACACTATTTGGGATTTTCATGAAAAAAATTATCAGATTGTAGCAATGAGCGTGCCTGTACACGGCAGACTCATTTTTGGCGCTCTGGTGTAAAACTGTTTGTCAACAATGTTTGATAACTGATTATAATAGCTCTTGATACGTATGCATATACTTCTTAAACTACACTATATAATCTTACCTCACGAAAACAAGTAACCTCATTATACAAATTCTTGTGTATGAATATCAGTTCATTGGGCGGTCCGCTGCCTGCTTTAATTTCCCTGGACCGATTTTTTACTGCAAAGATTTTGCTTCCTTGGCATAGTAGTAACCTTGTGTGAAAATGTCTTCCAAATCCGAGAAGTTATAGCGGGGTTCAGAATTAGCGGACAGACCATTGGAAATGAGTGACATGTTTTTCGTGATGTACATGTCATATAACATCCAAAAAATCTCATTTTCGTTTTGGAATTCCGCGTCCGCTCTGATTCGGATTTCAAAATCTATAATTCTTTTTCGTCCTTGGTGTAGTAATATTATTTCAAAATTTCATAAATATCTGAGTGGTACTTACTGTTTTTGTTAGCCTACAGTGTAGAGAGGAACTGTGGTCGAATGCAGCATTATCACAGTTTCTATATTTATTTTTAGAGCATAATAATAGAGAAGAACGGATAAGGATGTACAGGGCAGCACTGGATATGTTACATAAAGTGTCTTATAATACAGCAAGAAAAGTATTTGGCCACCTGCACTTCATTAGTACACAGAGTGAGAGAAATAAAATGACCATCGAGAACTTAGCTGCTATTTGGGGCCCCACTTTGTTACATTACGAGGTATGCTTAGTACGTACAAAATTTATAAATATCATTTGTTAACTTATTTTTTAGGATAAGGATCCCATTCCAAATGTGAACCACAGTCATCAGTTAGATACGGAGGTAGTTTCACAAATAATAAGCCTCTACAGGTACATTTTCCCTGAAGATCCCGGTGAGATTGAAAAGGAAAGGATGATGTTGCAAGTGTTAGAGTCGCACTCAATTTCTATGCAAGGAAAAGTGGCGAAGAAAACAGCTGGAGACTTGAGGATATGGATATTCTTGCATAATAAGGATGGAAAGTCATTCAATGTTTCTGTAAGTATGTTGACACTTCATAAGAGTTTCATTTCAGTATTACTAGTATTTTAACTTTTTAGACACGAACAAAAAACGAATCGTATCGTATTTGATTCGTTTATTCATAAAAACTATTGTTTCAGATTGAGCCCACAAAAACCGCTTATGAGGTCTGCAAAGAACTTTGCTGCCATTTGAAGTTAGGTGTCCATGAAACTATATTAGAAGAGGTGATTTTAAACGATAAATTGATAAGGCCAATACACCATGAAGAAAAGGTAACAATAGACAAAATCAGAAGAAGCCTAAGCTCTAAATATTTCAGATACATTTTCATTTAATTGAAGTTACATTCATAACTTTAGTTATTAGATCTACTAGAATCGAATGGAAGTGAGCATTTTTTGTTTCCAGGTACTTGATGTAGTTTTAAAATGGAGTTACTGGGAGGAACAGGACAGAAAAGACAACTATTTGACAATAGCTCCACTATCTAAGTATTGGGAATACATCTCCGATAGTTCCAGACTATTTAGCCCTGTATCTGGTGAACTAAAGTTTGCTGACAATAGGTCGAGATTATTCAGACAATATACATTCCAGTTTTCTCAAGGAAAAATCACCTGTTTCAAGGATAAATCGGTAAGTTATGCTTCATGTTCCTAGATAGTATTGTTGACACTCTCACACATTCATTATTATCGCAAAAGCCATATTATCCCAATTCGCCTGTCTTTCACTTGGTCTGTTGTTATTTTATAAGCGGGTAATTTAGTTGAAGCATATGTTCAAAGCAGATAATGCTGCTATATTTTTGGATATCGTGAACTGATGAAGTTACAACAAAAACATGGCTAACCTTTATTTTTTTAATCGTAGTGATGGTGAGTGAAAAATTTTCCAGTGAATCCAATTTCTGGGCGTTTTTGGCTTTCTTATCATCGCTGCTGTAATATAATTATTGATAAGCCTCTCAATTTACTAGTCTCTGAGAATCTTAATTGTATTTCTTTGTGTAAAAAGCGTACAGCAAATACATTTTCTACTTTTTACCGACTTTTTCGATTTACCAGGTACCAAAATTATTGAATTTGACCACCGGTCAATTTTAATGTTCATTCGTATAGTAATAGTTCACGTTGTGCTGATCACATGTTCCAATAGGAGCAAAGCCCAGGAATGCTTTCTGTTGTTGATACATAGGGTGTTAAAGCTTGATGCCTTTGCCCCTGTGGGGGAGCCTGCGTGCACCATTTTTCGAAAACTAACTCGTCTTTATTTTAAACTCGGCGATATAACATCATGTCAATGAATATATATATATATATATATACATATATATATATATATATATATTTATTTATTTAATAACAATAATATCCAACAAAGACCATATACAAAAAATTATAAATACACATAAATATATAACACAACAATATAATTCCTCTTCATCAAGGACATCCTGATGACAGAAAGATGCACCTAGATGGTTCAAACCACCTGTATGTGCTTTCATCATCCGGACTTACAAAAAAAAGAAAATGCTATTTATTGGATTATAAAATACAATAAAAAAACAATAATCAACCTCAATATCCCGAACAATAGTTCAATCATACTATGATACAAAAAATCATTAGAAAAACCTTTCAAATTGTGCAGTATTCTCAAAAATATATTCTCTGCAGCTGGTGCTAAATGTTTTAATGTTTTTCAACTTTTTCAAGCGTTCTGGCAGAATGTTATATATCTTTGGTCCTATATACGTTATGTATCTTAAGTTTAGGTTATTGTTATTCTTGGGAATTTCTATTTGCCTGCCCACATTTTCACGAGTACAGTAGTTATGACTTACTTGTTTCTGTAGTTTTTCATTTCTATAAATAAAAGTAGATACTGTCATCACGTACAAGGATCTAATATTACACACATCCTTTGTAAAAAGTTTATTAGTGGGGAATCTTTTCTCTTTCTTAAAAATATTTTTAATAATATGTTTCTGAATAATAATGAGTTTATGTAGAGCATTATTATACAATCCCCCCATACTAATATCCCATATCTAATTATAGATTCAACAAATGCTTTATAAACTGTTATTAAATTTTTTTTATCGAGAAAGTCACGCAGTAGATAAAATTTATGGATTAATTTTGTAACTCTACTCGATACATAATCAACATGCGGTTGCCACTTTAAATGTTGTCAATAATGATTCCAAGGTATTTAGTTTGAGACACTTCCTGAACAGAATAATTATCATCCAACATAATAGTGCTGTAATTTGGTCTGTTCTTATTGGTTAACGAAAACGCAATATAGTCTTAGATAAATTCAATGTTAGTTTACTCTCTTATAACCAGTCTTTTACCATACCTAGACCATACACTGTTTTACACTTTACATGATGCCAACTAGAACCTGCAAAGAGAAAGTACAGTATTATCAGCATAAGAACATAGTTAAACCCCTCGTTCCAGCTTTAGCATATATATTATATATATACGTATTATATAACGATGGAGTGGGTCAAGGCAGAGAACCGTATTGCAGTGATAGCTTTACATAAGTGTAATCACAGTGCTAGTCAGATTTTTGAACTCTTACGCGGCCTTCAAATATCGCGTAAATTTGTGTCTAGGACCATTCAGCGGTACAATGAGACGTCCTCTGTTGATGACAGGCCAAGAAGCGGAAGACCTCGTCAAGTAAGGACTCCAGCAGCCATCAAAGCCGTAAAAGCCAGGATTCAAAGGAATCCACTCCGGAAGCAGAAGATCCTATCCAGGGAAATGAAGATTCCTGTCCGGACGATGTCGCGCATCATTAAACAAGACCTAGGGCTAGGGGCTTACCGGAGACGTACGGGCCAGCGACTTACGGCCACCTTGCGACACATCAGGGCGACAAGATCCAAGAAGCTCTTGGAGAGGTACGCAGCTGGGGGATTCCGAAAGATTTTGTTCACGGATGAGAAAATCTTCACCATAGAAGAAAAATTCAACCGACAAAATGACAAAGTGTATGCAAGGAGTTCACAGGAAGCTTCGGAGATCATTCCGAGAGTTGAGAGAGGCCACCACCCTGCGTCAGTCATGGTTTGGTGGGGGGTGTCCTACGAAGGGGTCACTCAGCTCCATTTCTGTAAACAGGGCGTGAAAACAAAAGCGGCAAACTATCAGAGCGACATACTGGATCCTATCGTCAAGCCTTTAAGTGGTACATTGTTTGCCAACCAACACTGGGTCTACCAGCAGGATTCCGCCCCCGCTCACAAGGCTAAGAGTACGCAGCGCTGGCTGGAAAGCAATGTGCCAGAGTTCATTGCTGCGGAAGATTGGCCCTCAGGGAGTCCGGACCTCAATCCTTTAGACTACAAGTTGTGGGACCTGTATACGTATATATATAAGACGTAAGACGAGGGCTCTTGTCGCTCGACATCAACAAACCTTCTGGTCCGAACTTGATTCCTGCTATTGTACTGAAGAGGTGTGCTGCGGAGCTTGCTCTGGTTCTTTCGCGTTTCTTCCAGATGTCTTATGAATCCGGCACCTTCCCAGAAAACTGGAAATTTGCTCATGTCCAACCCATCCCAAAAAAACAAAGGATCTAAGACCGACCCTTACAACCACAGGCAGCTCTGCTTTCTGTTATAAGTAAGGTGACGGAGAGGTGCATAAATCGCGAGCTTCTGGACTACCTCAAACGTCACTTCTTGATTAGCGACAGGTAGTATGGTTTCCGGCACCAACGATCCACAGGGGACCTCCTAGCCTAGGTTACGCAATTGTGGAGTAAACTCATCCAGTCTCATGGTGAGGCTCGTGTCGTTGCTCTTGACATCACGAAAGCATTCGTGGCACGCTGCCCTCTTAAGCAAACTTCTATCCTATGTTCCCCCAGAAAAGCTTTGCAGATAGGTGTCTGACTTTATCTCTGGCCGCAAGATATCCGTCGTAAATGACGGGTTCTCCTCTTCATCCCACAACGTCAACACGGGTGTCTTGGCTCCGACACTGTTCCTCTTACAAATCAACGATCCTTTCCTGCACGATCAATCCAATCCACAGCTTCCCTGATGACAGCACTCTACATGCAGAAATTCAGAGTGACAAGCCGATCTCTGCCGCTGAGCTGGAAAAATGAAGACTAGCGACGACTTCTTCTCTGACAAGAGACCTGGAGGCTATCACTGCTTGGGGACGCAACAATCTTGTACAGTTTAATGCTTCTAGAACACAGTACTGCACTTTGACATCCGGTTTCAATGGATGGCCAAGTTCTGCCAAAGAGCTATTCATTTTGGCTGGTCGGAGTCCAGATCACCGAGGACCTGATCTGGCACGAACACATCTCGTCAATAGCCAGCTGCTGGAAAAAGCTAGGCTATTTGTCTAGGACTAGGAAGTACTTTTCTCCGCATGACTTTCTTACTCTATACAAGGCCTAGCCTCGAGTATTACTCACACGTTTGGGGTGCTGCCGCCCCGACTACATTATTTATGCTCGATGCTGTCCAGAGGAGGGCGATCCGACTGATCGATGACTCTTCTCTAACAGACAGTCTCGGGACTCTTTCGCACCGGCGATCTAGCTCTTTTCTACCGCTACACCAACGGGCCTTGCTCGTCAGAGCTCTCTTACATGATGCCGCCGCGAGATGTGCCTACCAGACAGACCCGCCTGACTTTGGCGTCCCATCCTAACCGTATCGAACTTCGTACAACCCGAGCTGGCCAATACGACCGGTCCTTTGTCCCGAGGGTGTCGAGATTGTGGAACAATTTATAAGAAGAAGCTTTTCCCAGTTCTACTAACATTAGACAGTTCAAAAATTGTATTAACAAAATTTCTTTGGGATCATCATAGCAGCCACGGTGTTCCTGCATTTAGGCTTCTGCCTGCGCGGCTGCTTGGATATATAAAAAATATATATATAAGATGCCAAAGTTGTTGCTCAAACTATGTTCGAATATATTCTATGTCAATTTTACGTTTTCGTTGGGACAAATGGGGATGCGACCTTTATATTTGGCCACCCTGTATATTGTAAGTATTCACGTGATTTTTATTATATCGTCAAGTTCCCTCAGTACATTAAAGAGTTAGTTTTCGTAAAACGGTGCAGGCAGGCGAACCCATAGGGGCTAATGGACCAAACTTTGGAACATTTGATTAGCACAACATGAACTGTCACTATATTAATTTTCTTTAAAACTAACCAGTGGTCAAATTCCATGTTTTCTGCCTGGTACTTTAACGTGTTTCTGTAATAGATAACATTGATGCAAGTTACATCTGAACCAGGGATGTATTGAGGATTAAGTGCTATTGGATCTGTAATTACATTGGTCAACACTGGTTTTGCCACACGAACTTTGACAGCTAATTGTGTTTTATCAGTCTACCCTCATTATTACATGACAGCTGGCATATGTCTATTAGCCTCATATTTGTTGTGATACGGTAATACTCATAACTAGTACTACGGCAGTAAATTAACAGAAACGCTTACAAGTAAATAAAAATATTTGTTGTTGAATTTGAACACTTTTTTGTGATTTATTAGCCCTGTGAATATGTCGAGGAAGTGTAATAATGATCCTAACTCTTTTTGTTATGTCTGCGGAGAACTGACATTCAAAAAACAACGACGAAATTTTACGAATCTTGTGTTGGAGTGTTATCACCAATGTTTTGGTTTTTCTGTCGCCCATCAAGACAAATCCTGGGCCCCTCATATCTGTTGCATAACGTGTGTGAAAAATTTAACCGACTGGAAGAAAGGTGCACGACCTATGCCGTTTGCTGTACCCATGATATTGACTGAACAGCGAGATCACGTTTCAGATTGCTATTTTTGTCTCACAGACATAAAAGGTATAAATTACAAGAAAAAAACCACAGTTATTTACCCTAACTTGTCTTCGGCTATAAGACCAGTCTCTCATTGTAAAAAATTGCCAGAACTAATACCAGTTGCAACTACGTCTGTTGAGAACAATTCACAACCGTCCACTTCAGGTGAATGTGTTGACGAGGACGATGACTTTGAGTTAAAAGGAATTGTAAACGAGCCACATTTGATAACTCAAGGAGACCTAAATGATTTGGTTCGGGATTTAAATTTGTCAAAAAAGCAGTCAGAACTATTAGGATCACGTCTAAAAGAATGGAATTTGCTACATCATAATACAAAGTTAGCTATTTTCGAAACCGTGATCATCACTTCAGAACGTATTTTATAAATGTGATTATGAAAATGTTGGACATAGATTTTGATCTCTCTCAGTGGCGTTTATTCATTGATCCTTCGAAAGCAAGTCTAAAAGCAGTGTTATTGCATAATGGAAATAAGCTTCCGTCTGTAGCTCTGGCCCATGCTGCAAATATGAAAGAAACCTATGAAAATATGAAACTTTTACTTGAAAAAATAAATTACAGTACATATACCTTCAAAATCTGCGGTGATCTTAAAGTTGTTGCACTATTACTTGGACTTCAGCTGGGTTATACAAAGTTTTGCTGCTTTTTATGTGAATGGGATAGCCGAGACAGAACTAATCACTATATAAAAAAAACATGGCCTACGCGTGCATCGTTAGTTCCTGGGCAATAAAACGTAAAGTATTTACCCCTTGTACAGCCAAATAATGTGTTTCTACCACCATTGCATATCAAATTAGGATTAATAAAAAAATTTGTGAAGGCAATGGATCGCAATGGGAGTGGATTTTTGTATCTAAAAGAAAAATTCCCTAAAATAAGTGATGCAAAGATAACAGAGGGTATCTTTGTTGGCCCTCAAATTAGGGAGTTAATTAAAGATTCAAGATTTGAAGAAAAATTAAGCGATTTAGAAACATCTGCATGGAAGGCTTTTAAATATGTTGTTTCAAATTTTTTGGGTAACCACAAGAGTGACAGCTACAGAGAGTTGGTTAGCGAGCTATTATTGTCATATCAAGCATTGGGTTGCAACATGTCACTTAAGATCCATTTTTTAGACTCGCACCTGGATTGTTTTCCTGACAATTTAGGGGCTGTCAGCGACGAGCACGGTGAGAGGTTCCATCAGGACATTTCTAATATGGAAAAGCGGTACCAGGGCAAATGGAGCCCAAATATGTTAGATTACTGCTGGACAATTAAAAGGGACGACAAAGTTAAAATTTTGTTGACCAGTGTTATCATATTACCACGACATTTTAATAAGAATTTCTATTATAGGGTGAACAGATTTTACACCAATGGAACATCGAGGACATAATCTACTACCTGGGTCATGAGGCAAAACGAAGTCCCCCATCCAGATGGACAATGACATTTATCGAAGCAAAGACCCATCCAATGCGTAGTAAAAGCACGTCCTATTTCGGTCACGTTTTAGTTTGGAATGATGCAGCCGCAAGAGCCAATTGGCTCAGTTCAATGTTGAGGGCCAGGTACCCGAATAACTTAGCACCACCACCAAATCTGTTGCCTATTTAAAGCCTTATTCTTGCCTTAGAAGGTTATCAAAAGTTGATAGTTACTGTGCTTAGTGTCTAGTATACACTATACAATGCAACATATAGTTATGGTTAAAGCTCGTTGAGAATGCCATTTTATAGGGTATTTAAAAATAGTTATTTTAAAGTTCGAATAATCTTCATACACTGGCTGTCTTGCTAGCCGTCTTCAAGCAGCCCAAATGTTAGTAAAGTAAGATATGTCTTACAACATAATGAAGAAATTTAGAATCCTCAAAATGTATTATAAAAATATATATTTAGTGACAATGGTGATGGCACGTTATGGTTTAGTAAATTTTATCGTAATTATTTCTATCCAAATACTCATGGCACAGCTTCAGTAACAGTAACATGTGAAACTCATCCTGTGGTTTTCATGTCGATAAACCTGCATGTTTGTCTGGCCAATCAAATCAAAATTTTTTGACATATATATAGAGAGAGAGAGAGAGAAAATTATCATGCCGAGAAAGGTATATAACAAAAATAGGAAAATAATTTTTTTTTTTTTTTTTTTATGTCGAAACAGCCGCGCAGGCAGAAGCCTAAATGCCGGAACACCGCGGCTGCTATGATGATCCCAAAGAAATTTTGTTAATACGATTTTTGAACTGCTTAAGGTTAGTAGAACTGGGAAAAGCTTCCTCCCGTAGTTTGTTCCACAATCTAGACACCCTTGGGACAAAGGAGCGGTCGTATCGGCCAGTTCTGGATGTACGAAGTTTGACACGGTTAGGATGGGACGCCGAAGTCAGGCGGGTCAGTCTGGCAGGCACATCGCGCGGCGGCATCATGGAAGAGAGCTCTGAGGAGCAAAGCCCGTTGGTGTAGCGATAGAAAAGAGCCAGATCGCCGACGGCCCGCCGGTGCGAAAGAGTCCCGAGACTGTCTGTTAGAGAAGAGTCATCGATCAGTCGGACCGCCCTCCTCTGGACAGCATCGAGCATGGACAATGTAGTCGGGGCGGCAGCACCCCAAATGTGTGAGCAATACTCGAGGCTAGGCCTTACCTGGGCCTTGTATAGAGTGAGAAGGTCATGCGGAGAAAAGTACTTCTTAGCCCTAAACAAATAGCCTAGCTTTTTCCCAGCAGCTGCAGCTATTGAAGAGATGTGTTCGTGCCAGATCAGGTCCTCGGTGATCTGGACTCCGACCAGCCGAAATGAATGGCTCTTTGGTAGGACTCGACCGTCCATCGAAACTGTATGAGCGCTAGGACGCTTTTTGTTCGTCAAAGTACAGTACTGTGTTTTGGAAGCATTGAACTGTACAAGATTGTTGCGTCCCCAAGCAGTGATAGCCTCCAGGTCTCTTGTCAGAGAAGAAGTCGTCGCTAGTCTTCTTTTTTCCAGCTCAGCGGCAGAGATCGGCTTGTCACTCTGAATTCCTGCATGTAGAGTGCTGTCATCAGCGAAGCTGTGGATTGGGTTGATCGTGCAGGAAAGGAGGTCGTTGATATGTAAGAGAAACAGTGTTGGAGCCAAGACCGATCCCTGGGGAACACCCGCGTTGACGTTGTGGGATGAAGAGGAGAATCCGTCAATTACGACTGATATCTTGCGGCCAGAGATAAAGTCAGCCACCCATCTGCAAAGCTTTTCTGGGAGGCCGTAGGATGGAAGTTTGCTCAAGAGGGCAGCGTGCCACAGCTGATCGAACGCTTTCGTGATGTCAAGAGCAACGACATGAGCCTCACCATGAGACTGGATGAGTTTACTCCACAGTTGCGTGACGTAAGCTAGGAGGTCCCCTGTGGATCGTTGGTGCCGGAAACCGTACTGCCTGTCGCTAATCAAGCTGTGACGTTCGAGGTAGTCCAGAAGCTCGCGATTTATGCACCTCTCCATCACTTTACTTATAACAGAAAGCAGAGCTATAGGCCTGTAGTTGTAAGGGTCGGTTTTAGATCCTTTTTTTGGGATGGGCTGTACATGAGCAAATTTCCAGTTTTCTGGGAAGGTGCCGGATTCATAAGATATCTGGAAGAGACGCGAAAGGACTGGAGCAAGCTCAGCTGCACATCTCTTCAGTACAATGGCAGGAATCAAGTCCGGACCAGAAGCTTTGTTGATGTCGAGCGACAAGAGCACTCGTCTTACGGTCTTATGCCTGAATGTTACCTCCCGCATAGTGTGGGGAACCCTTTGAATTGACGGCACTTGGGCGTTGGTGGGGACGTCCATGGTGGAGTTGGCAGCAAAGATCTTCGCTAGCACTTCCGCCTTGGCCTTTGAGTCGAATACAATAGTTCCATCCTGACACGTAAGTGGTGGAAGGCTACTGTGTGAGAAGTTCTTTTCAATCTGCTTGGCCAGCGTCCAGAAAGACCGACTGCCATTGCGCTGCGACATTACCCTGTGCCTAACTTTTATATCATGCTGGGTTTTGGCATTGCGAACCGCTTCGTTATATTTGTTTCTGGACTCGACGTCGGCTTGTCTATTCTCTACAGTGGGGTTTTGTAAGTAGGTTCTGTGGGCCTTGATCTTCTGCTGGCGAGCAGTGTCACACGATTTGTTGAACCAGCCGTTGGACCCTGGTTTAGGAACTTTCACTGTGTGAGGGATGTATTCCTCCATTCCGACGTGGATAATTTCGGTTATTGAAGAACAGACAGTCGACGCATCCGCGTCAGTGAAACAGACATCTCTCCAAGGAAAGCTAGAGAAGAAGTCTCTGAGCCCCTCCCAGTCTGCATGTCCGTAATGCCAAGTTTTGCGGCCTGTGCGAGTTTCTGCGGCCACAGCGGCTTCTGACCGAAACCTAACCTCCACAACACCGTGATCTGAGTTACCCAGGGGGGACAGGACGGCAGTGCTGTAAGGGGCAGGATGCGTGGTCAGAAAGAGATCCAGCAGGCTACTGGCGTGTGACGAGACGCGGGGGAAAAAAGTAGGGCTCGTCACCAGCTGGGTCAGCCCTTGAGTAAGAGCGAACGCTTCGACTGCACGACCTGCTGCATCGGTCTTATTTGAGCCCAACCAAAGCTCATTATGGGCATTGAAATCACCGAGAAGAACTACCTCTGAAGCGGGGTGATTGATGTTCAGGAAGTCGATCTGGACGGCGAGGTATTCGGGTAGGTCATCCCAGTTATGGTTCGAGGGAGAGCGATAAAGGCAGCAAATAAATTTGGGTGATGTTTTGGAGTTGAGGCGAAGCCACAGAATGTCCTTCCGGTCTGATTCCAAAGAAAGATCCCTGGAGCAGGAAAGACCGCTGCGGACAAAAGCCACAACTCCCCCGTTCTTTCTCAGATTGGAGTGCACCTCGTAGTTTGGGAAGTTGAGATGGTTAATCGGTGCAGCCTCTGAGATTTTTGTCTCCGCCAAGAAAAGCACGGCGGGACGATTGGATTGCAGGTAGTGATGAACAGCATCAATGTTGCTGTTGATCCCGCAGATGTTCGAAAAACAAATTTTATCTTCGATGTTGTTCCCTCGAGCCCACCCTCCACCCGGACATTCCGAGAGTGGAGTGAGTTTACGTCCGGAGTTTTTAGTGCTCGAGGGATCCATCATCATTAATTTCTTTGTTTTGGTAGATAACCGACTGCATAGCTTAGGTGTGGAAACATGCGGACATTTATAAGACACCCTGGGAAAAGCTAGCGGGTGGTACTGCCTCGGTCGACTGGTCCTTGTCTACCACCTTCTTTTTACGTATTAGTGATGTTAAATAGACCTAAAGTGGCCCGTTGGCGGACTTGTACCGCCACCCGGCAATCGGTACTGAGGTATTCCTTAACGCGTGCGCAATCACTTGGACGGGAAGAAGTTGTATACTGGATACAACGACTTCCGGAACAAGCATTTGCCACGGCCCTCGCTCAGTAGGGGACCAATAATGGACACAATCCGCAAAAAGTGGATTCGAGCAAAAATAGGATAGGTAACCCGAGCGATACGTATTTCTGCTGGTTGGCTTCATCAGGCCCGAAATGAATGCACATATGCAACTACAAAAGTAGAGACACATGCCCATACATCCGGATACGGGTGTAACCTGAGGAAACAAAGATGGAGAGGAAAAAAAGTCACACGAAGTCCACAACAAGAGCCAACCTACACATTGTAGTATAAAATGGCTAGAAGACCTCGAATTTTCAAGGCGACAAATAACCACAACCACGCGGCCGGTTATAGCCACTTGCTGTGGTACTTCAAGCCCAAAGGATCTACAAAGAGAAAATTATCATGCGGAGAAAGGTATATAACAAAAATAGGAAAATAATGGACACAATCCGCAAAAAGTGGATTCGAGCAGAAAATAGGATAGGTAACCCGAGCGATACGTATTTCTGCTGGTTGGCTTCATCAGGCCCGAAATATACCTTTCTCCGCATGATAATTTTCTCTTTGTAGATCCTTTGGGCTTGAAGTACCACAGCAAGTGGCTATAACCGGCCGCGTGGTTGTGGTTATTTGTCGCCTTGAAAATTCGAGGTCTTCTAGCCATTTTATACTACAATGTGTAGGTTCGCTCTTGTTGTGGACTTCGTGTGACTTTTTTTCCTCTCCATCTTTGTTTCCTCAGGTTACACCCGTATCCGGATGTATGGGTATGTGTCTCTACTTTTGTAGTTGCATATGTGCATTCATTTCGGGCCTGATGAAGCCAACCAGCAGAAATACGTATCGCTCGGGTTACCTATCCTATTTTCTGCTCGAATCCACTTTTTGCGGATTGTGTCCATTATTTTCCTATTTTTGTTATATACCTTTCTACGCATGATAATTTTCTCTTTGTAGATCCTTTGGGCTTGAAGTACCACAGCAAGTGGATATAACCGGCCGCGTGGTTGTGGTTATTTGTCGCCTTGAAAATTCGGGTTCTTCTAGCCATTTTATACTACAATGTGTAGATTCGCTTTTGTTGTGGACTTCGTGTGACTTTTTTTCCTCTCCATCTTTGTTTCCTCAGGTTACACCCGTATCCGGATGTATGGTTATGTGTCTCTACTTTTGTAGTTGCATATGTGCATTCATTTCGGGCCTGATGAAGCCAACCAGCAGAAATACGTATCGCTCGGGTTACCTATCCTATTTTCTGCTCGAATCCACTTTTTGCGGATTGTGTCCATTATTTTCCTATTTTTGTTATATATATATATATATATATATTATATACAGTGTGTTACCACAATAAACTTAAATGTCCGTAACATGCTGAAATTGCCCGAAGCTATGATTACAAATTTTAAGATGGCACCACGCAAAACGAGCGCAGCCCAGTGCCGCCTGTGGTGGGCATATGCACTCCCAAAAAGACGTCCAGCCCCCCAAAAAGAGAAGCGAGTGTGAGGTTATCTGACGTTTTTCAATGTACGTCACGCTTGTCAGAACTGGTGTCGAAACACACCGGTTAATTGCTATGTAATCTTCGACTAAAATGTTGCAAATTCATAGTTCATGAAGAAATTGGAGGACATTTGGAAGCCATCTTAAAATTTGGAATGATAGTTTCGCGCAATCTCAGCATCTTACGGACCTTTCAGAGTATCATAGCAACACTGTATAGGAATGTGACAAAAAACGACGTGCCACCTGGAAGACAAATAAAATTTACTGTAAAAAAGGGTCAATTTTATAATGAAAAAGGTCACTACCATAAAAGATTTTAAATATGTACATGAAGTTTTATTGGCCACACAAACATGAGGAATTAGCTTCAGTAGACGTATACAAAAGTGTGCATTTAGTAACATACAAACACTCTAAGGAAACTATGGAAATCATACTTATAATATTACACGTCATGTGATATATTTGTCGCATCTAGAATCTTTACGATTAAATCTTAAACGTCAAAGAATATAAAAATCTATGATTTGAAAATCACCATTCAACAGTTTTGACAATAATCGATCGTGACTTTCTTGTAATTTATTTTGAATAAAATAGTTACATGTGCCAATCTCCCCAAAGGACTACATCAGAATTTTAGAAAATATTGAATTTATTATATTTTAAACAAAATAATATGTTTTATATTTTAAACAAAATAATATGTTGTTTGAAGATTTAGGTATATTCAAATATTAGAGGGGCACGTTGTATATTTTGAGATGCGCAGTAACTATGCTAGTTAAAACCGGCAACAGTGCACTATTAGAAAGAGTAGTCCTTCATTAGAAAGTCGCCGCATTCAGTTCATTTGCAAGCATTTTACAGTGCACGTGGTGTAAGCAAATTTAAGACGAAACATGGAGTTGTCTCGAGAGAGTTATCGCACTATGATTTACTATGACCTTAAATTCGGTTTAACTGAACATCAATGGATCGAACGGTTACAACAGGCATTTGGTAATGAAGCTTCGTTCCGGGCAAGTGTGTTTCGCTGGTATGCCGAATTTAAAAGAGAGCGTATTTCATTGGCTGTTGATAACGTAGTGGTAGGCCATGTTCTAGAGTGACTCCCGAAAACATGGCTAAAGTTTTCGCTGCACATATGCGACTATAGAGGCAGGCAACTCTTGGGGTAGGATCCGCAACAGTGCACACCATTTTGCATGATCATCTTCATTTAAAAAAAGTTGTTGCGAGATGGGTATCACATCAGCTTACTAATGTCGCCAGCGTCACATCAAACATCCGCCAGATTTGGCAATGTGTGACTTCTGGCACTTCGCAATTTGAAAAAAAAATCTGCGTGGTCGAAAATTTTCGACCGACGAGGAAATCGATCAAGCTTTTAATCAGTTTGTTGAAGGCATTCCAACAACTGATTATTTAGAAGCATTTTATTTAAGGTCAGGCTACAACAGTGCATTGAACCTGGAGGAGAATACTTTGAACATAAATAAACTAGTTTTCGAAAAATAGTTTTTAGTTTTCGTGTATCTCAAAATATAACATATAGCGTGGCCCTCGTATTTCAGGTACTGATATGTGCATTAATTTCTTATGGATAAAACAGTATTTTTAGGTAATCATTTTGTATACAATGTGATTGTTATTCTTATGACATCTTTATATTATATACCCGAAAATGTAAACCATTTTTTACTTTATGAACTAGTTCTGTAGGATTTTAAGTACAAAAAAGTGCAAAGTAAAGACAATTTTCTCAATCTCGGAGATAATTTTAATAACTTTTTTTTTCTTCTCACACCAACTGGCGAGATTAGCATATTTTGAAATCTGGATATAAGCTTTTCCATGACACGCGGTAGTCGAGAACACCGAAAAGCTGACAAAAAATACAATTCCTACGGCATTTATACGATTTTCAGTATCTGGGGTTAGTTTTTCTGTATGAGGTCATTTGAAGGTCCTTCGAGGTCATAGAAAGGACATTTTCAAAAGAAGCCAAGCAGTTGATCTCAACCGCATGTCATTTACGCTTTTCGGTTCACTAAGTCCGAATCAGAGGTCAAGAGCATCTGAAGGTAATTTTAAAGAGAAATTCGAATGCGGAATAAGTCCAGATTCGTATCATATAAGTTGCCGCGGTCGTTGAGACCAAATCGGAGATGTTTGTCTGTAGGAAGGCACTTTCAAAAGAAAAATTCGAAAAAGTTGAATAAGCGTTTTCGACTACCTGTCATAATACGGCAGTACATAAGGTTGTACAGGATGCAGCAGCATAAATTCATATTTTAAAATGTACACCATTCAGTTGGTTGATGTAGCAATGCGCTAGTAGTCTCGTTCAAGAGGCGGAACTACAAAGTTTTGTCTCGACACACTTCAGTCACTATCGTGCGTTGTAACAGTGAGGAGCGTGATTTTGCCGTTGAGCCTACTTTCCGAGCGGATGTTCTATGATGGCAATCCAGTCTTTTGGAATTGCTTCAATTTAGGCCCTTGGCCACTTTCCTGGACCGGAAATTAATTGTTGCTTGGGTCACTACTTTCAGACAAGCTACAAGTGCGACAAGACGAAAAACTGAAGTCCCTCGGTCCATTAGATCACCTAAAACAGCGTTCTGTTCGCAAACATACTCCGCAGCGGTAAATGAAAAGAATGAAGTTTTGATTGTGCTTTCACTCGTGCTGCTAAAACGAATCGAACAACACTTCATATGTCAAAATCCATCAAGCCGTGTGGACTGTAGCCCGTGAAACAAAATTATTCTTGTCCACATGCATACATACACCCCCGCTAAAAACATAACGCTCCTTTTGAGGAAGTCAAGTAGTGAGATGTTGTCGTCTAATAGTTATTTATGTATGAAAGGCGACACGCGGGTGTCCTTGGATTTTCCGATTGTTCTTCACGATAATCTTCATTTCCATCCTTACAAGATGACAGTTGTGCAGGTACTTATCAACGTGTCTTCAATTCTCGGATGAACGCCTGTGAGAGTTCTCGAAGTCCTTTCTGGGGACGCTATTGTTTTTTGTTTAGCGATGTCCATTTTTATCTGTGTGAATCCGTCAACAAACAAAACATGCCCTTCTGGGCTTATACATCTCTGGCTGATACCAATCCTCGAGAATTGCATCGAAGGCCTTTGCATTAACCTAAACTCACAGTATGGTGCAATTTCCTCAGCTGGAATTACTGGTCACTGGTTCTTTGACGCAAATTAAGCTGTACACCTGCGTTTTTCGTTAAAAAATAAAAGTTTGTAAATAGGCGTCCACGCGCCTTCGAACATCAAGAATAATGATTTTTTTTATGCATAAAATCGTGATCCAAACGTGCGCAGATATAAACAAAAGAGTGTACATAAATTTATGTCCGTTTTTGAAATATACGACACTTTATAATTTTCTTCGGATTTTAAGGATCTCGATTTTATGCCAGCACTATTTATGAACACCACCCATCTTCATAGAATAACTGATTGAATCGACATTCGGGTCGCAGAAAAGCAAGGAGGTATGGAACAGAAACCTCATTCCTGTTACAAACCTAGGGCGAAATTTAAAAATCGCCACAAATGTACACTCCTTCCGAGTATACCGATGGTTGCTATTAGGGCTGCATAAGCGCCAGGGGTATTTGTTATCAAGATAACAGAAAAATCAGAAGTTATTACAGTTAGTAAGCGTGCGTCTGGCAATACCTGCTACTGCTACAGAGGAGAAGCGACAGAAAATGATAAAAAATGTATAAATCTTGGGAAAGTTTTAAATTTTTTATTTGGTAAAGTTTCATACAAAAAATAAACTATCAATATCAGAATATACTGGTCATTACATAAAACAACTTGCATACAAAATACAAACACGTAAAAACTTAAGTACATCGGTGAATAAATACTTCAATCAATTACCTTATATTTCTGGTCCACAATAATAACTAATTGCTTAGGTGATTAATCAACAAAGCACCCTGTACTTGAGGGTACAGTAAATTTGAGATTCTATACAAGAGATGTTCACATAAAAATTACATACAATCAACTTTATGGAAATCATTTGTGCTGGTCTGTGCCTATACCTCCTGATTTGTGCGAAACATTGAAGTCATGCAGTTGTATACTATCATTTAGAAGGATACTAAAACTCGACCTTATACCCATAAAAATACTAAATTCTGTATCTAGAAATCTTGGAGAGATGAACAAAATTACCAATACAAGATTCATAGAACGGGTTTCTTTGCAGTACCAAAGTGCATAGTGCAAACTGTAAATGAAATTTAGGTGACATGACCTATTTGCGACGTGGCTGTCATATGACCACAAAGCATTGTGGCAATCAAGAAAAGTCCTAACGCGTTCTGCGCACTAGTTGGCAGTTCTGCCGACCAAAAATGCTGAAAACAATAGTAGAGTTGTTCATTCATTTATTCTCTACTTTTGAGAATGAACATGTATCAGCGCATATCTATTCGACAGACTTCATGCATTTAATGGGTGTACACTTTCCGAGACCGGCTTTATTAACACTTCTCTCAGCATCTATGTTATCATCTGGAAGTCAACTATATAATGTGCCACTGTATTGATAAAAAGCGCAAGTGTCGTTCAAAGAATATACAGTGCAACTCAAAATGCCCTAGCAATAGTAGAAATAAGAGTCCAATATTTATTTTTCACAACAAAAGTTTAGTAATCCGTTAATTTCTATTAAATATTTTGAATACCTGAAAACATTTCAAACTGACAACAAAATTGCCCTCATTATTTTAAATAAATGTAATAAAGTAGTATACAGGTAAGTAATCATTTGTGTTCAATAATGTATTATTTATATGTTTTATTTTAATAACACTATTTATTTACATTATATTTGATAATGACAAATACGGCCAGCAGCGGTTTTCAATGTTCAGCGGTAGAAAGAGCAGTAAGGGCATTCTCTGTCTGGTAGCTGTTACAGTACAAAACATATTTCCTAAGGATATCGGCCAAAAATCACTGCGTAATAATCACAACGTGACAGTCACGACACAAATTCTACTATGCACTTTCATATGACACAATTTCGCGGAGTGCATGTTTCACAGTGAGAACAAGACATTGTGAGCCATGATTCAGCTCAATGGGCGTTTTCTGTCTTTGAGCGTAACATATACAACATACACATAACAAAGCATGTTGCCGAGTATGATTGTTTTCATTCCACAAAAGAACCCATTTATATAATATTTAAATGCAATCTGGTAATCTATAAACGTTTCAACTATGCTGTATTTATACTCATAAAGTATATCCTTTATTCATAATCTGTATGATTGTTTTCTTCCGACATACACACAGAATTTTTAAATAATCTCTCCATCTTCTTACCTGATGAATGTACAACCCTTCCAAATACAGTCATGAAAATTGATATTCTGTCATACAACATGCATGGTATAACATTCAAGTCACTGAATAATTTCGACACGAGTCAAATGTTTCATCATTCTTATACCTATAGCTTCGTCGAAATCGACAAGATTCAATCGTTTATATGCTAAATGCACTTTTAATGCCAATAGTCAATACTGAGAAATTTTGAGACATTAAGATATTAAACACTAGGGTAAAAAACCTAATATAAAAATATAGGCATTTTGATCATTTCTAATACGAATTCAACAAAATGAACGTTATTGTCTATAGGTACCCCTAGTTGGTATGTTTTAACATTATAATATTCACAACTTCAAAACGTGATCTATATTACAGTTGCTCAGCATATTGGTAATACCAGTGCATTGTCCCAAGAATACAAAAGAATAATTTAAAAACAACTATGCTTGAGGTTAATCTTCTCCTGCAGATGCTAACATAGCGAAACAGGTGTCGGATGTTTTGTGGTACTATGACTATGTCTGACTCAGGCACCGCACGATGTTTAGGTGATACTAGTTTATAAACAAACTGCATTTGAAATCCGAGTTTAAGGCATGCGTACAGCAATATAGCGTAATTATCGATTTGCGCATCTTCAAGATCTTGTTGATACTCCGCGAATGTCTGAGTATTCAGAATGTCGACATCGTCTTCGATATTTAAATGAGAGCTGCGTAAGTTTGTTTATATCATGTAAAAGCCATCTTAGTGAACACTGTACACCTAATGTTGCAAATGTAGGAATAAATAAACAAACTCGTGTTTTTGAATCGAACAGCGACTACTTCAAGCAGTAATTATAAACATGTGACAGGGTAGTAATTGAAATGCGGTACCAAATAAATAGTAATGGTTTCTGAAAAGGAAAGTCCCAATTTTGATAACCATTTTGAATCACACATTCCTGTCAGACTATACATATCCATCCTTAATGCGAGTAGCCATCTGCGTCACGTCATCTGACCTCTTGGACCTGTGTCTCTACTTTCTCCCAGGTTAAGTAATGCATATTTTTCCATATCACTTTTATATTTGAAATTTTATAAATGCGTATTAGACACATTAAAGAATACAGCTCAATTGTCTGATAGGGAAACACATTCATTCTTATAACTTAGAGAAGCATTCCTACCCGAAAAACGTAACATTTTCATAGAAAATAAGGATATAGTTACTGTTTTATGAAGACACTAGAAGTATCATTTATCGTATCAACTGTTTTTAATTTTTCCACGTGAATTGGACATATACATAGATCTATAAACCCCCTATCAAATAAAAATAAAAAATGTATATATTTACATGAGGGTGAAATAATCCGAGATGAAAGGCATGTATAACAAATATACATGTATGGGAGAAAAAGTATGAACCTAAACCTATCTGAGTATTTTAAGTATATCAGTTTCAACACCATTTATATAATCATACGGAAATCACAACTATATTATAAGATTGATGGGCAAAAAAACTGTTACACAAACATAGAGAGCCATAGTGTTTGTCATTGAAGGTAGAGATATATGGTACATGTCATCTTTGGCTAATATGTACTATTGTCAAATTGTCCTAACAAATACTATACAAATGGTCAAAATGGTAATGCAGGAATAGTCTATTTGTTAAAGGTTAACATATTTTTTACAACAGGAAAAATTATATGAGCAGTTTTTGTTCAAAATAAATTTCTTATAGTTTATTTTAATCACTTTATCGTCGCTAATTCTACGCGGTGTCGTATCTCCAAAAAAAAGGAACAGATCCTTTATCAACTCATGAGCTGCGATAAACCTAGGATACTTACTCCAATGGTGACGAAATATCACCCCTGAACTTAATAAATTTTCCCCTACTCAAATCGCTTCGCCTGTCAAGTCACGGAAACTGAGATACGACATTATATGAGTTTGATGATAATATGTTGCTCAAATGAACCCAAGCAACAGCCTGTAGGAGGTAAGTATCAATGAAGTATTGTGGAGTACTTCCTCGCAACCATGATTATTGTCATTAAAAGTCCTTAAGTACATGATTTGTGCATATAGATATTGGTCCGTTAACTGTTGCTCTTGAATACTTTCATCTCCTTCCCGTTGATGGCGGTAGGAACTCTTGAGTAAAAGTGGGTGTTCCTGCCCGTCCATTGTAAGTACAAGTAGAATGATCCAAAAATGAACGCCATTCCATTTATCAGGCAAACCACAGCTATTATTGACCTATAAAATGGAGAAATAAAAAAACTGTCATCGTCGGTGAATTAATTTTCGCCAACAGCCAGAACATGGAGGTGAATCAACTGTTACGTCGATTTCGGACATCCTACAACTATTACAATTTGATTTGCAAAAGCTATAAATACAAAATAGTTTTGAATACAACAGTCAAAATATTCCAAGAATATACCGAAACCGCGATTTCGTCAAGTTTTATTCCACTTCTAACATTCAAATTCTGAGAATAATAATATACAAAAACTTTAGGTGACAAAATTTCCATTACTATAAGCCTAATAATGTTCTTTGGGATGAAGAAATATTTATAGAGAGAGACTCTTAAGCTGAGTCAGATTACAATAATACATGCAAATTTTATGCAAATCTGTGCTGAATTTAAATCACCTATCCATTGTTCATATACAGTTTTCTTAGCATATCATGGACTCTGACATTCCTGAGATAATTGTTTTAATGTACAATCTTTCAATCAAGTCAAGCAAAAATGTTAAATAGATAGTACAATTTTCTGCCAATTTTCTCTGGTACACATCAATTTTTTGTAAGAATTCAATATGCATATCTCCCACGCTAATGGTGTTCAACTTTTAACCTTTGACCAACTGTCTATAATTAAACACTATGAAAAAATTCCCGGATCCTAAATACGCACGTGAGGATGGAACATTTGTACAAATCGCTATTATTAACTATTACTACTAATATAAACTATTATTTGTATTGTTTATAGATGTAATTTGTCCCATCTACAATTTCCCAGTATTAACCACCGTTCAAAAACCCTGAGATTGCGAATAAAATCGAAAGTAAAAAAATGACAATCGAATATATTTTGAAAATATCAACAATTTCAGATGTCAAAATTGAAGGCCAGTAGCGACACTGGATTATGAAAAGTGAAATAAAGATATATCTAAAAAATAGTGAAAGTAGTTTTGCCACGCTTAACTCGTAAAAGCATGTACTAATTTTGAGTCACAACAAATAACATTTGAGATTCTATGAATTATCAATGAATTGGACCATATTTATACTGACATATAAATCCGAATACCCAGATTAAATGGTTTTATTTTAATAAAATTTTGTATAAGTACTTAATGAAGCATAATAAGTAAATGATAAAAATTTCAAAATGATTGCACTGCTTTAAAGCCCTTTGACCTTTAATAATGTGTGGATGCACCCTGATGTGCTACGCATTCTCCAACGCGCCTAGGCATGCTTCTGATCAGGTGGTCAATGTCCTCCTGTGGTATCTCAGTCCAGGCAACCACCAACTTCTCTCGAAGTGCTTCTAGAGTCTGAGGAGGACGTTGCAAATTGAGCAATCTCCTACCCATCATATCCCACACGTGCTCAATTGGGGATAAGTCGGGAGATCTTGGTGGCATGGTAACAATGTGACATCATTATGTTGAAAGAAGTCTATTGTGACTCTTGCAACATGTGGTCAGGCATTATCTTGTTGGAAAGTTGGATCTGCCATGGTGTCAAGATAGGGTAAAAGATGGGGTTCTAGAACTTCGTGGATATAACGCTGCGCGTTCATGTTACCTCTGATGAAGATTAAAGGTGACCTGGAACCATAAGCTATAGCACCCCAAACCATAACTCCAACAGTGTGATGAACATGTCTTTCAACAAAAAACTGTGGATTCCTCCTTTCACCACGTCGCCTTCTAACCCTCGTGCATGCCTAAACAAAATCGAGACTCGTCACTAAAGACAATACTGTTCCATTCCTGATCCCAGAGTGACCGTTGTCTGCACCACTCAAGGCGATTACGTCGGTGTTCTCGAGTTAAAGGGAGGACCCAGTGTGGCCGGTATGAAAACAAGCCAAAACTTCTCATTCATCGGTAAACACTTCCGTGTTCTGCAAACCATTCATTTGCAATGGACCTGGTAGTGGAGAAACGGTCCCTTAAGGCCAATAATCTTGGGCGGCGATCTTCACGGTCTGTTGTTCTACGGCGGCGTCCAGTGCCCCTTGCTCTGTGCGTACGGCCTTCTCGAAGCCATGCCTGACAACACCTAACCACAGTGTCTACACTTCTTTGCACTCTAACTGCAATTGCCCGAAAAGAAAGTCCAGCTTCCCGAAGTCCCACTATACGGCCCCTATCAAATTCACTAAGTTGACGCAATCGTACAGGTCTCCGTACTCTAGGCATCGTAACCGATCGTAAAGGATGTCAAGAACCAAAATCCGCCAACGTTGATTCTTTACTGCGGCTGAAATATTCATTTTTAGAGCGTTAGTAAATTAAAAAAAAGCAGTATAAAAACCGGAATGTCCAACTGATAAGGCTGAACATTTTTTCACTTGTTATTTACAGTAAGATAAATACATTCACCAACTTTTATTAAAATAAAACCATTTAAACTGGGTGTTCGGATTTATATGTCACTTAGTATATTTAAAAATAAGGCCAGTTAGAATGTTAAGGTGGATGGACGTCAGAAACTGATGATTAGTGACTTTCTTGTTTCCCAATGAATGTGATAAACGTGAACAAACTGTGGCTTCAACAATATCGATTTTATGTTTTTCCGACCTTTTTTACACCTGAAAGATATACCTTTCATAGTGTAAAAAATTCATCCAAACCCGATTTATACTTACTACCAAGTTATAGAATAAAGCAAGAATTGCCGGTCAGACTGACAGACAGACCAACAGAAGGTCGGAAATGAGTGACATGCTTTTTCAGGATGCGCAAGTTATATAACATAAAAAAAACATAATTTCATTTTCGAAATTTTTCGTGATTAAAATATGTCCTCACCCAGTGAGTAAGAAATGGAAAGCTTGAAAAAAACTCTTCGTACCTGAGAACTACATCCACTTCGAAACAATTCAAATCCAAATAATGAAAAGAGGCATCAAACATCGTATCCTGGGTCCTATTGCTTCCAGTGTCACATAAGCAGGTGGAACTGGCCTTGCTCGGAGGTGCACAGCTGGTGATGGAAATAGCCACGATATGCATCAATGCGATGAAAAACGCTGATAAGGCGGTGATGCAGGCCAGAACACTCAGGCACACGGACAAGTACTTCAGCGATTTAATCAAGTAGCTTAGCAAGCGGCTGGGATGTAGCTTTGGGCAGTAGTGAAGGTATAATAGGCCCACGATGCCTGACATTAAGATCTAGAAAAAAAGATCTTGGATATTGTGGTTTCAGATAATAATGTGACAGATCTTTCAGAAAATAAATAGTGGAAGTCCCCTAAGCCTGACTAGTGCCAAAAAGCGGACCCCTGGGCTCATTAGCTCTGCATTCCCTGATATTCTTTTAGCGTTAAGTCTAAATTGCAGGTTAGGTATCTAGTTTGTTCAACAATTGCTTTGTTTTAATAGCGTCAATGTGACCCATTTCAGTTGTCTAAATCTACTACCCACTATTTTTGAAATCACTTTTCAAGTTCAGAAAGGATATCCTTGCTTAATATAAAATCTTGATGATTTTCAACTTTTACTCGAAGCCTGGTTCTGGCACCTGTGTAGGATTTTTGGAATTTATTCTAGTTATAGTAATGTTCAAGTGTTTATGAGCTATTAAAGTAAATGATGAATATTACATAGTAAGCGTTTTATGCTTTAAAAGCATACTTTTAGGCAACAGCCAAGGAAGTGAGTACCTTCGAACTCAATACAGAGATGTTCTTGATAATTTACTAGCGAGGGACTTGGTATCATTTATTAGGATATAGGGACACGCTTGAATTGGTTTGCAAAGGCACGTTATGATGCCAGATTTCTAACTGGCTCCAGTATCTGCAACCTGTTGATAACCGAAGAGTAGATTTAGAGACAACACTTTGAAATACGGACATCTCTGTCAGGCGTAATACCTGATTTGAACATACTGCAAAAGAGGTATGTTCTCATTATTTCTATTTCTAAGTTAAGGTTGCTTGAGAGGCTGCTGTTTGTCCATGTTTAAACGCCCAATTAACAAAAACTGTGCCATTAAGATATTGGTAAGATCTTCTTTGTCAAAGAGTACCTATCCATTCAGAAACTTACAGGTAAGGCGCTCCAACAGGGATTGTCTCTTTGTCTAAGATTAGGCGACCAAACTAGGAACCATAGTGAGATTAGGCAGAGGAAAATTCCAATGAGCAAGGTTAGGATGAGAAAAGCTTTGACTAGTTTTCTGTGCTTCAGCAGAGGTATGTCGTTTGGTGTTACAGCTGAAAAAAAAAGGTTATATTTAGAATCCAAATGCAAAAAATATATTACAATAAAATGACGTCTCACTACCACTTTTATTGTATAGTAGTGGCGGTATCACACTGTACAACGTTACCAAAATTGAACATATTCTGCAATAAAGCATCATGAGCAGAAATAAAAGGATTAGTAACCCGAGTGACGTATGTTTCTGCTTATTGGCTTCATCAGGCCCAAACGGATGTGTATCGAAAACACCGAAGTGAAAACATACGCCCATCACATCTAGATGGAAAGCAAGCATGGAAAGGGAAATACAACTAGAAGCTATCAACAATAGCCAGCATTGTGGCTTCGGTCAGAGGACATCGTGTTTACGAGACATCAACTAATGACGCCACGGAGGCCAGCTACCGCTACCGGATTTGTGGAAACTTAGATGAAGAAACAAAGGACAATTGTGGACATGTTCGCAATAAAGGAATTCTAAACAACTTCACTGACCGACGGTTAGCAATAAAGTACTTAGAAATCAGACATTACTTTTGAATATCTTTGAAATATAAGTGTATTTGTCCTGGTTTGTGAATCGAAGAATCCGTTACACATTATTTGATATGACTTATTTAGAGAATACCAAAGTAACGTTAGTATCTACCTAAGAAACTCACCTTGTCCAGATCTATTCAGTACTATCATCCGACTGTGCCGTAAGCTGTTTCTCGTAGGTTGATGTCTGCCTCCAAAATCGGGCGCAGCGATATTTTGAGGCACCGTCGTATTCAAACAATGCGTCTGGGTCGGGCTTTTAGTAAACCTGTTGAGATTATTGTTTGAGGCCGCCTTGCCCTCAGAGGACAGCCGGCTTTCTGAGGCTTGCTGGTTGTTTTCATAGTAGCTAACGGGCCTACTGTTCGACTGTCGACTTGTGTCCAGCGGGTCTGGTTCCATGTTGAAGTTGTGTTAGCTATGAAGCAAAGCTGCCACGTGGGCGACTATGTGCGAAGCTTCTAGGTGGGATATGCATACTAACTGAAAAAAATATAACCTTGGATACAAAGATTACCAAAAACATAACATTTGGTTTTAATTACAGTGGAGCATAGGATATACAGAATACTCCATTTATGCGCGCGATTTTAATCACTCCAAAGTTTGGCATTTGGTTGCATTCTTCGATAAATAGGCAAAGAAGCGATACATGTATATCGAAGACGCGTGCTTAATTAAAGCCATAGCGATAGGAATACTGATACTTGAAATCGTCTGCATACATACCTACATATACAAAGACATATTAAACATTAGAATACCATACAATCGTACAAAGCTTCCTATATGGATCACAAGTGTGAGAAATGACAAAACGGGACAGAAAAAAAGTAGAGGCGAAAGAAATGGATTTCTTCCAAAAAGGCTAATGAGTGTCAAGGCTCAAAAAATCAGAAATGATGAAATGTGAACGCTCAGACACCAGCGACAGAGGAAATTGAGAGAGCGCAGAAGGAAAAGAGGTAGGCATCGAGAGCAACGGAAAAAAATAAGTCAGACGAGATATGCAGATAGGAGGTCTAGAAAATGACATTTGGAGAGATGAAGACGCATGGAGACGAGGTTGCGAATCTGTAACAAACTCGCAAATCCATACTATTGTTATATAACTAGGAAAGTGTGTAATTTGGTGCATAGACATAGTCTGGAATATCACATTGGCTACATTTTATCCCGGGAAATCTATATTTCACAGACTACATCCCAAACGGCTTAATGGGAATTGACATGAGATGTCTGACGCGGAAACGCTCAGTTGCTGGTCCGACCGAAATGAATAAGGGTATATAAATAGGACATTCGTATCGTGCATTTCGACATTCGTTTTCTTAGCGTGATCGTCTTGTTTTAGATTCATCTGGTGTTTTGTATTACTTCAATTTTATTGTTCCTGTATGATTTTTTCTACAATTTTTGAAAGGAAACAAGCTTGTAGGTCTAATATGTTGAAGATCAGTAGGATTTGAGATTTTGGGCACAGGTATAATTAAGGCCAGCTTCACTGTTTAGGGTGGTATCATTTTTTTTAATAAAAAAATTATTATGGGAGTGCTCTGAAAGGAACTTATAGGAAGACATATTTCGATCATAGTTGATAGCGATAAGAGTGACAATTCTCTTATAGATCACTCTAAGGTAATCCACAAACTACTTTTGTTATCCAGATAATAGTCCCACCTTAGATTGACTCTATGTAGAGATAAGCAAAAACTCCAAAATATGATGCTTTGCCTGACCGAGGTGTCTAGAAATGCTGCCCCATTTCAGAAAGTATTGTCTCGATATCCACTCCTCCGCTATTCTCCCAACTTGGATCAGCAAGCCTTCCCACTGATCACGCTCTCTCGAGTGCGTCCACCATGTCATTTCTATGTATCCCAGCGAGTGTCGGTACCCAAACCTGTACTAGGTGTCTCCCTACATTGTAATTCAGGGCTGGAGGTAACTGGGCAGGCATTCGCTGCTTCCTGGCTGTCAGAACAGGTTGTTTTTATGGAACATTTTTGGTAGAAAAATATGTGTGCAGCTGAAGAATAAAAAACGACAGAAGAAATATTCAGAATACTTGGAATTTCTGGAACCCACCAGATAGCAAAACATATTCCATAACAAAAAAAGGAAGAAACATTTAAAAAGCTATCTTCAATAGACAACATTAGACCCAGTCTAAAAAACCGCAGGCTGGTCAGATGATGGTCATCAACATGCTGAGAAATTTTGATTAATCAATAGTTCATCAACATCATAATTGTATTTAATTTTTCCGTATTGGGTCAAGACATGGACCAGTTATATGCATTTTTGATACTTATTTTTCGGTAAGTGGCCTCGTTAAGAAAGAGGATTGAAGAGCAAGAGACAGAAGCCTTTAAAAAAAGTAAAAAGATAATAAGAACCCCGACAAAAGATAGAAATAAAAGAGTTACTAACAAGGAGATGGAAGAAATTAAGGACATGATGAAAAGTCTTATGGAGGAGTTTAGAGGGTTTCGGGAGGAAAATCGTGAGGAAATGAGGTTACTTAAACAACAAAATACAATTCTTAAACAAAGAAACGAAGACATGATGCAGGAAATCAGTATGCTTAAACAGAGGGTTGAGCTGTTGGAAGAAGTAGAACAAAGGATAGAGCTCCTAGAGAAAGGTAGAAGAAAAAATAATATTGTGATCTCGGGTTTAAACCTAGGGAGAGGAGGTAACGAGGATTTAAAGCAATCAGTAGAAAACTTTCTGAAAACCAGACTGTCTCCAGAGGCAGATATTCAGTCCGCCCAAAAAATAAAAGAGAACCTCTATGTGGCGGAGTTGAAGAGTTTTGATGCTAAAATGAAGATCATGAAAGCCAAAGGTAAGGTGCAATATTTGAAAACGCAAAAAATCTACATAAACAGTGATTTGACAAAAAATGAGATGATGATTCAAAAGCATATAAGAGACAGAGCTAAAACGGAGTGAGCAAAAGGAAATACAGTCAAGATAGGTTATATGAACTTGCTGATTAGTGGAGAAAAATGGAGATGGGATAAAAAAGACCAGGTGTTGAAACCAGACACATTGATTCAAAAAAACTAGTTATGTTTAGAGAAAAGGATATCTTGGAGACGACAGAAAATGTGGCTATGACAATGGAACAGGTAGGGAACAGGAATAAAAATAACGAAAGAAATAAGACGTTAAGTACGTATAAATTTAAAGAAGAGCAAATAAGAATTGCAACTTGGAATGTCAGAAGTATCTACGAAGCAGGTGCACTGAAAAACTTAGTCAACATAGTGAACGTATATAAAGTACACGTTCTAGCTCTTCAAGAAACGAAACTTAAAGAAACAGGAATATCCCAGTGCGAAAATTTCGTATTTTGTAATAGCGGTGGTGCAAATAGACTTTTTGGGACAGGATTTCTAATAAATGCAAAGCTAAAACACACGATAGTAGAATTTAAACCTATATCGGAAAGATTGTGTTATCTACGCCTGAGAGGAAAGTACAGGAAAGTAACAATGATCAATGTACATGCCCCAAGTGAAGACAAGGATATGGATATCAAAACAGACTTTTATCAACAGTTAGATGACGTGATAAATAGTCTACCAAAATACGATATCAAAATAATATTAGGAGACTGCAATGCAAAAGTTGGGCGTGAAGACACTTATCGAAACGTTACAGGAGGGAAAAGCAAACATGAACTCTCAAATGAAAATGGCAAACTCCTGATTAACTTTGCAATTGAACAAAATTTCAAGATAATGAGCACTTATTTTGACAGGAAAGATATCCACAAGACAACATGAATCTCACCAGATGGTAATACTGCCAATCAAATTGACCACGTACTGATCGAAAACAAGCATGCCTGCAATATACACAATGTTAGAAGTTACCGTGGTGCAGATAGTGATACGGATCACTTTATGGTAGTAGCTGTTATAAAACAAGAAATCCCGAAGAAACAGTTAGAGAGACAGAAGACAATCAAAAGGTACGAAACAAAAGCGCTAGAAGATACGTCAGTTAGACAGCAACTTGAACAAGCAATAGCGACAGGACTGCAGAACACACCAGTTGTGCAGGATATTAATCAGGAATGGAATCATATCCAAGCAATAATCACTAATGTAGCAGAACAGATGATGAGAAAAACGAGTACTAGAAAAAACAAAGAGTGGTTCGATGGTGACTGTAAACGGGAATTGGAACAAAGACAGAAAGCAAAAATACAAATGGATGTATCTAGAACAACAGAGTCAAGGAAAAGATATGAACAAGCCAAACGAAAAGTGAAAGAGATGTGTAGAAAGAAAAAGCGTGAATACTGGGAAATGGGCTTGGAAATGATAGAAAATCACATGATCAACAAAAACATTAAGAACTTTTATCGGGATGTAAGAAGAAGCAAATTGGGTAGTCAAAGGTCTTCTTGCTTCTATAAAGACAAAGATGGGTCGTTAATTGGTGACATTCCAGGAAAATTAGAAAGGTGGGCCAAACATTTTGAGGAACTGTTAAAGCTATCAGACGAAGAGGAAAGGAACACGGCAGCAGCACCACTAATCGAAGATGACAATCAGGGACAAATACACGAACCAACGGATCTGGAAATAGAGGAAACAATAGGAAGATTAAAATACAATAAGAGTCCAGAAGAAAATGGAATCACAGCAGAAATAATAAAAGCGGGTGGACAAGATTTACACAAGCGACTTGGAAGTCTGATCAGATATATATGGAATCAAGAGGAACTACCAGATGAATGGAAAAACGCCGTAATCTGCCCAATACACAAAAAAGGTGATAAAAGTTCATGTGAAAACTATAGAGGCATTGCCCTGTTAGATACTGCATATAAGATACTAGCATTTCAACTAAGGGACAGATTCAGCATATATGAAAATGAGGTTATAGGTGAATATCAAGGAGGTCTTAGAAGGGGCAGGTCCACAATAGACCAAATATTTACAATGAAACAGCTGTTCTATAATAGCTATGAACAAAATCTTGGTTTACACGCATTATTTATTGATTTCAAGCAAGCGTATGATTCCATTGACAGAGAAAAATTATATGAAGCTATGAGACTGCTGGGACTACCAAGTAAACTGATAAGGTTAGTCAAAATGACAATGAACGGGACAATGAACAAAGTCACATTGGGAGGGAAAACATCTAGAGCTTTTGGCGTAACGAGAGGCCTGAGACAAGGGGACCCGCTATCTACAACATTGTTTAACTTTACGCTGGAAGCTATTTTACGTAATTGTGGTATACAAACCGACGGAGTTGTATACTATAGAAAACATCAGTTGATTGCTTATGCCGATGATATAGCAATAATAACCAGATCCAAAGCAGAACTTGAGAAGACGTTTAGAAGGTTAGAAGAAATTGCCAAACGTTTTGGGCTTCATATAAATGAAGACAAAACAAAATACCTTGAAATGAGAGGAAGCAATGAAGGAAAGTTAACAATAAAAAGTAGTTGCAGAGAATACTGTTTCGAGAAGGTGAATCAATTTGAATATCTAGGGGTCACAATAACAGATAAAGCAGAAGAAGATTTAGAAATTGAAAAAAGAATAGCAAAAGGGAGTAAAGCAATGGGGGCTTTAAGCAAGATGATAAACTCGAGGTGGATATCAAGGAAAACAAAGGAAAGGATATATAAATCAGTTATCCAACCATCAGTACTTTACGGCGATGAAGCTTGGGTGTTAAGCCAGAAAAACGTACAGAAATTGGAACGCTGGGAAAGAAAAATGTTACGTAAAATATATGGGGGCACAAAAAACAACGATGGTACATGGAGAAAGCGAACTAATAAAGAACTGATGGAGATGTATAACCAACCCAGTATAATACAAAAAGCCCGAGCTCAAAGAGTGCGCTGGTTAGGACACGTTTACAGAATGCCGTCTCATAGGAATGCCAAAAAAGTTTTGTTTGGAGGAGAAGGTAGTAGAAGAAGAAGAGGGAGACCGAAGAAGCAGTGGCTGGAAAGTGTCAAAGAGGATATACAAAGACTAGGCATACCAGACTGGGAGGAAAAGACCAAAAACAGAGAAGCGTGGAAAGAAGTTGTCAAAAAGATATAAGCCATGGGCATTCAGGCCTGAAGCGCTGAATTATATATATATATATATATATATATATATATATAAGTGGCCTCGTTAAAACCTTGCAACCTTGCACAGTGCTTGTACTGCCGATTCGCGGATAACGGGAAGTATTTCACGATACTCAATACAGCGGAAATAAACGGATGTAATTGCATTTCAACCAGTCAAGCTGTATTGTAACTGCCCATATAAAAGAGCTATCTATATTGGATTATTTCCTTTGATTGACTTCGCGCTATTAACTTTTAGGTACAGATGAAAGTGTGGGAATATTTCACGCGTCTCACCATGTCCTGTTGCTACCGAAATTTTGTGCAAGGATGACACAGTCATCTATTTTATACAATGTCTTTT